GTTATACCTCAGGTTTTATTTAGATCATTGCAAAGCCCTTTGGAAAATACCAAACTAGCACATTTTTGGGAAATCATACTGAACGGCAACACAAAGTACATGTACAATAAGCGTTGTCATGCACAAATTTTATCTTTAGTGGCTTGTGGCTTTGAAAAACGGAAGATGCAGCTTGATACTAGCAGCCCTATCCATGATGTCCCTTGCAAAACAAGTAATTGTGTTCTCCCAGGGTGTATCAACTCCAAGGTACAGACCATGAAAAGTAATCTGGACTTTAAAGAGGCAAATAATCAACGATTCAAGTAGGTGAACACTTCTTTGCTCTTTTCTCAGACTTTCTTATCTTAACTTAACATCCACCGCAGTGGTCTCGTCATCGTTTCACACCGCCTTCGTTTTTGCTCGGAGTGGGGAGTGGGGGGGACCAAATTAATGTTTTTCAGGAGCCCATCATGATGGGCTCCTGTGTTTTTATATTCAGTTTCATTTCGCCTTCATGACTGGCGTCAGTACCAGCATTTCTGTGGTTTAGTTGCCTGTCCTGCATCTCAATTTACGTCACGGAAAGGTCACTCCACGAAAACGGCTTTATCAAAAATAGGTTCTAAACGTATTTTTGGCAACTTTATCAAATTATTAAGTTAGCGGCTATCCAGCCCTCACTCCCGCCCGGCTAATTTGTGGCCAGTTGTAAGAATCCTTGCGGATAAATTGTCAGTAAATCATTGTTAACAGAACCTCTTTGTGGTGGCCTTTATCTTATCATCGCCCAAGCTCACACGGTAATACAGGCTCGACCGGATTATTTAGATGTGACAAAATACTTAACTGTACTGTCTCTACTCGTTTCTCCAGTTTTCATAGTATGATAAGTACAAAAAAACCTCGCGAGTTCATTTGTCGACAGTTGTTGACTCCAGGAGTATAAACATGACGCAGCGATGATGGATTTCCTTCTTTGGCCGTCGTTCGCAATTTTCCAAGAATGTTGAGAGCCCCAATAAGACGTACAAAAACTTTTAACGTTATTGTAAAAATCGAATCAACCATGGCTACTCTTCTAAACAATCTGCGAAATGACGTCATAATGTTCAAATTTTGCTGTGACATTTGATTATTGTATCACTTAACATTAGGAAACGCAAAGATCGGAACACAAGTATGTCGGCGTTCACACCAGCTAGCCAAACTGCTGAGAAAGACTGGGAGCAGGATCTGGCGGACATCCTTAACATTCTGGAGGAAGAAAATTCTACGAGCTCCTCTCACCTGGGGGACAATTCTGTAGTGAACCGGCTCGATGAAATTGATGAAGGGCAGTGGCCATCATCACCTTTTCAACACTCTATTGGCCAAGAGGTAAGCTTCCTCCAAACGACTCCCCCGTTGGCTATTCACAACTCACGAGTTAGTCAGAAGGAATTGCAAATTCAGCGCACCGTAAACTTCCTAAGAACTTCAGGTATCAGCACTGAACTGAAGACCAAGTCGAATGCTTCTGCTTTTCCAGGAAACGAGCACCTGGAAGTCATGCTGATAGATTCAAGCACAGGTTGTCATGTTGCTCCCAACAGCACTACAGATAAAGCCATTCAGCCCGCAATCAGCACTTGTCCAATAGTTTCCGATACTTCGTTTAAAATGGATTACGAAAATTCCAGTGGTGTGAAACGACCAATACAAGAGGAGATCGCCTTAGAGAAAAATGGGAACATCTCAACGATTAAGAGAAAGCGAAGAATTCCACAACGACCAAAAATCAAGTTGTTTGAAATTCTTTCTATGATACTTCAAGCCCTTGCAAACCCACAGATAACAGAATCCAAAGAGCATGAAATATATGTCGTGCTTCAGAAGGCACATACAGAGATTCAAAGGATGCAAGAAGTCCGAACTATCCATACTTGATTAAAAGCATTTTACTTAATTAAGATTATGAAAGTTTGAACTTTAAATGCCCAGTAACTAAAATAATATTACGCCGGATAAGTAGGCGTGAAGACAGATGACTTGAGGGCCGTAGACAAATTCACAGAACATCGCAATCGCATGCAATTCTTGAACAACTGTTCTCATTATTAAACAACCCATGCAGATATCGCTTACAGTAACTGAAAAAAGATTTCCCTTCAGTACATAAAGCACTTTTAAAATTCGGCTATAAAATGATAAAATTGCAATAAGTGCACTTTACTGACGTCAGGGGCACCAAACGTCAATTTTCGGAAAATTTCTGTTCGGAAGACGATTTGAGATCAAGAATTTTCGGAGCATTTGTTGTAAAATTTCTTGCTTGCCTGCCTCTCCTAGGCTTTTCGAACATATAAAAAACGGTATAATTGCCCATTTTTAACGGATTTTTGCTCTAAAAAGGTCACCTAGAATTTTCGGGAGCCTTTTTTCTGGCTGAAATTTTCGAAAAGGTAAGTTTGGATCCCTATAACTTTCCGATCACTAGACTTTCAGCTAGGAAATCCGAACAGATGAAAAATTTTTAGGGGATAAAAATATGCCCATATCTATGGTTTAAATACTAAAATACGTTTAACAATGCTATGTTTAAGTGGTTTTGAACTATATTCTCGTTGGGTGCCCCTGTTATGTGTACTGTAGTCTAAAAAAGGACAAGAACAGGCTCAGAGTACTAGGTCAATAAAACTGACATGTCAACGGCATTTCAATTTTCTAAATTTCGAACAAGTGACCGTATTAATGGAAGTAAATTACAAGAGATCCTACTGTTTGGGATTTCATGTAAAATGTGGCCTTTGGCCGTGGTAATGGGAGACCCGGCATTTACGGTTTTTTTTTATAAGGAAATGTATGGCTGTTTTGCCGGACCGAAAAAAAGTGGCCGTAATAACGAGGTGTCCGTATTACCGAGGTGGTCAGCTCATCAGACAAATCAGAGTGGATGGTTGAAGCGAAGCTTACATGGGTCACATTCTATGTTGTGCTATATTGCAAAGGTTTGTGTCTTGTTTTTTTCCCACGCAGCTGGATACAGGAGCCCCCGTTAGGCCCCTGACTCGACTGAGACGCTGCATCTGTAGACTAAAGCTAACTAGTATTATAGTTAGTGGAGCACACGCTCCGCATACAGGGGCACCCAACGACCAATTTGTTGTAAAATGTATTATTATACCCCCATTAATGAAAATAAATGTTATTAAGGCATCTTCACGTGTTTTTCAGTGTTGCTGGGAAAATATTATCTGTTCCTTTTTCCCAGCAAGACACACAAGAAATTTCCCAGCCAGCTAGATAAAATTGGTTGGTTTCCCAGCCAGCTGATCAAATTTATTTCCCAGCCAGGAATTAAATTAATTAATATAAATGAAAGGAATAATAATGATGATAACAATAACAATACTTATATTAATGTGGCTAAATGTAATTTAGGCAAAGTTAACCTCGAAACAATGCTGGTTTGCAGTTTTTCCTGCTATACTGGGGGTGGCCCGATGCCTCTAGCAGGGGCACCTCGTGAAGCAGTTGCTTGCTTGCAGTTCTTCGCAAAGTGTTGTTGCAATAGCCTGCTATTTGCGTGTCATTCTGTTTTTTTTTTTTTTTTTGACAAACAGCTGTAATTCTTGTGTTAGTATATGATACTCTAAATGTACTGCTGTCTGGAGCAGTCTAAATTTAAGGAGACTTTTGTGAGCCTGGAAAGTGAGCGCAGAATTCATAACACCTAGCAGCATTGTACACATGGCAATTGTTTAACATACTTGCTAGGATAAACCAAGGTAATGCCCAGTTCCTTGCTATTTCCACAGCCTGAAAAATAATATTAAAAAGGAAAAAATAAGAGACAAAAGTTAATTGACTACAGCCAGCAGCAATACTGATTGAGTGTGATGTTTTCAGATCTAGTTATAGCCTTACTAATCAAAGCTATTGTTATCACAGGGGCCACACACAAAGTGCGTGACCCTTGGTATTATTGAATTCAGAAGCAATGTATGAGAATAGCAAGAAGTTCCATAATTATTACTGTACTATTCTGTGATCAATATTATATTTTCATATAAGATGAGGATAAACCAACCTTCATCTGAAATGAAGTGCTGTTGTTGTTACATTGTATGGCTGGAAATGGCAAATTTTAGCGATTTTTTCCTGAGCAATGCAAGTCCTTGAAATTGAAGGTTAGTTTATTCTCATTTGACATGTAAATATTTATTGCAGAATAGTATAATCTTATGGAACTTTTTGCAATTCTCATACATTTCTTCTAAATTCAATAATACCAAGGGTTACCCACTTTATGTGGGCGTCCTGTGATTGGTGGTATTTGTAAAAAGTGGACTCCACCCCTTTAAATTTTTAAGTGTAGAAACATTACGCTTAAGTTGAAACATATTTATTTATCATGAATGTCTGCGCCAAACAACAACAAAAAAAAGGTTGAGGTAGCAATCTATTTGTTATCATGGTGCTGCAGTCAACCAATTTAGCTATATTGTATATCTTTCCATATCAACTGAAAAATAAAAAAATTCCTTGATTCGCCTAATATGACAGTCATTATTTATAAATTTCCTCCACACAATACCAGAATACTGAAATGGATGGATAACAAGATCAGTAAAATTTCTGCAGGCCATAATTAGGTCTAGCAGTTGAACTGGTCCAAATGAATGGACTTTCTCCACGCTACAAATATTTTTTTATTTTATCAAAATTTAAAATGTTACCATGATTGGACAAACTGTTAAGCATCTTCCTCCCAATGACATGGATGTGTGTCCATTCACATTAAAGGAAAAGGGAAACTTAATAGACAACTGAATAGAGGGCCACAAAGGAAGCAAAGTTCTCAGTGCAAACCATGAAATCCCTAACTCAACCAGATGGAAGAGAGAGGGTCATATAAGAATGAACAAAAAAAGAATACCCAAAGTCACAAGCCTAACCCAACCTGGTGGAAGAGAGAGGGTCGTAAGAATTAACAAACAATGAATGCCCATCGTCACAAGCCTTAATCAACCCGATGGAAGAGAGAGGGTCGTAAGAATGAACAAACAGTGAATGCCCATCATCACAAGCCTAACCCAACCTGATAGAAGAAAAAGGGTCGTAAGAATGAACAAACAGTGAATTCCCATCGTCACAAGCCTAAATCAACCCGATGAAAGAGAGAGGATCGTAAGAATGAACAAACAGTGAATGCCCATCGTCACAAGCCTAACCCAACCTGATTGAAGAGAGAGGGTCGTAAGAATGAACAAACAGTGAATGCCCATCGTCACAAGCCTAACCCAACCTGATGGAAGAGAGAGGGTCGTAAGAATGAACAAACAGTGAATGCCCATCGTCACAAGCCTAACCCAACCTGATGGAAGCGAGAGGGTCGTAAGAATGAACAAACAGTGAATGCCCATCGTCACAAGGCTAACTCAACCTGATGGAAGAGAGAGGGTCGTAAGAATGAACAAACAGTGAATGCCCATCGTCACAAGCCTAACCCAACCTGATGGAAGAGAAAGGGTCGTAAGAATGAACAAACAGTAAATGCCCATCGTCACAAGGCTAACTCAACCTGATGGAAGAAAGAGGGTCGTAAGAATGAACAAACAGTGAATGCCCATCGTCACAAGCCTAACTCAACCTGATGGAAGAAAGAGGGTCGTAAGAATGAACAAACAGTGAATGCCCATCGTCACAAGCCTAACCCAACCTGATGGAAGAGAAAGGGTCGTAAGAATGAACAAACAGTGAATGCCCATCGTCACAAGCCTAACTCAACCTGATGGAAGAGAGAGGGTTGTAAGAATGAACAAACAGTGAGTGCCCATCATCACAAGCCTAACCCAATTTGATGGAAGAAAGGGCAGTTTCCTGGTGTACCGGTTCACAAAGTTTCTAAAACAATAGATAACAATAGAATACAATAAGCCACATGAACAAAGAACAATAAAGAACGAACAATAGATCTGTGACATTTCTGTAACACGAAAATACTCTGAAGAAAGAGGGTCGTAAGAATGAACAAACATTGAATCCCCATTGTCACAAGAATAACTCAATCCAATGGAAGAGAGAGGGTCGTAAGAATGAACAAACAGTGACTGCTCATCGTCACAATCCTAACTTAGCTTTGTTTTGTACAGAGACAGAGTATGACTAAAGATTGTTGAAGAGGAGAAGTAAACAATCTGCCAAGTAAAAAAGAATTAGTGCTGTTGAATTGGTCACAATAACAATTAATTTTTACTGTCAATGTATGTGTTGATTGATCAGTAGTTATTGCTGACACATACATTGTATGAACAATAGTATTAATGTCTTAATTAAGTACTCAATCCAATACAAAACAGCTGAGCATCAGATGCATTCTGACAAATAAAACCACAGTCTGGCCAGAACCAACAAAATTTGCTTAGTCAGAGAAAAGAAAAACTATAGTTAACACCATAGTAATTCATATTTTAATGCATTTGCATCCAAGCCGTCTTTTCCCATCCTCACGTGCAAGTGGGTTCCTCACGTGCAAGTTGACAATGTCCATTTTTTCAAACTGAAGTCGTTAATTGGGGTTTCCTTATTTTTGGCTGAGAATTTTAGCTTATGGAAAGCAAGCTAAAAGCGTGACACAGCTCTTATTATTTGTCAGTGTATGTTTGTTATCTGCCTTCTGGCTACATATACAAAGGCTGGTTTCTATGTTAACACAAAAACAGAGGCTTTGCTGGAGTTGTCGAGAGAAACAAACCGTTTTTTTAGCGAAATAACTTGCATTAAAATAAGTACGAATTTTTCTTGATTCTTACCTTGTGTGTGAGGAAACACCTACTCGATCCGGTGGCTGCCTACACGGCCTAACTGTAAACAAAAATACTGCTGTCAGTTTTTTAAAATTTGTTGGCTCAGTTCGCTTCAACTGTAAAACGCTGAACACACACTACAGGGCGCCGAAACTTAAATCTGTGAATGAAAATACAAATTACTGCTGTTAGATTCACTCGATTCGTCTCCATTCAGTGTAGAAGAACATCACGAGAACTTAAGCATACAGATAAAATAACAATGGGAATTAATCTTACATGTAAATGAGGAAAGTTCTTCGATCTGTACATGTGCAGACATCCGCGCGCTTTGAAATCCCTCGCAAAAATAACCGACACAAAACCGGTTTTTTTTACCGCAAACGCGATTTCTCTGGCCAGCCGTCAAATGTTTGTCACTACTCTCGGGGGAGGGAAGGGATACTTTTTTTCAGTCGTCCTCGGTCTTCAGAGTTTCTCAGCCAGCCCGGCTTGAAATGCTAGAAAAGTCAGTAATTCCCAGCCAAAGCCTCTAACAATAAGAAATTTCCCAGCCAGCTCATTAGAACACCTAATATTTTGCCAGCCAGCAAGATTCCTATGGGGAACAGATAAAGTGAGGAACAGATTCGTTGGGTGCCCCTGCGCATATCACAGAAAGGGAAATTTTCAACTTTTAAGTGATGAAAGACTGTCATGCCGTGCGGAGCTGCTGCCGTGTGGGTAAACTTGCGTAAAGAACGAGAAGCCTGGAGACCAGTTTGCCTATATCCGCTGAAAGCAAATAATCTCGGCTCACATTACCCCACGCGCTCCTTTTCAATATGGCGGAATTTTATCTTCGCTACTATGTGGGTCATAAAGGAAAATTTGGCCACGAGTTTCTGGAATTCGAATTTCGACCGGATGGTAAGCTTAGTCAGCCTTTTATGCAAGGAATTCAATGGTTTTAGAATAGTCACATGGCTTATTTTCTCGTCTTCAGGCAAACTTCGGTATGCTAACAATTCGAACTACAAGAACGATGTCATGATTCGAAAAGAGGTAAGAGCTGGTATATGCCATTTATGTAACTTCACACGTTTAATTCCTAGTTGTAACTGTAATAGCATAACATCGATTAACCTGTAGCGACGTCAATTCTTAAGAATTACCGTACGTGACTCACAAGCAACGATAAGCACATTAAGCAGAAGACTTGACATATTCAATTCTGCAGGGCTTTTAAGAAATTATAGTTACATGTTCAGTTAGCTAAGAGAACTTGAAAAAGTACTTCAACACCTCCATATTTCACGTGATAATCGCAGTAACACATAGTAATGTGGTGCTGCGTTTGCGAATTCTGTAGCGTACGCAAGGTCTTTTAGAGTTAGAAGTTTAGCTTTTTGTTTGAGATTCTGGGCCCGGTTCCTGAAAGGCCGATTTGCTCCAATCCAGGATTAAAATTTTGCTCCACTTTCTGTATTTACCTCCCTATGCATTAATTGCTTAGAGTAACATTTTGTGTTATCATTTCTTTTTTTCTAGGTAAAGGCACAACAGTATTTTGTAAGCTCTAGGTACATGTTCTTGGACAAGACCTTGCTTAAAACTTGGCTTAATCCTGGGTTAAACTTAACCATCTTTCGAGGAATCGGGCCCAGGACGTTTTCTTGCTCGTTGGCTTGTTTCAGATAACTCGCACTTTTAAGAACGAAATCTGAAATAATGCATGGGCAAACTGGCGAAATCAATATGCGAATTTCATGTCAAAATCTGAATTTTTCTAGAGAGAAAAATATCAAGAATGTTTATTCCCTCTTGACTCCTGAAAATTTTCAAGCAGTAAATGTACTGTAAGCTTACTTTTTCAGTCTTGTCCTGGCTGGGATATTCTGTGGTCAGGGAGATTTTCATGATTAGCCAGAAGAGATCAGAAGCAGTGAGTTAAGGCCCGGTTCAACAACAAACTTTTCATGTACTGAAGTTAATACCTATTTGGTTGACATAAGGGATGTAAGTTTGACAGTTGATTCAGAAGTCTAACTCAACTAGTCAGACTTAATTCATTTTCACAATGTACAATTATGATCTACAATGCTAACCAGTCAAAATAAATTAAGGCAATTGATGCGTTTGATTCAGCACATGAAAAGTTTGATGTTTGAAGTGAAGTTACTCCACAGTCAAAATTCCCATGTGGGCCACTTGAACTCGATTTGTGGGTCGACCCTAATTAGAAATGTTGGACTTTATTGATTCAAACATCAATCTTTTCATATACTTAATTGGAGGGATTAGGTTCGGTATATGGGAATTACGATGTTTGAACTGGGCATAAGATGCTTCTGTGACTGATTCTGTAAGAATAATAGTCTTGCGTCGTCCCATTCTTCATGGAAACATTGTTCGCAAAAACATTGCCTGTGAATTCCCAATAAGTTAGCACTGGGTCTCCCAGGATGACTCTTAGGAGATTTTTCTACAACAAATAAATTTCTTTTAAACAGGCATTTGTACACAAGGCTGTCATGGATGAACTAAAAAGAATCATAGAAGACAGTGAGGTTTGTAAATAATAATAGTAATGACAATAATGATAATGATGATGACAATGACGGCAAAAACGATGATGATAATAAGAATAAAAATAAGATAAATCTTGAATTCCACAACAGTGTACCTTAAGCTTTGGAGAAACAACCATTTAACAAAGCAAGAGGACACTCATGAAATAAATCAAAGGAAAGTGTCTTCATTTATAAAGAAATTACCTTCACAGGTACGTGTTATGAGTAAAAAAACAGTGTGAACTACTTGCCTGCTTAAATTAGACCTTAATGGATGGAGGGTACCACCCAACCATCTATCCTTTTCCTGGCTAAGAGCAAAGAAACACAAAGACTCAGGAAAGGATACTTCTCTTTTTTTGTTTCAAGATAAAGAAGGGAAACACAACCATGAAATATCTTAACCCGGTTTAAGCCCAAAATGGTTGGCATTAAGGGGTTGTTTGATACCAGAATCTCTTACAACCTTACCCTTTATGTTTTTAATACCCCTTTATATCTTGTAAAGGAGAGTAACTCCTTCTTTCTGGAATAAATTACTATCAGAACTAGAAATCAATGCTGTAAACATGGCTACCTCATGTCAGTTTGCTTTGTATTGTAGCTTACTATTTTCATTTGTCTGTAGATTCTTCAAGAAGATGACAAACTTTGGCCACAACCTGACAGGGTTGGTAGACAAGTAAGTGTGAATGATTTAAAAAATATTTCTTTATTACAATTCCATCTCAGGTCCAAATGACCAAAAGTTTTCCTCAAAACAGGTTTGGTTCTTAAATTTTTTTTTCAAAAGTAGGTTGAGTTTGATCGTCCAGCTGAACGTAGTCCTGAATAGGACTGTTGTTGTTGACTGACAGATGACCAATAACATCGCGACGTAATTGACCAATCAGATCAATAACCAGAGTATAATACCATCAACTGACATGATACAACTCACTTTGACTCTGAAGATGACTACCGCACAGGTTGTCGAAACGTCAGTCACTGTCAACAACAACAGTCCTATTCAGGACTACGTTCACCTGGACAATCAAACTCAACCTACTTTAAAATTTTTTTTGTTGCAATTTGTTTTTTATGTAGGGAGGGATTCCCCTGTTTATTTTCCCCTGTATTAAAAAACACTCTTAAAATGTCATAGCCTGCATTGCAGGCATATTTTTTTGGCAAGCGAAAGCTGCTTGTTTATTTTCATAATCCCATGGCAGCCATCTTTGATTCTATCACTGAGAAAGATTATGGAGAGTAGAAAAATTAACCCTTGAGGTAGGTATTAGAGTTCAAGAGAAGGAAATGGGGGAGGAGAGGGGTAAAAAATAATATGCCTCAAGAAATAAAGGATTTCACGCTTCAAATTTTGAAACAAATTTTGGTAAAAAAGTGCATACTATACATCAGTAAATACTAGCTGTATTGATTGAAGAAAACATTGGAATTTACAGGAACTGGAAATTGTCATGGGTGAACAGCACATTTCATTCACAACTGCTAAGATTGGCTCTCTTATTGATGTCAATCAGTGCAAGTAAGTCATGTTATTTAATTATGTTCATTGATTATTGTTATTTCTGTGGTGATCAATCATCATGAGCCTGTGTTTTTTTTTTCTTTTTTGCCCAATGCACCCTTTTTTATGGATCCAATTCAAGAGAAAAAAATAGATATCATGAGAGAGCATGTCATTACAGTTTTTTGAGACAACACGTTTTTGGAAGCTTTCACTATTTTCAGGCTTAAGAAAAATAAAAATCCCATTGGTCAAACGCATTGGCTATGGGCATTCTGCAAAATCCACCCCAAAACAGGGCTCAAAATTGCGACTGATACAGTCGCCAATGCAGCTGACATTTTCTCCCTGCGACTAAAAATTCTGGTTGTGTCGCCACTTTGGCGACCAGATTTCTTTATGATTTAGATTTAAAATAATTAAAAGAGTAAAGTTAAAACAAACATTTCATCTTATGGTGCTTTGCTTTCGTCATAAAAATGTGCCAAATTGCATAAACAAAGCCAGTCTACAACCAAATTTATACTTACTTTTGTCCGCAATATTTTGTGTTGCTTCCCTACCCGTTCATATACTTCAACCATTGAAATCGATACCATTTCATATACCTGAGGCCTGAAAAAGGTACCTCTTTCGGGCGGAGCCTCCCCGTATACGCTATTGTGAGGAGTATCCCCCACCACGTTTGTTTTAATTACGAATAGCCCTGTGATGCAATGCCAATTTATAATGGCTCTGAAGTAGAGCACAAATTTCTTCTTCTGCACCCCCAGTGAATATTAATCCTAGAGTTGCAGTTTGGCCACTGAAATTCTCATTGTAGGAAACAGCTAGGGCTGAAAGCGAGGTTTTAGCCAGAAGGGTGTATAGCTGTCCTATGGATGCCCATTTTTGGAAGAAATACATGCCTTCTGGACGGCCAGTTTTCAATGTCTGGCTAAAATCCTGGCTGAAAGGATGCATAGTCTCTACTATAGTGCAAAATGTTTTGAGCAGTTTATGTTTTTGCTCTACATAATTTGGTCTGACAAGCATTCCATTTTCATACTGGTTGCTTCCAGTTATTGTTTACAAGGTGTTTTCTACCCAGTGAGAGTTGTCCATAGCATAATGAAATGTGTTTACACAAAGACCAGTCATTTGTTACCTTTGCAATCGTGGTTCTTCATTGAGGTCTAGACAAGAATCTGTGTATTACTTGGCAGATGGTAATCACTAGGGTAAATTTCATCTTCGAGGTAGGCTACTTTTTAATGTGCTAAGGTAATTTCTTTTTTTAATTTTTTTCCAGGGATCCTGATGGCTTGAGATGTTTTTATTATTTAGTTCAAGATCTCAAGTGCATGGTGTTTTCACTGATTGGGCTTCATTTCAAGATCAAACCCATCTAAATGATCGCTCATGTAACATCTCTATCATGAACTCTATTTAAGTGTTTTTTAGTTTAATACCTCCTAAAGTTGCTTGTCAATACCTTGTGTAAGTTTGTCGTGAACTGACTTTTTGCCTTTGAAATCAAGGTACTAAGAATGTTCTTGCATTGAATGTCATCATTCAGAACAGTTTTTCCTCTCGAAATAAGTTTTTCGTGTTGCATGTTATATCTCACTCTTCTTGCCATCTTACATTGGTGCTGAACAAGTCAGAAGTGACACTACACAAGTCAGCTTGCAAATGCTAACCTTTCTGGCTGTAAAAACGCATGTATTTGCATTCTCTACACGACACTACTGTTGTAGATTTTACATGTTGTACGTCTTTGACCGTGCCAGTCAGAACTTCGACTAAAACTCTTCTATTCCCCCAATTTTATGTTGATAAAATCAAGTTGACTTCTATCTTGTGCATGTTGTTTTTAACCCTAGTTTATACAATCCATTTGACAGTTAATTTCTAAGTCATTATCTACTGTTGAATAGAAAAGCAAGAGTGTTTTCAAAATGTCTTACAATAAGTGCATTTAAGAGGTGTAAGACCTGCCTAAACAGTAATTCAACAGGTTTATTGAACAGTTTTAAAACTAGAAGTCTTTGTATCTGAATGGAAACTCATTAAACATTCATTTCTTACAATAACTCAGCATTTTCTCCCCACCCCTCCTCTCTGACAGACAATGTCTTGCGTATATGGCTATATATATCCTTCGTACAATCTTGAAAAGGTCTTGAATTTTAGTAGTCGTCTTGAAAAGTCCTCGAATTTGGTTAAGGTCTTGAAAAGTCCTTAAAATTCACAACCTTGTCTACGCCAGACACCTTTTTCTTTAAAATTAGATTATTTTGCCAAAGAAAATTTGGCTCATCCTTGGTGTAAGAACCTGAAAAAACTCACCAGTAACGTAAAAAAAATCATTGTGGATGAACAACTATTTGTTTCTTTATGTCAAATGCTATGTCTTTACCTTAGATGTGATTTCAAGTCATACTCAGTCATTTTGCAAAGTCGTGCGTGTTGCAAGAAGTAGTACCAAATAATGTGTTCATCGATGGCCGCGGAAGTGAAAGTCGTAAATGACTCGGCCATGACGTGTTTTAGCCAAAAGGGTGATCAAAGAAGGTTGAAGAATGCCGATTTATTAAATAAATCTTAGTCCTTGAAAACTGTAATTTGTCCTTAAAAAATCCTTGAAAAGTCCTTTGAATTTGTTTGTTTGGAGTTGTATGATCCATGTATATACCTTAAATCCTCTATTAAGTTCCGCCGGGGGGACTTCTAGTTAGTAAATAACCATCCCGGATCAGTCCACACGAAGTTTTACAGTCATGATTGGTTAATACAGCCTATCATTTATTACTTAGTGAAGAATAATGAGGGCGGGGGTGGGGGGGGCGGCTTAATAGAGAGGGGGGCTTATCAACTTTCTTCCCCTGAAAAGGGGGACGTATTAGGGGGAGGAGGCTTATTTGAGAGGGGGTGAAGGCTTAATAGAGGATTTACGGTATATGAAAAAGGAAAGAAGAAAGATACACGGAAAGAAGGGGGAAATGTCAATAAGTCAGCGACAGAAGTTAAATCGACCCAGAATTTCAGCGCCTTGGCAATGAGGTCCTCGATTTTGGACTAAACAAAAGATACCTCATCTTTTTTCCCCACTGTTAGATCCATAACTTGTGGAGAATCTTGTTCCCACACCTGGGCAAAATAATCTATGAGCCCTGGGAAAAAATATAAACACAGTCAAGTCCTTTTACTAATGAAAGCGAAAGATCGTGTGGTTTTGTGTTATCTAAGAGGCCTTCAGGCAACTAACTTGTTATGGCCTTTTTGTGGTCGTATTTAATTCGAATTAAATTTTTCATGAGATCCTTTTAAATGTTAATTTGTTTTGACTTTCAGTGGTACAACACTTAAGAAATTTCCAACCTTTAGCTCGCCCAAATAGAACTGCTGCTTCAATCGATTACAATATTTCTTCTCCCTTACTCTTTCAAGAATGCAAGCTAATGCATAACTGATTTCTCTAGGAATACGAAGAGAAATTTCCACGACCATGTTTATTTTATCATCGTCGTTTTGAATACTCTAGCAGCAGAAAAAAATACAATATCATCAACGAGTTTTTTAAAAAAAATCTTACAATCATTTCTAAATTGCAGGGTATCTGTGTTCCTCTAGGAGATTTTAATGAAATACATTCTCATTTGTTTTATTTTAATATCGAACACAATATGAGGCTTATACTACTTGTCAAAACCTGCCAATCACAAAAGAATACGACGGTAGAAGCTACTAGAGTCCAGACAGCAATTAGGAGAAAACATCAGTTCTTGCCAAGTAATGCACAAATTTGGCATGTCGTTTTCAGTACTAGAGGAAGAAATAAGAAAACTCTGCCAACTTATGAAACCGTGACTGGAATGGTGGAGCAGTTGAACTTTGCGTTCCTTGTGTTTGTTAGTTTTTCCTGTGTCTTTGAAATGTCCAGGTGTGTAACACACAGATACGGCCGAAACGGTAAGCATTTTGTTGATTCAGTTCCAAATGTTTATGCGGGTACATGCAAAAGCAAAATAGCCCAGCAAATCTCGCGTTATCTTGAAAAGATTTTTTTTGCAGAAACAATTTTTAGCGAATATTACTGAAAAGTAGGATTGCTTTGAACTGGTCGAAACTTAGATATAGTTACGCTGTATGTTGAGAAAAAATACCTGACAAACCGCGAGGGATGAGTGTAGAAATGAAAGAGAAAGAACTAACAGTGAGCGAAAAAAAGTAGCAAAACTAAAAACAGAAGACCACAACACAAATGTCTTTGATAAGTGTTTCAATCTGTTTTCGCACGAAAACGTAGTTCCTTGTGGAAAAGTTTTAATAGAGATATAATTTTTGTTCGTTTCAGAACACAGTTCGTGCATTTTTTTTTTAGTAATGAATATGACCAAGCGTCTAAAAAATATTCTCACCACTGAGCTACTTCGCATTCGTATTAGAATCTGTTAGGAGAAAAAGAAAGTTGATCTTGAATATTACAACTGTAAATGATTATCAATCTGGGTTAAATTATTGATGGGGAAGCTTGTCATTGAATCGAAGGTCAGTTAAATAACTGGCAAAGTCACAGGTCGTCTTAATGCGCATTGAAAATGCCATATGTTTGCTTTGGTGGTTTTGAAAACTATTCGTCGAAACAAAACCGTTGCGAATTCTTTCCTGTGGAGTACCGATAACTATACAGACCCCTTGAAAGAGACTATTATATAAAAAACAAGTTAGAAATCAGTCGATTCGTTAACGTGTATTGCTTTTTTATAACAACAAAAAAAGCAATTCACGTTGTTATCATGGGAGGAGCTTTACAACAGGAGTTGCGATGGAAGCCGTGTTAGCCCTTTCGGGCCCTTTTACAGAACGCAGGGATTTCAATAAAAATTGAAGTAGCCAGCAGGTTTGCCTAGAGTAACCGACTGCATCAACAAGGGGCCGTTGGTCCTCTTTTTCTATGGGGGAGGGAAGGGGTCTGGGCGGCGCGTTCTTCCCTAGAAAATTTTGAAATTTCAAAGCCCTAAAACGCGGCGAGTTTCAGGGTTCTGGGGACTAAATTTGAGGACAAAAGAGCGTGTTTTTCATTCAAGAAAATCTAGCTTTTAATTTATCAGTCACACGATCAAGTCCTACAAGCAATGAACAAATGATGAGAACTAAATTACGTACATTTCTGACATTTGCACGTAAACAAATTCTGCGTAAACCTATAAAGAAACTTGCGAAAAAATGACTGAAATATAGAGTTCACATAACCAAAGCATAACGCAAAACCAGTGGGCCTTTATGAAAACATATCATTGATACGTTATCATTCATATTTTATGATATATTTTTTGCTCACAACGTTATTCAAACTAGTTGCTTCTTCTTTCTAGAAAAAAAGTAGCCGACCTCTATGAGCAAAGTAGCCGACGCGATTTGTCGGCCGTCGGTGCTTATTGAAACTCCTGAGAACGTAATATCAGATTTCTCTACCATTTCCTATACCTGATGCTTGAAACAGGTAACCTTTGGTGCGGAGCCACCCGGTATTGGCCCGCATAGGTACCCCTCGGGTTTATAGAGATGTCCGTGTGGTGGGATTGGATTATTAGGGAAGATTTAGCAAAGACAATATCCTTAGAAGTAGAATCAAACTGTAATGAACAAAATTTAATTTCCTACAGTAAATGAATCGATGGTCGACAAAATTGGAATTGGTCCAACAAATGCCAGATCAAATGCCTCATCGTCTGCGAAGAGGCTGTATTTAGCTCAGTTTTTGGAAAGTGCTATAAAGTGGAAGAGGGTTTTTACCAACCCAGACAGCGCTGCCTATATTGAAGAAGCGTCAGCGATGGAAGACTTTCTTGAGATGGTGTTTAATGCTTCTTCTGATATCAAAGGCTGGAATGTCTTTGAGTTGTCCAAGTGGTCAACTAACGTCGGTTTTGCTGTTAAGTTCAGCGTACACGTGGAAACGTCCAGGAACTTCTCAATTCAACAGCTGGCTATTATCCTGGAGGACGCGATGAAGACCGGCGTAATAGGAAGTACGATGTATAAAATATATTTATGGGAATTGGATTCAGATTCAGATTGGATAGCGAGTCAAGAGTCCACAGCGTCTGCTACCCTTGCTCTGGGAATAACAACAGCAGTATCACCGATATTAACCATTCTTCCGGAGTCAATAACAGAGTTGTCAACTTTCACCATAGCCGACTCCTTGCCTGTTTTAACGACACCTCAAATGTCATCCTCCGAGTTAACACTGCACGGAAGAACAACCATATCAAACGCCTCTCCAGTTTCGATATCAGCAGCGCCAGCCTCCATCAGGATATCGGGCAGAAGCGCTCATTCGATCCATATCCCTGAATCTGACGGCACCACGACAAAAAGACCATCAAGTGTGAAGACGTTCAGCGTTTCCATGAAAATCGGCCGTTATAAATATGATCAAGAAATGGCCAATCCACGAAGTGAAATTTTTCAGAAAACAGCTTACGAGATCGAGAGCGCCCTCAGAAATATTTTCCGGAAACAACTGAGCAACTTTGTTGCAGTAAGAGTGTTTAAGCTGGAGCAGGGAAGTGTCATCGTGTCATACAATGTTCACCTGGCTTCATCCTCTAAACAAAAGTCGTCTGACGTGCAAAACATCATCACAACCAACGCAGAAAATGGTGAGCTGCAGCATTTGAAGGTCAGTGGTGTGGTTGTTACACAGGTGGAAGATGACAAAAGCAGTGACAGTAGATCAACTTCTACATTTATCTACATTTTGTGTGGCGTGGGAGGCCTCCTGGCTATTGGCATCATCGTTCTGGTATTTTCAAAGGTGAGATTAGGAAATAGGTTTGGCTGTTGTTTTCTAAAAGTAAAAGGGAATATAATTCTTAAGGCTAGGTAAAAGCCGTAGAATGGTGAATAACTTCGAGTTGCACTCTAAGGCGGAGTTTTGTACTTGTTGTGTTTCTAACGATTTATAGTAGAAAATCAACTAGACTGATTTACAAATAAACAAACGAGCGAGAAACAACAATGCGAATCAGTTCTTCATACACTTTGTTCAAAAGTGAAAACAAAAGGTCCGAGCCCCTGATGACAAGTAATTTAAGTCCCAGTGCCCGCGCACCAGTAAATTTAACAGTAGATAAACTTTCAGATCGGAACATGTTGAAAGCCTAGTCAGCACAAAGTCAGGCACAAACCCTGGTTAAAAGGCGTGCTCTCTCACTCACAATTTTTCTTGTTAACCGGGGTTGAAAGAGGAGTTAAACAAAAGCTTTTACCAGTCGAAGCCGATTCCATTACCTAGCTAATCTGGCTGGCTCAATTCAAGTAGGGAGGCTAGACAATTTTTATGGCCAATTAGTTGACAACAGCCATTATCAACTAAGCGAACCATTCAAAACGGAAAGCAAGTATGTAAGCCGCTGAAACGTGCATAAACCGGCTTGTCATGAGTGAATCAGGATTCAAGTTTTCAAGTTATCTCGTTTCCAAAGGCCTTAGCCTCTGGTGACGAGAACGGCGGGAGGGGGGAGGAGGGGAAGGAGGGGGAAGGGTGTGGCTTATACTTATTCTGTTTTTTATTTCGTTTCAGTATCGAGACTGCAGCAAAAGGAATCAGGTTCGCACCATAAGTTCAAACGCAATGGCTGATACAAACATGTGATTATGTGCACAAATAATGAAGCTTATCGAAAGTCGTCTATTAACGCCTTTAATTACTAAATGAATATTTAACAATTATGAATGACGCTGGGTATCTGAAGAATTATGGACGGCCTAGGCGGATAACACTCTCCGAGATCGCCATAATTGTTCATATGATACGAAAGCCGAATTCAATAATTGTTTTATTATTTATTCAAAATAATTCCTAGTTTAAAAACATGGCTGAAACATGCTTACCTCCATCGATCCATCGATGTTAAGTTCATCTTCGATAGTGCACATTTAGGGTTGATCAGCTCCGCAAATATTCTCCAAATAGCAGATGTTGCCCTTGGAGTTGTCTTCTTGCTGTTCTTGCCATGCTTTTAGCTATTTTTTCGCCTTTTTCTTACTCTTGAAACGAGTAAAATGTCCGCCGTTTTTCCAGCACGAGGAGCCGCAAGAGGTGATATTTTTGCACGGCATCTGGCGGCACATCAAAGAATTTGGAATTGAAGGGCAAATTCCTAGAATATCTTCGCCAGTTAAGCTAGAGAAAAGGTGTTAAAAAACCTCAGGATCCAAAACAACACGTCAATCAAAATATCACTTGGACCTTTTCGCTAATGAAGAGCTATCACGCGGCTAAGCTTGAATTAGACATATATTGAAATATGAACTTGTGTCAATAAAGTATCTTAAGTGAGTGGGAATCGCTCCTAGTTAAAAAACTGGTTCACGGGAATATGCATCTCTTCTAGTTAAGAGAAGGGAATCAGAACTGCTTTTCATGCAGGAACAGGTTTTCTTCGGGTAACTACAAAACTTCAGCTTATTTCACTTCTTGACATTGTCAAAGCGCATTTTGTAAAGATAACTTTTTTCGCTTTATCAGCTTTTTTTATATTATATTCCATTAATGTTTAACCTCCCTCAAAAAGCAAAATAATATAAATGCTGTTGTTAAAAAAAGCGTTTTACCTGTTTTCGTGAATTCGTTACCCAAAGATCACTATGCTCAAAGGACAGGGCAAAATTTCCAGGAGAGAGGCGTTAATTTTTTTCCCACGAGATTACAAAGAGAAAATGCAATGATTATTATTGTAACCATCAGGTATACTCTACCCACGAGGTTACGGACAGCAAATGCAGCGATTATTTTTAATGTAACCATCAGGTATGTTCTACCCACGAGGTTACAAAGAGAAAATTCAATGATTATTATTAACGTAACCTTCAGGTATGTTCTACCCACGAGGTTACAGAGAGCAAATGCGGTGATTAACATTATTATTAAATGTAACCGTCAGGTATATTCTACCCACGAGGTTACAAAGGGAAAATGCAATGATTATTATTAACGTAACCTTCAGGTATGTTCTACCCACGAAGTTACAGAGAGCAAATGCAGTGATTATTATTAAATGTAACCGTCAGGTATATTCTACCCACGAGGTTACGTATAGCAAATGCAGTGATATTATTAATGTAACCATCAGGTATGTTCTACCCACGAGGTCACAAAGAGAAAGTGTAATGATTATTATGAACGTAACCTTCAGGTATGTTCTACCCACGAGGTTACAGAGAGCAAAAGCAGTGATTATTATTTTCAATGTAACCATCAGGTATGTTCTACCCACGAGGTTACAAAGAGAAAATGCAATGATTATCATTAACGTAACCTTCGGGTATGTTCTACCCACGAGGTTACAGAGAGCATGCAAATGCAGTAACAATTATTAGATTTTAGTGCAACTATCAGGTTGAGTTCCTCCATTAAAAGAGTTTTTTGCTAGGGTTAAACAAGTTTGGCTTTCATGAGTTTCAAGGTGCAAGAAATTATCAGTATAATTATAGCACACAAACATTGTCATCTAATTTTTCGCACGTAGCCGGAATAAGCCAAGAAATGAAGCATATATAACGAAAAATCGTCCTCAGATGATCTCCATATTAAGTAAATGATACTAAACGTTGCGAAAGAAATTATTGTTTGTATCCGTCCTATCCATCGTAAAAGCGAGGGGTCATCGCATGACATCCGGTATATTAAACAGAGGTAATACGCACGGGTTTCACGAGTTGTATGCACTATTTTTCGCCGAGAAACAAATTTAAACTTCAATTCTTACCTTACAGTAGTCCGTTCTTTTACCTTGCATTCGACAACAAATCTGTTAAAGGCGAACAAAGCGATTCCGGCACTCTTCTTTATGATGAGTAGCAAGCCGCAGGAACTGAAGCCGCTTGACTGAAGTAAAATCCACCGATATGCGCGGTATTCTCACTACAAATATAAACAAACGTCGCGGAGAAAAAAAGACGAGGAGCAAAAAACGCCAGATCTTCGCCTCGGCAATGTATTCCAGCTACCATGCCGGCGTATCTCTACAAGGTGGACTCGACGTGGGACAAACCTTGTGATCTTTTTTTAGAAGCCCTTTGCGCGCAAACTAATTTATTCTGGCGCGAAATGAAGAATATGTATACTGAAATCTAATCCACAACAAGAAGATTTTCGCACTGTAGCGCGACATACTAAATGCCTATTTTTACAAGTACGCGGAGAAAGTGGTCCACTAGTTTAACTATTTTAAGATGAATTTACTCCACAAAAGCAAAATGAAATGTTTTATCTCTATGTTGTTTACGTGCCTGATTAGAAGGCAGAAGTAAATTCATCATACAGACCCCATCAAAATGAAAGTACACGAATGAAACGGAATAAGTCTGGGACGGTTTAGTTTCTACTCAGCAGCTTCTTTGCTTTTATAACAAAAATTTAATGTTGCAGTCTGTTTTAAACGTTGGCATATCAACGCGCACAGTCACTGAATGAAAACAACAGTCACGATCACGTTCTTCGAAACCGACCAGACGCCCGCGACCTACCACTGTTATGGTAAGCAATTATCCTGAAGGTGTTAATGTTACCGTGACAGTCTTCGCACTAAAGGTGTAAATGGTAAACCGAACGGTCGCTTTGATCATCAGAAAGACCTGTCAACTTTGATGATTTAACTGATTAAATTACGGGACAGAAATTTTACTGTATGCGGCTCCTCGTGCACAACCGAACCAACTCAACCTTGGCCATCAGTAACTGGTTATGGTGAATTAAACGCGTGCGGGGAAATATTTTGAATGAATAATAATTTTATTTAATCAGAAGTTAGACAAGTAGACGCTCCAACAACAACTTGTTATGTGTGGGAGGTTCTTTGCTGTCGTCATTGCCTACGTTTTTCAACCAGAACAATTGGTGCAGTTTTCAGCTCTTTGCAAGCAATATTGAAGGAAATATGAGCTATCGAAAACTGCGAAATTGCTGGGTGCAAAAAAATTAATGAGCCATACATTCTTTGTAAAAATTTCGAGTTTTTAAAGTCTTTAGAGAATTTCTCCGAAACCATTTGTTATATCGGGCTTAAATTTTCAGATATAACTAAAATTGTTATGCTCTTTCAATATTCAAAACTTTAAGTTTTATTTTATCAGCTTCATCAGATAATGATGAGCATATGTTATGAGGAAAAAATGTAAACAAAGATTGGCCTATTCCTGGCGGCCTTTCACTAAGGAACGCCACGACAGTGATGTTGGCGCTCGCAGATGAGCCGTTCATGTTGCCGGCCCACAAACAGGCACCTTGGTTGACCCTCGAAAGGAGGAGTGTTGACCGGTTTTTCCTTCCTTTAGAAGTACAGTGAAATTAACGTATGACCATAATGATTTTTAAGTTAAATACACCGTTTAGTATCAGAACACCAGGACCTTCTACCGGACGAAGGCTGCTCTTGTTAATCAGCTGAAATTTTCTATGACTTTTCACTTTCAAACGAGGCAACCTTGCAGATTTTAAGGCGCTCCTTCCAGTCGTATTCGCTAACTATTCCCAGTCAAAGTTCAAAAAACCATGGAAGAGTCTACCGTAGGGATGCATAGATCTGTACATTAGCTTACATTGACCTCAGTGTTTTCATGTATGGAAATAAAGAGTTTAATAGTACAGAAATAAAAGGGGAAAATGTTTACCAATAAAAATAATGTTACCTGGTGTCGTTGTTTTCCTTTTAAGACATTATGTTTGTCACTTCAAGAGCCTTTCTAGACATGGGTACCTGCGGGCGTCGTTTTCGACGCGCGTTTTTCATCAAATCGTCACTTTTCAACGAAATTTTCGTATATCAAGAATTGTTTTGCGTTGTAACGCTACTACCGAGCTCAAGAAAACAAAACGAAAGACGACGGCAAAGAGAAAATAAAAAAAGGAATAGGTTTTACAAGCAAAACGAAAACTCTGAACGAACAACACACTTAAAGGTTGTCAAACTTGATCTGAATATGGCAATGCGATGGTCGCGGTAATCTCTAAGATCGTCTATTCATCAATAGCGATCGTCATGACTTCGATTTTGTCGGCCATACCCATACACAGTCTGACTTCACTGGCGAGAAAATTCTGAGCTTTTGGCTTTGTCTGGTACTGCCCGAGCATCAGCTACACTGAATCCACTTTGAACAAGGATCATACCGGTTGCTGAAGCTTTGCTTGCAGTCCGCCTTTTTTTCTTAAAATCTGTCCAGTTCTTATCCAAGCCAGTGAGACTGCAAACAACGACGTTTATATTCCACAAATATCCAGAGCGTTGTCAAGTGGTTCTTTCAGACACTGTTTTATTTCTGTCTTTCCTGTACATGTGTTTTTTTGTTCCCGCGTTTTAACACAAATATTTTGAGAACCAATCAGAATAGAGATAAAAACAACAAATGCACTGCATCATGGGAAATTTGGCACATCAGTCTCATATGATGGTGCGTTGTAGACTCCCTCAGCTCAGGCTTCTCTTTTTTGAAAATTCGGCCCATTTCTTCAAATAACTCTGAAGGTTTCTGGAAACACGGCGTCTAAGATATACTTTAGTCAAGCTGAAGACTGCCTGTCTGCCGAATTTCGGTTCCAGTTACGGAGTTATCCCACGAAACATCAACATGGCCTCAGCTCAGAGTTTGGAATCTGACAAATTTAGCAATGTAAGTAAGGATTTTTCCTTCTCCAACATTTTGATTTGGTTTTCGTTATTCTGTTGGGCAGTTACCTGTTTTAGATATAATCTAACTTCAAGTTTTAAATTTTGGCTTCATGATTTTCAATTAAGTAGGTCAAAGAGTTTCGGTTAATTTTAGCTTGCATGTTGTTTGATCAGTGGTATTGTGCAGTCTCACGTATATGTAGTGTTTGTTGTGCTATTCATTACATGTTTTTCATGATCAAGAGTACGTTAACTGAAATTTAACTATTCACTGGTAGAATACATCATCATACTAGTGCCTCATAGCCCTGAAAACGAGTAGTATTTTACGTATAGATATTATCAACAACAACGCCACATTGTGCCGTTGCTGTAAAAGAAGAATCTATTGACCTATGAGGCTGTACGGAAATCTTTAATACCGAGAATTTTCTTAATTTGCCATCCCTCAACCGACCTATTTTGGAATTTCTTTTTTGATTTAAGAGTACAAGACCCGTCTGTGAAAACAGACTTGGTTTATGGCTCAGTCAATTTGTCATCCTGTCGGTCCCGGCGGGGGGAATTTGTCAGAACACCTCTGCCGGGGTTGGGACATTTGCCAATTCTTCTTGAAGTGGTTAACGTTGTTCCTTTTTCAATATGTCATGAAAAAATATGACTGTTTAGATAGCTAAAGTAGTTTTAAGCAGTTTTGTTTGCTTGTTCTTGTGTTTCTAGTGCCATAGTTTTGTACAGCTCCGAACTGAGACAATAGCTTCGTATCCAAATGTTTATTACAGAATTTGTTAAGAGCCGGAAATGTTGAGTGTTGGAAATTAATCATCAACTATACCTTGATATAACAACCATTTTGCGTGTTTTCCCAAAAATTGAGTAAATCAAGGTTTTCGATATAATGAACTCACAATGTAACGAACAAATTTTCCCAATCCCCTATAGCCCTTTGTTCCAGAGGATACATGTACAGTATAGTTCTTAACCCTTCAGGTCCTTGACAACTTACACATTTGTGATGACACACCTTGCTCATATCAAATGTTAACTGTACTTATATGTATTAAAGCAGGCAGAGAAGAAACTCGGTGATAATTCCAGGACATGTACCTTGTGCAAGCGTTACAACCTCAGCAGAAACAGCTCAACTGGTAAATGAATTCTAAGCACTTGGTTAAGTGTTGTTTTATCCCATTTCCCTTGCCCCCTGCGTGCTTGTGTGCCTGTCGAGAATTTATAGGCATTATAGCTCCTGAGGGGGTTGGAGTACTCCCTTACATGTATATAAGCTATAAATTATAGGTATGTCGCACCCAATTTAGGTAAGCACCATTTCGGTCTGAAAATGGGTATACACTTTGACCATTTTTGGTCTGGAATCAGGTTTGGTTTTAACAGAGCTACTGAAGTGCATGAATGTGAAAGAAAAAATATTACATGAATTCGAAATAGATTTTAAGAAATCTCTCTTATGGCATTCTTAACTAAGTAATGATGACGTAATATTTATTTCTCAGAGGCCAAGCCTGAAAAGATGTATGAATTTTAGAGGCCAGGTCTGGAAAGGGGTGTGGAAAATGATAACCGGGCACCACACCCACACATTCAAGCAGCAGATTTGATTAGAGCAACACAACTAAATCAACAAAGGGTTGTTATTTTGAATTTTCAAAACCCTAAAATGTGAGTTCCAGACTGTCGGATAAAAGAGCATGTTTTTCATTCAAGAAAATGTAGCTTCAGTTTATCAGCCACACACTCCTTTAAGCAATTAACAAATGATGATAACTTAATTACGTACATTTGCACGTGAACAAATTCTGCCTAGAAATCTACATGTATATAAAACGTGTAAAAAAAATGGTCAGTCGCTGGTGCTTATAAGGGAGCTGAAGCAAAAATGTTTCTGGACGACACATGTCAAGCAGATGTGAGGCCTTTTCCCTTTTAATAGTATAGCTTGACTCTACCAAATGTGTCTTGCTAAGTATCTTTACTCTTACTGAGACAAATTGCCAGAGAATTTGGGAAAAATTGCTTCCCAGTAACACAAAATGGCCACTTCCGGTTTGACATGCATCGCTCAAAAACGTCTCTCCTTAAGTTCCTTATTGAAACCCCTGCACAACCCCTTCCCTACCCCCCCTTCCCCATTTGCTCCTTAAGAAAAGCATCCAAACGTAGCTAAATACCAATATACTTTGAACCCAGTTCATATGTGGCTGACCATGGATACCAGGGACAGAGAGAGACAGTTAAAACATGTGAAGAACTGCATTTTGACTCCATTCTTGTTTGGAAAGAGAATGAATTACTCTTCAAAGGCAAGTGTATAAACTCAATTCTTTGTAACTCAACTTATCTTTCAAAGTGTTTTGGAAGGGATTGAAACTACATTCTTGCTACACTGGAAGTGATTCTGTATCATTTTCAGGGTATAAGTGGGTATAACATTTTTTCCTTAGGTCTAGGTCCCCATCTAGACATTCTTTAAACTCAAAGAGGAGCTATGCCAACAGGAAGTAGTTTTCATGTGAAATATGTTTCATGATAATATTATTGCTCAGCAGAAGTTTTCTGCATTGAGAGTTTCATTATCAAATTATTTAAGGAGAGCATTTTTGCCCAGAACCAAGAAAGTTAACAGAAACTTATAAATATACGAAGTACATTAATTAATTAAGAAGTAGATTTTATTGTTTTCTTTTTCTTTTTCTTTTTCATTTTTACAGAATATTACATGGCTAGAACATTTGAGACTTATACCAGCAACCAGGTTTGACCAGTTCAAATGTTTTGGTGCAATGGTTACTGCTAAAATAGTGATGGTTAAATAATTATAAAGTAAAATTAATAATTATTTTATTTATACAATGTATAATGCTGTTTGCCACTTTGTTGTCCAAAGCACTGTTTTATCCAGATTATGCTTATTAGCATCAAACCACAGTATTGTTGTTGGTCATTTTGCTGTCTTTCTTGTAGGTGCAGCTAGCTGAAGATCAGTATTTTATTGTTATTATTATAGTAGCTTTGTATGAAAACCTTAGAGCCAGTTGTGGTCATGTTACAGTAGCTCATTCACCGCTCTAGAATAGCTCTAAATTTCTTAAAAAGAGCTCATCATTAATATAAGTGCCTCAGAAGTGTCTTTGAAAATGTAATCCGTGGGCTTATTTTTGTTATTTTTTAACATGTCCTGCAATATTCCTACAAAAGTTCCTAGGCACTCACTTGTTTTTGTAATTTTTCGATAATATCCAGGTGCCAATTGTTTGAAAGGTGGATAATGCTATCCACTGAATAAATCTCTATCCATTGGATAACACAGTTGGCTTCCCTAATATTTATTTGCTGGATAGTGATAAATCCTGTGGATAGCACTATCCAATATTTGAACAACTGGGGCCTGTATTAATTTCTTCAGGAGTTCCTGGCACTCAGTCACTTGCTTGTCAGATAGATTCATAGAAGTTGCTGAATTAGCAGAGGAAATAGTCGACATTGTCTTCTCCTGCCTTGTAAGTTGTATAGAAATGTGATCTTTCTGCCTTCAAACTCCAAATTTTATGATGTTTTAATTCTTTTGTCTAGCACATTCCTCACACTATTTTTTGGACATCAAGCTGTATCTTTTGATATTCAGACAAATGTTTTACTTGTTGGCTGGTTCTTGTTGACTTGTTTAACAGGTTTCTGAGGAGTTTCTGCATAGCAGTTACCACATACATAAAGAACTGACAGATGTGAGTGAACAATTTTGTTGTGCTAGACTTCTTTGCTTAGAATAATATTTAAAAAAAAATATTGTAGTATCTAAACAGCCTTGTATGTACTGCGTGCCTACATACCATGTGATGTGTTCCATCAAACCAGTTCTGGTATACATAGGATTGTTTGCATGGTGATTACTTCAAATTTGTTGTCAGTCTCATATACAGATGATTTTAAATAGTTATTCAACATTATTTTACAGTGCTACTGTGTAGAGAGGGCTCTCACGATTGGAAAGAAAAGTGAATTTGTCTCGCTTATGTGGTATGCCAAACAGTTTTCTTGTGTTACATGTGTACAGTATTACAGTCAAAATACTTAACACACGCTGTTTTTTAGTTGGGAATGACTTTGTTTATTGGGAATGGAGTGGATTCTTTAAATTAATTCTACTTTCAAATTGAATATGGTAATGTTCCAATGGGTGCTTTGCTCCAAAGGAGAAATGGTATTGGCTTATGATTGACATCAGGCAAACCTTCACAACCTAGTGGCAGCTTGACACATCTGACCTGATATGTGTTTGCTTAACAATATTCCTCGTACATGCTTTTACACATGCACAAGCTGTCTGCTGTGAAGAAGAATTCTTTAAAAAAGCAAGTGTGCTGTAGATGCTTGAGAAATGTTCCTGAAAATTAAGAAAAATTCCCTGTAATGTCAAACAAGAGGCTGAAGTGAACAGGTGCCAATTCAATTCAATTCAGTCAACTTAATTTAAACAAAGTAAATAGTTGAGCAAGCTGGTTTTCGGACATGCCGTGTAACAATTATTACAAGCTATAAATATTAAAACTAGTGATTAACTAACAATAATTTAGCGCTAGGATTTGCAATTTTATATCTGTCCTTATTGACTCTTATAAGTGTAACTATCTAGTTTTATGGCTGACCACTGTCCTTCCATGTTTTATCTGTGTGATAAGTACATGTACCATCCTACCTGCTGCATGGGAACTCCTTATTAGTTGAATAAAGATCAGCACAGCAGTTGGTAGCGCGTGGCTTTCCTCATGGAAGGTTTAGAGTTTGATTTCAAATAGTGACCTTAAGGTATCAGCCACCCTTCAGGACCGTCCGCGCGCGGATCGCTGTAGCGTTAGTTGTTGTTATAAAAACCCCCATAAACCATATATTTTTTAAAAGCTTAATAATTCCAGATTATGGATTTGAACTAAAAAAAAGATTTACTCAAATGTGCTTCGAAATTGGAACGCTTTGTATAAAAGTACACGTCTCTATAAATCATGTTCCACTCCCGCCGGAAATAAACGGAAGAAAACAATTAACACCGCATTCGCTTCTCAACATGTTCTACTAAAAAACCGTGTCTCAGATTTTTGACAAGTGCGTTTGTTTTTCTTTTATTAACAAATAAAGTTGGGGAAGACAATTAGTCAACACTCCCTGTGGAAAAAAAGCTGTAGCTTTAAAATGGAAAGGAGTATTAAAATTCGCAGACATGGTTTTGTAGAAGAGATATATGGCATCACTCTGGCCAAATTTTAGCCAAATTGATTGAAAGGCTGGCGACTTGGAGTTCAAAACGTACGAGTCGATCGGCAAAATTTGCGTTCGGAGATAAAATAGAAAATACATTTTTGGCGGCATCCTACCTGGAATGAGATTATAACGCCTGAATGTTTATTCTGATCGATATCAGAGAGGGATCAATTTTCTCTAACAATAGGACTTTGACAGGTAACATGTAACAGGAACAAACTTTCGCGGCAAGCAAGTGAACAGTTTAATTCTCCGTTGGAAAACGTCCACTCTTTTACACCACGAGAAGCACGGTTTAATTCTTTCTCGAGCAAAAGTTTTGCCTCTCCTTCGATCTTTTTTGTATGATCCGCCCAGGCGTTTTTGTTGATCGGAGTCAGGCCAAGGAAACTAAAAAACTTTGAAGGCGCCGAATGTCCACCACTGATTGCTCGAAGGCCAAGAACTGAGGCCCGGTTATTTCAAACGCTCTCCTCTTCTCGGAAGAATTAAAAACAGAATTTGTCTTGTGCAACGGACAGCTTTCATTCTCGCACTGGATTCCCCGGGTAGAACCAAGTCCATGCTTAGTCGTTACATTTTCCATGACTTGGACTCTTCCCTGGCAAAATCGACAAGATACAGATGCGTCCATTTTCACAAGCAGCTTTTCGCTCGATACGATAGCTCGACTGCTTATTGTTTTCCACGTTCCATCAGCACATGGGGTCGATGAGCTTAACTGGCTTTCTTCATCTGGCTCGTCAAGCTATATTTTGGAGCGGCTTGCACTCTCAGCAACAGCATTTTCGCTTTTCTGAATATCCAACCCCTCGAGCCACTTCTCTTGCTGATAAAATAAGCCTTGGTCGCTCTCTGCCAATTTTGCGGTCCATTCTTTGTCAAACTCGCTCTTCGATTTCTTTTTTCGCTCTCGGTTTCGATGACGAAAACGGACACGACCTTTTGGGCGGCATTTTCACCGAAGCAAACGCTAAATCTAAAGGCTATAAACAACGCAAAGACAATTCGCACGTGTTGTGTCGAAGCACGCACTCGGTATCACATTACTAGTTAACAGGCAAGTTAATTGATATATGACACAAGTATGAAAGATCTTGTCAACGATCAATAATTAAGGTAATTAACGAGAAAAAATCTTTTACCCCCGATATCTTTCAACAGAAATAATATTTTCTTCTAATTTTTTTTTTTTAAAGAAAGCTCTCAAGCATATCTATTTGAAAACGTTGAAACCTCAAATATGGAAAAATGGCAATTTTAAGGGTGGCTGATACCTTAAATCCTTGTTTTGATTGGGGGGGGGGTTAAGCATTCAAGATTCATGATAATTTCAGATTGTATGATGAATAAACAAACACAAACATTCAATTACTTCTAATGTTTGTATTTTTTGTGTTATATCATTAATTTAATGCTTTCTGGAAATTTTTAAGGCTCAGACAGGGTTGGGTTTTTTGGGATTTTGTTTCGGTTCTTGCCCCCATTCGATAATAACCATTGCTTGAAAACCTTTTAACAAGAAGTGTTTGTTTGTTTGTTTTTTTTTTCAGTCATTGCTTCAATGGAAATCACGCTTTAGATCAGAAAAGAATTCAAATGCTTTCACTAACCATTCTTCATCAAGGTACTTGTACAACAGCCAAATACATGTACTGTTCATGTTAAAATTAACTTGCTCTTAAAACAGTGCCTAAATCTCTCCCAACTAAATGCAGCACATTATAAAGTAACTATTTCTACAGTTTCTACAGTCAATTTCTCAAACCTCCATGTGGAATGACCTCTTGTATGTGTACATGTTTGCCTAGTCAAAGTGCTATTGCTGGAATCTCTGGGCATTTGAGGTGGTGGCTTATGGAAGGTTTTACAATAACTTAACTTGTGAGTTCTACCCTTGAAGAAAGGCTGCACTTTACATTCTGTTTTAACACTAAGGGATCTGCAGACATTGTCAAATTTATTTGTTGTAACATTAAAATTTGTTCCCCCTCCTGTTTCCCTTACAGCACTGAAACATATCTACCAGATTGCCAAGCATGGTGACTGTGTCACAAAGTTTGAGGATTCAGTGGCAAGGAAAGAACCGGTAATTATTTCTGCAGTTATCCTGTAGTCTGCATCACAGGCAAGACTAAACTTCTGGTTGAGTCTCTGGGGAGAGTAATTCCTTAAAGTAATACTAAATAGCCTAATGGGGATGTGCCGCTGTATGGGGTTGCATTTCCTTGACTGGACTGATTGTAATGGGGCTACATTCTCATTAGAGTTAATAGAATGGGGTCACACATATTTGGAATTTTCGGGTTAAGAAAATTTTTGGATCTAAGAATTTGAAAAAAAAGTGTGAATTCACTTTAGGATGACTGACAGGTACTAGACTTTATGAGGTGAAGAGGCATAAAAGAAAGTTACAAGTAAATTATATTTGTCCAAAGGTGACTGAGATGGGGATGGTCTATAACTGGCCAAACAATAGATTATAATGGGTTAGGGTTCTGAGATGCCAGCGGCATATACCCAGCAAAAATTGACCCAAGTAGCTCCCAAGCAGTCTTTCTGTGAGCCAGTGCTGAAATCCTTGATCTGGGCCTCCACCTGTGTACCAGGATTTGTGTATGTGCCATGATTGGCCTGGCTTGTTAAAAAAGCCAATTATCGATTTGCCAATCAGGTTGAAGGGAAATTGGAACACACTTCCAGTAATTTGTCGAGTCTATTGGGGGTCTAGAACAAGGATTTCAGTGCTGCTTTGTAGACTTTACTATCCAGGGGTTGGATTGTGTGTGTGTCTGTAATGCACGCTACTATCTTGTGTCCTGTTTTCACTTTCTAATGTTATGCAGGGTGCAAAGAAAGCCAGTTTTACAGCTTGCCATTTAGGGAAGCTGTAGCTCCTGTGTACTAGCCTGAGAGTTATTTTAAGGTATCATCCAGGGTAAAAACCCATCATTTTTCGAAATTTTCAATTTTTAGATGATTAAGTAGAGCTCATCAAGAGCTTTCTTTTAAAAAAAATTCCAGAAAAAAAATGTTTTTTCTGTGCAGACTAATGGAGCGCAAAAGTTTTTTCTATGCTAATTATTTTAATTGATCGTTGACAAGTCCTGTCATACTTGATACGCATGCCGCTGTTGAACCAAGCTAATCACGCAATTTGACAGAAATCGTGGTCTACAACTGCTCACTGTTTTTCCCTGGATTTTGGAAGTGAATGCCTCCAAAGAAGAAAAAAGAGCTTGTCCGTTTTTGTCCTTGACTCCAAGACGAAAGAAGACGTCAAAATCGTTTTGCAAAGTGTGGGTTTCGAAATTAGCAGAGAGTGACAAGGGCTCCTACTACAATCAAGAAAAATGGCTAAAAGATGACAAAGCTTCTGAAAAACCCATTGAAACTACCACAAAATCGAGTTTCACAAGTTTCTTAGCGAGCGGAGCGAGCTTTTTAGGTCACGAAGCGACCAAGCAAGTGACAAATTCGCGACCGGTCCCGCGCCATATAAAAAAAGGAAGAAGGACTTTTGTGAAAGTCTATTGTAGCGGGAGAGCAGCTCCAAGAAAAACTCCAGGAAGCGGTTTGTTGTCAATTTTTCCAGGGAAGTGTCGAACTTTTAAAAAATGTATCGAGTAAAAGTTGGCTTGGCTCAAAATGAAAACTGCCCGTCGCAAATAACTAAAGATGCTTTCTCGACAACAGGAGGATCGAACAGAGCAGAACGTTCGAAGTAAATTGTTCATCTGTTGTTGGGTTTCGTTTGTATTCTTTTCCTGCTGTGTCACTATTGTTGTCCCTTTTCTGGTATGTATCAACATTGACAGCTTTGGTGTTATAATCTGTTATAATCTCGTCACGGGCAATACACCGCCAAAAATATTTTTCCCCTGTTTTCTCGAAATGAAAATCAGAGCAAGTTGAGGGTACGTTTTGAACTCCAAGTCGGCAATCCGGGAACCAATTTGGCTGAAATTTGGCCAACTTACTGTCAGATAGTTTTTCTAAAAAACTGTGTCTGCGAATTTTGATTTCTTTTTTCGTTTTCGAGTAAGAGTATTTTTTTACAGGTAGTGCTAATGATTTGCTATCCCTAACTTCAACTGCTTATAACAAAAGAACAAAACCACTTGACAAAAATCTGAGACACGGTTTTTTAGTCAAACGTGTTAAGAAGAGAATGCGATCTTAATTGGCTTCTTCCATTTATTTTCGGCTGGCCTGGACTTAAATTTACAGCGACACCCACTTTCACAAAAAGCTTCCCATTTCTGAATCGCGTTAATATTTTGATTTTTTAAAAGGAATAAGCAATAATCTGGAACTATTAAGCTTTCAGAAAATGTACGGTTTGTGGAAGGATTTATTAAAAGCAAAAACGCTAGCGCCGATCAACGCAGGTAGGGTGCTTAAGGGTGGATGATACCTTAACAAGCCTTTGAAAATAAATTAATGAAAAGGATTGATTATAGTTGTTGCCCAAAAAATTCCCCCAAAATTACTAAACTTGCCTGTCAAACAAGTTAAGAACAGAATTCACTAGCCCCATCACAAAATCCACTATAGCCCCACCTGGGCTATGCAGACACAATTTTCCTTGCACGCTGGTATGTCAATTCGTCAGTTTTTAATTGACTGATGTTACACTGCAGTTGAATAAATTCAACCTTGTAAAGATAATTGAAAGAAAATGTTTGCTACATGATTTGTTGAAAAATACTTACATGAGTTGTTGTTGGTGTAGATTTGCACTGAGCTAAGGTTGAAAGGCAATGATCAATTTATGGCTGGTGAATACGAAGCAGCTGTTTCCTTCTATTCACATGCGATTGAATTCAGGTAAATATTTTAAACATCAGTGTAGTAATAATCAATCAATGTTTGTTATTTTTCCAAGTCAGTAATAACATGTATGTTTTGGTATGCGTGCTTCCATTGAACATTTCTTTGTTGTTTAGTTTGTATGGCTCAGTAGGTTGCGAAATATGCAAAGTTTAACATACAGTTATATGCACAGTTTTAAGAATTTAAAACTTTTTTCCTAGTCCATTTGATCCCTTGTTGTATGGCAACAGAGCTCAAAGTTATCTCAAGTTAAAAAAATTAAGGTTAGTCAAAGAATGTAAGTTAAAAGTGTCTGATGGCTACTTTCACTTTAATCATAACTTGAAACAGATAGTCTAATGAGGGAGGGATTCCTGAACAATTCCTTAGTATTCTCGGGACCGTCACTAAGGACCAATATTGGTTATTTTTCCGTGGCTACTGTGAGTATTACCCCTTGTTACTCGTCTGGAAAACAAGGAAAATAGAACCTAAAGAACTGAATCAATAGCGCCGTGCGCAGTTACTATTTATAGACCCGAAACTCAGACAAACAAACTGAAATTAACATTAGCGAATTCCTCACTTTTGTCTGACTTTTCTTATTAAAATGTTATGTTTGTCTGTCTTTTGTCATTAAAATGAGAAAAATGACAAAACTCAGACAAAAATTGCAAATTAGTCACATTGACATCATTCACATGCTACGCTATTTAGGTGTCTGGGAAACTGCCCACCTACCCCTCCCCTAAGCAAGCATTTTGCCCTAAGTGAGAACTAAGTGATAATGTTCACTTAGGGAAGGGGTGGGTGGTCAGTTTTCCAGAAACCTAAATTGATCTAAGAACTTCCCCGCCTACTTCAGATATGTAGTTAGCAGGCAACCTGGTTCCTAGCATTCTCTCCTACCCATCCCTATGGAGCAAGAGAGAGACAGGTCTTCCTTGACGGGTAGGAGAGAGAACTTGGAAGTGAAGTTGGTTAGCAGGATTGCAAGTTAGTGAGATTGATACTCTTTATGATAGACATCTCTGGACATAAGTTCGGAGCCTACTACTTGCATACACCTGTGGACTTCAAATCTTAGCCACAGTCCTTTTTTGTGATCCAACCACAGGGAGGCCCTGTCTGATGCAAAGAGAGCAGTGTATCTCAAGCCAGAGTGGGAAAAGGTATTTACTACAACTTTTATATAACCTGTCTATACTGGATCTTGAAATTATGCTGGCCTCTTGTGTGAGCCCTTAATTTGAAGAGGACTATTTTAATGCTCAAGAAATCTTTGTTTCAGGGTCATTACCGGTTTGCTCAGGCTTACTTTGAACTTGGTTTTCCTGAAAAAGCTATGGCAGTGAATTCATTTGCTCAAAAGTGTTGTTCATCCACTCTGAACTTGCTTTGCCAAGCTGTTGCATTCAAGAAAGGTATGTACTTGGTATCACAACTGTTTTATTTTAATGGCACTGAGCAATGGTTGGATATTGCCTTTTGCAATGTTACCAATATTTGATCCTAAAACACCAGACAATAAAGAGATAACTCTGTAATTTGCAGCAATGCCAGTGCCTTTAGTTGTTTTGTATTGCTGGCCCTAGTTGTTCAAACAGTGGATAGTGCTATCCATCTATTGAACAACTGGGGCCAGGTGGCTGTTTGTGTTAAAGAATGTGAGTTGCCATGCTTTTTTCCTCACTGAGCGGCCAGGGTCGTAACCTGAGTAACAGTAAAAACGTCTTTCCCACTCATCACTTGTCACCTGCTTGATTGGTTTCATTCTTGGACTTTTCTCTTCTTTAAAAAGAGATACAAAAAAGATTACCAGCTTGCCGTCTTCTTACTAAGTAAAATGCACCTGTTTTGTCCATTTTGGGAAAACTGATATAAATTTTATCCTTGGGAGAGGGACTCTGAGACTCACCAGTATTCCCCATGTTAGAAACTCTAGGGAGAATGGCTACAAGCTTTTGGTGCAGTGATTTCAGCAGAGTTTGCATAATCTTGAAAAGTCCTTAAATTTTAGGGGAAGTCCTTGAAAAGTCCTTGAATTCCATTTTCCCTTGTAAAATCCTTAAATCTCTGTACAAGTCCTTGAAATGTCCTTGAATTTTCTTCAATTTTGCAAGTAGTAATGTGAAAAGTGTTTTTCAATGCTTTTTGGTTGTTCAAGACAGAATATAAATCATAGCTCAGAGAACTTAAAGGTGATTTACATAAAGCGTTTTTTGTTTATGCAGTAATTAACTATCAATTTAAGGCAAGTTGAACTGAAAAATGTAGAGAAGTTGGTGCAGAAAACAGTTCAAGCCTTAAAGTCCTATTACTTTGGAATGAGAATGTGCATTTTTGTACAATCTATGAAATAACATTCCTGGTAAATGTTCCTTGAAAATCAAATGTTGTCCTTCAAAAGTCCTTCAAAATGGTTGCAGTTATTTGTATAAACCCTGTTTCAGGGGTTGTTAGGGTGGACAAGCGTTTGTTACGATTGGTGGATGGTATTCAAGGCAACCATTAACCAATCATAAGTAACGCTTGTCTACCCAAACAATCCTGAAATCATTGCACCAAAAGATTGTAGCCATTCCATTTGTTTCTGGAAGGGGAATTAGGTTGAAGTTCTCCTCTGAAGTCTTAATTTTTAGCTGAAGAATTTTTTGTTTTCATACTTTTCTGGAGTCAGTGACTCCTTGTTCAATGTTTTTGGACAAGGTAGTCAAACTAAACAAACTAAATTTTAAGTTGTCATGGAAGATGTTTCGTAGGATAAGCCCCAGCTTCTATTTAGGCTTCCTTGCCATTACCACTATGAACATTTGTAAAATAATTTATTTAGCATAGTGTCTATCATCTTTAATATATTATAAATTTCTTGATAAATGAATAAATGAATGATTTAGTGAAGCATCTGGTTCAATGTAAGTTTAGTTTCTTGTCAGCAACCAACCATTGGTAATCAAGTGTATTTTGAATCAGAACTTCAAACTTGCAAAGAGATAACCTGTCTCTGTCTGTGTGTGTTTAATTGTCCATTAGAAATGACTGAATCAGCTGAGAAGAAAAAAGCTCCATGCTGCAGCCAAGGTGAAAAGCAAAATACTAGCAGCAATCAACAGCAAGAACAAGGTCAGTATTGAGGATGCTGAAATTTAAAAACAATTCCTTTCTTTAGTTATGTCCTTTTAAAAATGCCAGGGCCCGGTTCAAAGCTGGGTTAAGATAACCCAGGGTTAGTGGGAAATTTGAATTCAGATATGAAAGCTTAAAAAGTACATTCAGTTTAATTCTTTTTGTCAACAAGTTGATGATTGGATGCTCTTAAAAATAGCAGAGAAAATTAGCCAAGAAAATGCTTTTGAACAAATGAAAAAGAAACCGGGTTAAATTTAACCCTGGGTTAAGAGCTAATCAGCCTTCGAACAACTGTGCCTAGGTGATTTGATCAAAAAACCAAGAATCTCCTTTTGCCAATTCATGTGATTTTACAATAAATGGCCAAGTTTGATTGTTTTTAATATGCTGAAAAGGGGATTTTCTCAAAAAAACTTGGTACTTTGCTTAAAGGGGCGAGATGTCTCAAGGATATTGCTGTTTTAGGTCAATTCTGTGCTGAACTAACCTGAGATCAGGCCCTATTTGAGCAGTTCTCATACATTCTCTCTAACGGCTACCGCTTTCGTTTCGTCTTGCCCGCCGTAATGTAATTTTCAAAGCGAAACGAAAATAGAGCCTGATCTCAGGTTAGTGCTGAACAGAAGTCATTACTAGTGCCATAACCCATACACAAAATGCCCTTGTAGAGTTATGAAAAATTTTATCAGGGAGTACTAACAAAAATATTTTGTTGGCACCATCCATTGCAACAGACGACAGGAAACAGTTTCAAGGCCTAAGTATAGTTTGAAATAAAACTGGATGATTAGTTTTTGAATTGAAATTGATGCAAATACATTTTAGCTTTTTACAAAGATATAAAAATAGTGTGACAAAGTCCCTGTAAAGTTAATGATTAAAACGATTTGTAATAAGGTAACTATACCTAGTGTTTTAACTACCTTTTACAGCTTGTTCTGTCCTGGAAAACACATCGAAAACACGAGTGGGAAGTAAGAGAAATTGGAACATTGCGAACCAAGCAGAAAGTCCTGATCCTGCATTAGCTTCTTCAGTAAAAAAGGATACGCTCAGACCTACAAATTTTGGTAGGATTGTTATCAATGACATTTGCTTTGTAAATTCGTATGAGTTCTCCTATCTGATATCCTCATGAATTCACTTCATCAATGTGCAGTACTTCATTGTTCCTCAAATTTTCTCAGGTTTCTCGATTATTGTGCGCACAAAAGGCGTACAGTTAGTATGAGGTAGACAGGACTCAGTGTTTGGTATCACTGATACAGCATACATGTATGCCTCAAAGAAGTCATGAAATCCAAAATAGTTAACAATTACTGGATGAGGCCGAGTATGATTTAATATACATATTGGGGAGGTTCCATCCGTGTCTGTGCGTCTAACTTCAAGTCAATCATAGAATAAAGGCAAGCATCTTCCAAATTTGGTGACCGCAAGCTGGCCAATCAGAAACAGGGAAATATTTTGAATGAATAATAATTTATCTTGTTCTTACAGAAAACGAAGATAATCGAAGCGCTTGTAGTGAAAAAGAAGACTCAGATTTGGACTTGTCTGATAACGACTCGCTGCCCCCTCTGACATTTGACAGCAGTGACGACTTAAATGAAGACGAGGATGATGATGGTGACGATGGTGAGAGCCTGTGGTGTATAGACCTTCCTCCCTTGGCCTCTTTTAATGAATCAGACACTGAATCGGATTCTGAGCATGATGATGAACGCTGTTCATTACATGATGAGTTTTATTGTACCTGTGACCAACAAGTTCCTCCGCTTCACTGTGTTTCAGATGAATCAGGCTGCTCCGGTATCTGTCTTTGTTTGCTTTACGAACCTTAAATAAATGATGATATAATAAATAATAATAATAAATGACTTTATTTGTGGTGTATCCACTAATTACAATGGTTCTTCACCTGTAAATTGATTACATTAACCACTCTCCTATTGCTTTTTTGCCGATCTCGTTGCCGTCGCCGTTGCTTAAGTTCTGGAGCTTAGCAACGGCGACGGCAACGAGAACGTAAAAGAAATAATAGGTTTGATCAGCAAAACAACAACTTTGTCGTGCTATACACTTATTTTACAAATTTCTTTGCCGTCACTGCACGACTACGACGTGAAATTCCCTCAAGCGAAGTCTTATGGAGGACGTAAAAACACAAGACAACAAATTTCTCCTTCTCCCTCTAAACTTGGGTGCGGTTCCCAAGAACTCAGTTCTAGGGAAATTCACCTACGTTTGAGATTTTACGTGAGTTGAAGTAATCACGACAAAGTTTGCCGGAAAAAAAGTCTTTTAAATAGTGTCGTTTTTGCTGCCGTCGCCCTGTCGTTGCCAAAGCTCCCTATTAATTGCTCTCTACGCTTGTTGGCAAGAGTACTACTGTAGTCCGACATGTTACCCTGGGGTATTTGCTCAACGGCAGGTCACGCCTGGGTATCAAACCCGCTTATTATCTTTGCAGGTTCTGAATGCGTGAACTGTAGACGTTTTGGCGACGACGATGATGATAATGATGATGGTGAAGATGACGACTGCGAGTTAGATAGTGAAAATGAAAGGTAGGGAATCAAGAATCTTGTTTTCTCCCTGTCTCTTTTTCGTATCATTTTGGAAGTTAACTTTTGCCGGATCAATGATAATTATGAATAGCCCTCAAAAGGTTGAGTTTGATCGTCCGGGTGAACGTAGTCCTGAATAGGACTGTTGTTGTTGACAGTGACTGACGTTTCGACAACCTGTGCGGTAGTCATCTTCAGAGTCAAAGTGAGTTGTATCAGGTCAGTTGATGTTATTGATCTGATTGGTCAATTATGTCGCGATGTTATTGGTCGTCTGTCAGTTAAGCCGTGATGTTATTGGCTATGAAGACTCGTAATCAGTGATTGGTGCGTTTCGATCCGTCTATTGTCACAGTTAAACAGTCGTCTATTGTTAGTCAAATTGTCAGTTCTCCAGTTGTTCTCTCGTTTGCCAGCCCTGTTTGCCGGCAATTTGTGGCTGGAACAAATAAAACTGGGCTTCCAGAAGAAAATGGAAATTTGGAGTGCTCCTCATTTTTCACGCTCTTTCCTGCCTCCGCAAGATTTGAGCTCGTACGTAATGACATCGGAGGTGAATGTCAGGAAAAGGCGTAAAATAAAAGCTAAACAGCGTTGGTTGCGGCAATGTTTGCTGAGATACATTCTAGTTCTACCCTAAGCCTGTGTTCACTCTATACCGGACAGCTTTTGCGCTGGCGCGAAAACCATACCGGATAGGGCTTCTGCAGTGCATATGCAAATGCACTCCATATGTCCCTGATCTGCACGTGTTTGTATGATTCGAACTCTCCTTTTTTCCTCTGAAAATGCCCTTGAAATTTCACAAATGGGTCGTGGAAAATCCTTGAGTTCTTCGCCTAAAAAAGTATGCGAACCCTGAATACCCTGTAGAGAACGAATTATTTTTTTTTGTAGAAAAGGTTAATTGTGTTTGTTATTGTGTTTTGTTTTGTAGTGATAATGAGGAAGATGATAGGGATGAATCTGAGAGCATTGATAATGTGGATATCTTGAGTTCGTTGTTAATCTCGCCTCTCTTCAACCAGGAGGTGAGTTTTGACTGGCGGAAAAAGAGGACATTTTCGAGGCCTCCGTTTCAAAGCGAGGCTAAGTGCGAATCCTTCGATATGAAAATGATTATTTTTATTCTCATGCAAATAGAACTCATTTTCACTAGAAGGGTTTTGTACTTGCCCTCGTTTTAAAAGTGAGAGGTTTTGGCACTCACAAAGGGCCTGTTTCAGTGTCCATATGTGGCTGGGACCAAGACTTTCCCGAAGATCCTCTATTAAGCCCCCTCCCTCTAATAAGCGCCCCCTTTTCAGGGGAAGAAAGTTAATAAGCCCTCCTCCCCTCTTTATTCTTGACTAATTAATGAGTGACTGTGTTAATCAATTACGACTGTAAAACCTCGTATGGACTGATCCAGGATGGTTTATTTACTAACTGGAAGGTTGGATTTGATTCTGATCCTCGGCTGCGTGACCTAAAACTTCTTGTACGTGAGCTTTTCCACTTTGTATTCTAGTTCTTTATGGAGAACTTATACCGTTGTCGTTTCTAAATGAAATAGCCCCCCGCCCCTCTCAAAGAAGCTCTCCTTAAAATGGGCTTAAACTAAATAAGCCCCCACCCCCTCGGGGGTATTTAGTAAAGGGTCCGTTTCGGTGAGGTGTCTGTAAGTAGAGGTTTGACTGTATTTGATTCCTAACGTAGTGCATTGTTGCGCTTTGTAATTGGCTGAAAATTCCTGATTTTAACTGGAAGGTCTTTTTCATGATGAAAAAAAGGGGGGGGGGGGGGCAACCTTAGCAAGAGTCATGGTTTTCAAAGTAACATAGGTTAGTCAGCCGAACGTATTTATCGGTACAAAAGTACCCTACAACCAAAGAAACTTAGTGCGACATAATTATTGTTGGTTTAGTTTTTGTTTTATTATGGTTATTTTTTTTATGACATCTGCTGATTTGGTTGTTGTTTATTAAAATTTTTGTTTATTTTTAGGTGAATCCTCTTCCGCTTTTTTTGGGTCTCATTCGTGAGGTAAGTACATGCAGGAAAGATTAGGCGTTTATTTGAAGGTGGCGTTGATTTTAAAATCACATTTCTGAAATCACTGACAGCAATTAAAAAAAAGAAAGATGTTTAAAGTTCCAATGTCTCTTTCATATTGTTGAGATAGAAAACGTAACTGTCTGGATGGTATAGCCTCCAAATTTTACAGAATCTTTATTTTAATCTTCGATAAAACACCGCATGCCTCTGATTGGGTGCGGCGTTTATTGGTTCAAGTGGAACCCCGCTTTACGGGCAATGGTTACCCGCGAAGTGTCTTTTTTCATTGTCACAATAATGTGCCAAATGTAGACATTGTAACCCTGTTCAAATTATGAGAGATATCTATGGGTTAATACTGTTGCAAAATAGCGTGACATGTTTGTGTCTTCCTGTGTTTGACCCTTGTACTGTAGCCATTTAATAATTTTTTCTTTTTTAAACGTGAAAACTCTTCTAATGCACCTTTGGAACCAGTTATTTAAAGGGAGTTTAGCCAGCGTTTAATAAAACCGCGTTCTAAGCTGTTTTCAGGTTACCGAACGCTTTTATGTAAACACTATTTATCTTAAACAGTTTGATGAAAGCATATAGTGTAGACCAGATAAGCATTTGTCTTTTTAAAATAAGTCGCTAAGGAGGAGATCTAGATGTACAAAGATTTCCCAAACCGCGGTCTAAGTTAGACCTCGTTTAAAAATCACTGACCCTTTATAATTTATAACCCTTATTTTCTCGGATGCTCCTTTTTTCTCCTCGGTTCCCAATTTAGAGTAAGGATGTCGATCGAACATGGTTTTTAAGAGGTATTTTTTTTCTTTGCAGTTTTTAAGAGCTCATCCCGAGATGGCGAATGAAGGCACTCCACCAGCCCTGCCACAGGTGATTGAGTCTCTTCCAAAAAAGGACATCACCAAAGAACAAGTGGGTAAGTGTCATCATAAAGGAGCACTTCAAAAAGTGTCAGACATTTTCTGCCCTGAATTTATCTCCTTCATAAGGGCTCCTACCAAGTCCTGTCCGGTCGTCTGGGACAAGTAGAGGTTCTTGCTGAGTAACGATCCCAACATTGACCAACATCAATTTTCTCCCTATCAATATCCATATGTTACCAATAGAAATGGTTATGAGAGTTATTAAAATGATCACTAAAAGGAAAATGATTTGATCTGTTATCAAACTCTCTTAACTAATTCTTTAAGGAAATGTATGAAGATCAGTATGGAGAATTTATAGGTGGATATTGGGACTTAAAGGGTTAAATAGCTTACTCGCCCAATGGGCAAGCTAGGGTCCAGGAAAGTCTAACAAAATCAGTAACTAAGACGAGCGAGAAGTGGCCCTTGTCAAGCAAAATGTGAGAGCTGCTTGCCCAAAGGACAAGCTGGAATTCAACTTTCTTTTCGAGCTTTGCTTCATTCCTAGTAACGTCGGAACCTAGGCTAAACTAAAGAAGGCAAATGAGCAAAAAGTTCCATCTTGTCAACAGAGGATATAGCCTGCGATCGCAGACGTATTTCCCGGCGGTCGTCGCCCCTCTCCACCGAAAATACGTCTGCATTCGCAGGCTAGAGAGGATAGTACCATGCAAAAGAACGGCTCTAGAGGTTTTATTTGAATGGTTAAACCATAAGTTTTATCCACAGACCCCAAAGCTAGAACTACATTTCATGTTTCTCATAATCGAGTAGTTGAGGAGTAAAGGGTTACGATTCGGTTAAGCGCCATGGCATAACTGGAATTAAAATACTCAGAATGACAGTTTCAAGTGATGGTCGATTCAGAGCAAAAACAGCTCGAGCAACCTGAATGAATTCATATATTCCTCTTCATCTTTCCCGGGTATATTACAAACCAATTTAATGACCAGCTTTCTTTAAGCTTGTTAGCTCAATTGGTTAGAGCGCTGAACTGGTATCACAGAGGTCAGGGCCGGATCGAATCCCGGCAAGCTTGAATTTTTCAGGCTTTCTTTCCGCAACTGTATTAAAGTTGTTGCGTCTTTAACTGCGATGATGTTCTCTACATTTGTTTCTATTCTTTTCATATTGTTATTTTTGAGAAGGTTTTTAAGGCTGATTTTGCTTCTCTATAGTGTTTTTCTTCCTTCTGTTTACAGACGTTTGCCTATCGTGTACAATCTGTCGTTGTGATTACGAGAAGGACGAAACAGTTTTTGAATTACCATGCTCGCATCTCTTCCATCCTCAGTGTGTGACTACTTGGCTTAAAATGGTAATCAGCATTTTGTATGGGAACAATTTACGGGACTTTGGTTGACAGTTTGTGAGCGACCTCTATTTTCTTAACGCAACCTGGAAGAAACGCGCCACTTTACGCGCCAAAACGATCCCGCATTGGGGGAGAAGGAGAAAAAAATCGGCCTGGGCAAGAAAAGAAATCGGCGAGCGAAGCGAGCCGAGAGGTAGTCTGGGGAGGGTAAAGGGTGGCGGAACCTCTGTCACCCATTCCCCCTCCACAGGGCACCTCTCAGCTCGCCTCGCTCGCCGATATTTTTGCTATTTGACCTCGTCTTTGCCCTTTTTCCCCAGCTGTGGAGCCCGGTCCCAGGCTAGTTGAGCGCGACGCATGAGGGTGGTAGGGAAGAAAATGTGCTCCTCCCCATCGCACCCGGGCTTTAAAACCTTAGTGTCCAGTTCACGAGTTTGTCGGATAAAAAAGTCCATTTTGCACATTCGCTGAATGAAATAAGAGAGAGTGAGGGTCTGTGAAGGGTCTAGGACTTAAGTAATTTGCTGCCATATGCCTTATAGTGGGGGCCTGTTTGATACAGGTTTCACCGTAAATGATTCTCAACCGCGGCATGGCATTCCACTAGCTGGCTTTTTACAAATATCTTTGCAGTTAAGAAGCTGTTATTTTAGTGTAACCACGGAGTGTTTATCTTGTTTACAGCACGCCACCTGTCCAACATGCCGAGATGTTCTTCCTCACTGAACAAAGTGCTCGAATTGCCTTGTCAGTAGATTATATTAAAACAACGCAACGTTGCTTAATTGGCCCCTTTGGCGCTCGTCAAGTCGTTTAAAGATCTAGGCACGCCGTCTTTACGATGTAGATGAATCCGCCTAATACGGCAACAAACCGCTTTGGGCCTCTTTGACGAGCCAAAAACAGGACAGACAAGTTGAAGGGAAAGATATACAAAAGACAAGGTTCACATCCAGACAAGACTGAATCCTGCAACAGTTACATGCAACAACTGAGAACTCTACCATTTGTTAAAGATGAAAAAAATTGGTCTAAACCGGGTTTCTGTTATAAGTTTGCTAGAAAAATTCATTTTACACAAAAAAGAAGATATATATGTCATATAAAGATGTAATTATAAAAGTTTAATTTACATCGGGTTTACTTTTCTTATTACAAATACCTCGCAATGTATATTTTTCTTCATGCGTTGCCCTAAAACATCTCCAGGAATTGTTTCTCTTCCGTTCTGTTCTGAATCTTTATGCACGATTTTGAAATCTCGAGTGTTGAGGCACGTTAGATACAGATTCTTATAAGGAATAAAAACTCTCGAAAATAAGCTATGATATAGTACAATGGTTATATTATTGTTTAACTAAGAGTAAGAAAGTCTATGAAACTCAACACAATCTCAAATGGTCTTCGCAGCAGAATAAAACCTAAGCGATTGAAAAAGAAACTGAAAAAATTCAGGATTGACCGGAAGAAAGTCTACCCATACTGTCTCAGTCTAGAATGGAGGGGGTGTAAAGCGAGCCTGAGAAAACAGCCGACATTTGGCAACGCCCGCGAAGTGACGTCCGAGGAACGAGCACAAAAATTGCACACCGATGAGGCGTTACTATGATCTGGGCAGTGCTTCTTATTGGCTGAAAATTTGCTTCAACCAATCAGAAACACTACCCAGATCTGGGTATTAACGCGTCATCAGTATGAAATTTCTGCAGTCATTTTTCAGATGTCATGTCGCGAGGAAACCAGTGGTGGCGTCGTGAAATGTCTGCTGTTTTCTCAGGCTTGTGTGAAGCGAACATTCCCCTTTCATCCTTTATCTTCAATTTAAGTTTCTGGGAAACTGCGCACCTCCCTCTCTCCTAACCCAACATTTTGCCCTAAGTGAGAAGTACGTGTTAGTGTTGACTAAGGGGAGGGGTAGGTGGGCAGTTTCCCAGGAACCTAAATTGATCCTCTTTATCCACCCTGGCTATGAAAGGCCTACAGTCATTCACTTAAAGGCAGGAGTCACCTCATTCACCCACTCCTTCAAACTGGTGGGCTTTTCTCCAGTGATTTGGTTGAAGTGGGACATTTCTGGGTCGTCTAACATTGGGCACTCCTCATCAGTAAGCCTGTATATCTCTAAGATCCCATCTGCGTCTTCCTCGCTAAAACCAACCACTTCCACGAGGCGGCGCCTGCAATCATTGTAGGAAATTCGTTCATACTTGACATTCTTACCTAGAGCCTGGCTAAAAGCGGCTGCCAGCTCGTTTAGAGTGTGACGATTGCTTATCAGCTTGTAAGTCTTCCCATAATGCTTCTCGGTTTCAGCCATGATAGCGGCTGCAGCCTTCCCAGCGTCCTCCACCACGACAGCTGAGAATGGCTTGGTTGGATCAGCTGGAGTGCTAAAAGAGGAATTCTGCTGAATGGGACGTTTGTAAGCCCAATAGTTGTCGACGAATGGGGGAAGGCGGATAAAAGTGTATGGGATCTGAAGGTGTTTAACACTGGACTCTAACTCGCCGTACTGTTTGCCGTAGATGGTGTCGGTGAGCTCAACCGTGAGTACGCTAACTGTTAGAATGTGCTTAACGCCTGACGCTTTAGCTACTTCCGCTGCGCCGATAGCAAGTCTGAACCCATTGGTTGGTGTCACGATGAACAATGATGTCACGCCAGTCAACAGGTCACGCAATCCTTCCTTGTTATTCATATCAGCGTGCAAGATTGTTACCCCTGGCAGAGATCTGAGGGATGCCACTTTCTCAGATGCAGTGTCCCTTGTTCCTGCGAGGATGTTCAACGTGTCCGAGTATTTTCTGGACAGAGCTCTAACTGTGGCGGAACCGATTGATCCACTGCAGCCGAGAACAAATACCGTAGGCTTGGACATAACTGTCAGGAGGAATATTAGCAAGAGACGAAATTAATGAACGTAGTGCAGGCAAACCTTCTGATCTCAGAAACGAAAAAATGATTCATCCCACGCCGAGCTGCATTACAAAATACATATACACGGGCGGAGCTTGATTGAACTTACTTTTAACTGCCGTCAAAAGATCAACACAAGTACACTTTAACTTACCTTTTGTACAGCAATATACACACCCTTGCGACCTGTGCCCCACCGAGATTTCGTTGTGAAACTCGTCAAGTAAGGCATACTTTAGTGTCCCCAATCACTAGTTCCAATTCCTGCTCGTCGCGCCTGGTCTTTTTCGCTGTAAGCTGGTTAGATGAGGAGGCTGTGAAAATATTATTTTATTGTTTTCGCATTCAAGCGTTCGGGATAGAGATGAACGAAATCTTCAAGCTGACAATATTGAGTGATGGTTGATTGTAACCCTGTTGAAAGATTCAAGAAAAGTTAATTACTGTCAATGAGTCATGAAGAGTTGCAACCTTTTTGTACTTGTTTATACACGCTTTGGATAGTGAGGTCAGTATAATTTGTTCGTTGTGATTTTGATGAGGAGGAAACAGTTCTTGAAATGACCATGTTCGCATCTCTTTCATGCTCAGTTTGTCACTACTTAGCTGAAAATTGTAACCAACGTTTTGCAGCTAAGCTTAGGTAGCTGCGAGACGTTCCATTTTTTATCCCCCCCTTCCCCCCCACCTGCTCCTCTAAGAATGACTGCAATCCGAACCCTCAAATTTTTGTCGGCATCCTTTGGAAAGTGAAACCCGAAGGTTTCGCTCTTTGTCGACAACTTTTAAGAAAAAAATCCACCACCCCCCCACAACTGCAAACCCGTCATCCTTACGGGGAGGGGTGCGGACAACAATTGGAACGTCCCAGCTTACACCATTAGTTTACATACTACTGTAGCCAAAGGCATTTAGTTAAAAAAAGATGGTGACAAATGTGTGTATACTTCAGACATGATTTATTTTATGAAGCATTTGAACAAAAAAATATTGATGGTCATTTTCACAAAATGAGTGGATTTTAACCCACACATACCTTAGCCTGCACAACATGGGCTTAATAAGCCAAGTGAGGTGAACAGGGTATTTCAAGCCAAGCACAAGATGTGCTCGAAGCACAAGATCAGGGGAGTGTAAAAAGGTGAAAGTAACCTTTAGTAAAAAATTATGATGTGTCTTGGTCTTGGCACTTTTTACTTCTTTCTTGTTTGTCCTTACTTTCTCATTCTCGGGAAATTTTAATTTTCCCCTTCTTTTTACAAATTATATGCCCAAGAAAACATTTTGATAGTGTCAGGTGTTTCACCATAGTAAGTAGTTACTAACTATGGTTTCACTGAAAGCAGTCTACCAAACAGTCAGGGTTTAATCTAGGAATTGACTTGACTTCTCAGGGTGTAGTTGGCCCCCTTTCTAGTTCATGCTTCTCTTTTTTTCAGTTTTTTAAATTTCATTGCACTGATTTTGATGATTGCTGTAACATGCAACCAGGTGAGTATTTCTCCCCCTCCCCCCTCCATAGAAATAATATAAAATAAAACAGATAACCCGATTACAGGTTATCTTATTAATATTACCTAGGTTTTAAGATGTTTACAGCCAAAATGTTAAGGTTCTTATTTACTGTTCATTGAAATAAGACGTGGTTTATGTTCATTTTGATCTTTTATTAAAAGTATACAAATTATAGAGATGAAGATATTTACTCATTTATTCCAGATAATTTCTGTACCCCATTTTCTGCACTTACAAACATTTTATGCAACCAGCAATCTTTTTCAAGTCGCAGAAATCCTGCAGTGCCAGTCACTCTAGAATAAACTTTTAGCAGCTGTTTCAGAAAGTGGGTAAACAAAGTGTTTCTCTCCTTTATCTTCATCCACTGCATCTGGCTCTGCTCTTAGCTTTACAGGGCCTACAGTCAGTCACTTGAAGGAAGGAGCCACTTGATTTACCCACTCCTGCAAACTAGTGGGATTTTCTCCTGTGATTTGGGCAAAGTGGGATGATTCTGGGGTGTATTCTGGCTGGTTTACTACTGGGCTTTCCTCATCGATTAGCCTGTATGTTTCTAGGACTGCATCAGCATTTTCCTCACTAAAACCAGCTACATCAATGAGTTGGCACCTGAAAGTCTCATAAGAAATTCGTTCATGCCTGACATCCTTACCTAGAGCCTGGCTAAAGGCGACTGCCAGCTCATTTAGAGTGTGACGATTGCTTATCAGCCTGTAAGTCTTCCCATAATGCTTCTCAGGCTCAACCATGATAGCGGCTGCAGCCTTCCCAGCATCCTCTACCACGACAGCTGCCAATGGCTTGGTTGGATCAGCTCGAGTGCTAAAAGATGAATTCTGCTGAATGGGATATTTTTAAGCCCAGTAGTTGTCAACAAATGAGGGAAGACGGATAAGAGTGTATGGGATCTGAGGGAGTTTAATGCTTGATTCGAACTCACTGAAGAGTTTACCATACATGGTGTTGGGTAGTTCAACTGTGAGCCCACTGACTGTTAAAATGTGCTTGACATGTGATTCTTTAGCAACTTCTGCTGCACCGATAGCAAGTCTGAACCCATTGCTTGGTGTCACAATGAACAATGATGTCACGTCAGTCAACAGGTCACGCAATGCTCCCTTGTTATTCATATCAGCTTGCAAAATTGTGACTCCTGGCAGCGATCTGAGGGATGCCACTTTCTCAGATGCAACGTCTCTTGTTCCTGCGAGGATGTTTAGCTTGCCTGAGTATTTTGTGAACAAAGCTCTTACTGCAGCTGAACCAATTGATCCACTGCAGCCAAGAACAAATACTGTAGGTTTTGACATGGTTGTCAGATGGGATACTAGCAAAAGACAAAAAATCAGCTCATGCCAGTTCATCTTGTCAAAAATTTTATGACAATGAGATAACTCATGAGCAGGCTAACTGTGCTGACTCACCTTATATAATTAATTTTTTAATGTGAATTGGTCATATAAACAAAGAAAACTATTTACTACCCAAGATTTAGCTGCATTGAAAAGTGTACACGTACACAAGCCAGACAGGCGAAATTTGGGAAATTGGCAATACATGCAATACACAGGGATCGACTATTTACCAAGTTAAGAGTTGAGTTGAGTTTGAGTTGAGTTTGAGTTGAGTTTGAGTTAAGTTTGAGTTAAGTTGTAGTTACCGTTTTTACTTAAAATGTCGTTAATACTATCCACACGACATAAAATGTGCGGATTATTTATATAAAAATTATTATTTTTGAGGTGGTATTTTAGTTTTTAATACCCGATCGAGTTGGGTCAACCAAATCTGCGAGCCACGCGAGCCACGGTGCGAGTCATGCGAGCCATGCCTGTGAGCCATTTTTGAGTAATTCCGTTTTTCTTAAATTGGTCGGGGAGGTCGTCGATTATTCCACCAGCAAACATCCTGGAGTTTTACCTGCGACTTGCCTAGCCGCCATCTTGTAAACGGAGTTACCTCGCTCCCAGGTTCCTCTCTCTCTGGCGCGACGCGAAGCAGTGTTCCTCGTGATGGCTCAATTTCGGCTCAATACGGAGATCCAACTAGCCGTCAATATAGTGCAGTATTGCCGTCTCAAAACAAAAATTCTTGCTATACGCGTTATCAGGTTTTTGTTTTGCAAAAAAGTTTCGAAAACCCGACTTTTCACGCCATAAATTACTCATTGAAACATAAAAATTCGAAAGAACATCTTTCTGAAGTTTTTCAAAGAAACATGCGTCGAACAAAATGAGTAAATAACGCAAGTTTGCCAAGTTTTTAGCGAAAACTTTTTTTTCAAAATTATCATGGCGTGATTAGCCCGCGCATAGCTCAGCTCGATGTAAACAAACCGTTCAAACCAACAAAAAGAGATTTAGAACTTATCGTATCGTTCACTTTTGATAGAAAGGATCGCTTCATTGAATACAGTGTTGCTTTGTCTACCAAACTTGACAAAGTAATCAACATTTTAGTCCTTACTTTGAATATTTTTGAAGTTTTTGTTTTCTACGGAGGAACCCATTAAATTGCCGCGGGAATTTTTCAACCAATCACAGACTGACTTTAAGTTGAAGTCATCATTTTTATTCTGAGAGAATGAAACATACAGCTCCACCGCTCCGCTACTCGAAGGGGTATCCAATGACAGCTGTCACTCATTGCTATCCACGTGGAAAATCATTTAGGAAAAAAGATAACAGCGCACTTTAGTTCGAACTTACTGTGTTGGCGACAAGAATGGTAAGTAAATCGGTTAATTTTAACAGGTTTGCTCCTTAGTGAATCAAATTTACTAGAACTCTGACAGTAGGCTGACTGTTGCATGTGTTTGCCTCTTTCCTCAGTCAAGTGTTTCTTCAAAACTAGCCACTAGAGTGGCAGAGGCCGGATTTGAGGTCGCATTCGACCCACCAGCAGACGGCAAATGTTTTTATCACGCCGCTTCGTTTCAAATTGGATTTAGTGCGTCAACATTGACCTCTATACTTTTGCATTCGTGTTTCCTCGGAAAGCCTTCGGAGCGTAAAAACAAGCACTTTTGTGTTCAAGAATTCAGACTGAACATTATGAAAGTGATCTACCGTATTTTGATTTTTCTGTAAATAATTTTAAAAAAACTGTTGACCATGTCATTGTGAAAACATAAGCTTACCGCAATATTGCGTACGTTAGCATTTCTTATTCACGGGCTGGCTCTTATGCCAGTATTTATTTACAAGAATTTAACCGAGATATCGCAAGTTTTTTTGTCTCCAGTGAGTTCAGGTTAATTTACATACGCAGCGACTAAAGCGATACTTTAACCTTTGATTCGAAACGTACGTTGTTACGCATATATATCTGCCTCTCAAACGGGGAGGTTGAATGGAATTGTCATTAATTCTATTATTCTTTAAGTTAATGACAGAAAAGAAATACGAAGAAAAAAACACAGCGTGCATAGCCTGTGTACAGACGCCCCTCCTCCCCTCAGATTTTTTTCTGAGGGGAGGGGGGGCGTCTGTACACAGGCTACAGCGTGCACGGATTGCTTTAGTTTTGTCGGACCGTAATAACTTTGCATACCGACAAAAACAATATCAAGCGACACCTTTAATACAAATGCAGTCACTTCATTCGCAATGCTATAAATAACTAAAAGACCTAAAATGTCTCGCTACACAGGCTTAAAAATTCATCCTTTATCTGCTGGAAAGAAATACATAAATTCAGGACTTACGGGTTTTGTTAAATTTGAGACCCGGAAGTTCGCGAACCCCGCTACCGATTTCTGTTTCAATTCGTGAATTGTAAGTAACCAACAGTTTAATTCAGTTCACTTCTACTTCATTTTTTTAGATCAAAGTTCCCAATATAGCCAGGTGTATACTGGTAGTAAACAACAGCATAGAAAACTTTAGTTCATTTCAATATCATCGAATGTGACCGGTCATCTTGACCGTCAAGGCCAACAAAATGAGGACAATTCAACGCTTCACGTTTGGGAATGTAAAATTATTAAACACTTTTTCATTCGTGAAAAAACGAACAGTCGGTCAATTTTGTGTAAAAACGATCTGGATCTTCCATTAACCACTTTTAAGTTAACAAAAATGAAAGCAACGGTAACTCAAACTTAACTCAGACTTAACTCAAACTCAACTCAAACTCAACTCAAACTCAACTCAACTCGTAACTCGGTCATTAGTATCTCTCCAATACACATAGCTTACAGATATCCTGCAGCTAAAAATGAAGATCTACGTAAAATAATTAAAAATTATATCAATAAAAAAAATTAAAATTGAAGTTGTTTACTACTATTAATAGTATCATCATATTTATAAATAAAATTTGATATAAAATGTGGGAATTTAAATTTCCCTTAAATTGTTAGTGATTTTCATAACTTTTATCACTAAAACAATAAAAGTTATGAAATTTTTTAACCCTTAAAGTAAGTTAAACTTCCTATTGACAAACGGTACCCCTTTCGCGTAGTTTAGAAATTTGCATCCCCCTTAACTGCTGTATATGAACTTTCTTTAAAATATGAATATTAATCACTAAACCAAAACGTTTTCTCGACTTTTTCACAGCCATAAAATGCATCTGTTATCCCTTTTGGGCCTTTTTACCTACCGAAATGACAGATTTCCCAACCCTTTCATACGTCTGAAGCCTGGTACCCCTTTCGGGCGGAGTCTCCCCGTCAAGCCATTAGAGAGAGTAGCCCGCCTCCCCCCTCCTCCCGGGGCTTAAGGAAGGGGTAGTTAGATTTGCAGCTCGCGTAATGAGCCATTTGAACGTTTTCAGATTAGCAGAAGTACAACTTACTTACCTTTAGTTATAGTACGTGCAGGCAGAGCCCATAGCAAATTTGTTTTCGCTCGAGTGAAAGTCGCTCGACTAGTATGTTTACGAGTGCAGCTCGTCACTAGTGCCAATCTCCCGCTGCTGGGCAAAATTGGTTCAGCCTGGTCTTTTCTTGTGGCAATGACATGTAGGTTCTCCTGGCATGGAAAGACAAGAGCTATAGCTGATACATAATGCGACGTACGTGTAGATAGCAAGTATGGCAACTACAGAAAAGTTGCAGAATGAGATTCTCCTCAAGGAAGAGGCATTTTTGAAAGAAGAGAAAGCTAAATTAACTGAACAGCTCAACAAACTGAAGGTACAGACTGTCTTCACAGTACACTCGATCTTTGTAGGTAGTGTAGATTATTAAGCTTATTATTTTTGGTAATTCCCGGAAAAGTTGAGCAAACAGATAGTAACAGATCTCTTAAGAGTATTTAAAAAAAAGGTGTGTTAGTGTAATCGCGTGTGTTACACGCATTAAATATATTAAAGAAAATGATGTTATCCATTTTATTCTAATTACTTTGGTGGTTTTAGAGATTTGTGTGCCCTGATTGGTTGGGGATTGCGTTGAATGCCACTACAATCAACAACAACAACAACAACAACAAAAAAGCATGGACATGAAAGCACCCTAAGCAGTGCTGAATGCATTTTTTTTTAGGGGGGTCAGGGTGTGAACAATCTGGATGCTTAAATTTGGCAAATGCCAGAATTCCATATTGAACATGAAAATAATACAAATAAAATACAGTCCTTGTTGTGGACAAAGAACTAGTAAAAACTTCCAATTTGACTTAGCCATTAGAGCAATCAAACCGTGGCCTCAATCAACTCTAACATGTGTAGTTCAGTGTTACATAAAGGAAATAAATGCTACACTATGCACATCAGGCTACTATTTTGTGCTGTCCATATTTGGTGGACAAATACCACCTGCCCCACCAGTAGCGCTGTGCTTGGTTGGTGCGTTACAGTTAAAAATAATGCTTTAAATAACTGGGGTTTGTTTCAGTAAAACACCTGTAAATTTTGGAGGCCTCAGTTTGGATCTAAAAATCCTAAAGTGCAGACCTCCCCTGGATCCACCACTGGGCAAGACTTACTGTACACTCATTCTAATTTTGTGCTTTTTTCTTTGAAAAATCACAGTCCTGAAGATTCATATAATAGTTTTCTAAAACCTCATTTTTCTTTGAAGTAACCTTTTTGTTTACCTTTTAAAGTTTGCAGCATTTGCTGATGTCATCTCTTGTATATCATCTCCGTCTGTTTTAATCTTTTTACTAGGTTGAGGAGATGGCTCTTATGAAGTTACTGAAACCAGACAATGAACCATCTCATCATACCACATTGGAGCTGTTTGCCAAAAAGCCTCAACTTGTAGGTTTATGTGAAATTTTTGACTTTTTCCTATCTGTTCCTTTAACTCTTTCACCCTGGAAATTTTGCCAAAAAACACTGTTTTTCACCAGTGGAGCCTTTTTCTGCACTCTATCTAGCCAAAAAGAAGTAAACCCCCAAATTGTTTTTTGCAAAGTCAAGCACTTTGCTGGCTTTTTGTTCCTGATGCTAAATTATGGCTTTCAAAGTTTATTTTTTAGTTCAAATTTTTGGAGGACAAAAATGTCTCACTGTCTCTGACTCCTACATGTTTTGTACCTTTAATTGTTTCTCCTCCTCCATCTTTCCTTTTTAATTGTTACATGTTTCTGGTGCTTTATTTTGGTGGGAAAAAAACTTTTGTGACTTTCTCCTCAAGAAATTTCAGGTGGGTAGTTAAAGAAGATTTTCAATGGAATTTTCTGGTGAAAGTCTCATGATTTTTGTGCATTTTTCACTGGCCTGTTCCAATGAATCATGCTCTCCTGGGTATGGTTTTAAATATTTCAAATTTAAGTCTTTTTAGAACAAATGGCTATAAAATGGTTACAGTCAGGGCCCGCAGAGCAGATATTAAAACTGCCAGTAGTAGTATAAATTTAAGTCTTCTGAAATGGCTATAAATGCATCTAAAACTGCCAATAGTAATATAAATTTCTAATTATTACATAGTCAGTTCAAACAACAAGTTACAACCTGGCCCCCTGCCCCACGCTAGACCAAAATTTAAATGAATAGACTTTGACACTAGATCCAACATACACAATGGTTGAGTGTCACCCAAACATTTTTGAGTCGGATTCTCTGAAGGTGCCAAAGTTGCCTTTCCGGTTGTCATTAAGAGCTGCAAACGCATTGGCAACATCTACAAGACAAAGTTTGTCTGTTCTCTGTTTGTGGGTGTTCAGTATCGTCAGATTACTAGACCTTGTTTGTGAGGTAAGTGACAGATCTGCAAAAGTGGGGGGCTAAAGCCCCCCCCCCCTGCACGGTCTCTTTTACAGGGGGGGTGAGGATGGGTGTTAACGTGTTCAGCATGTTTGAAAAGGGGAAGCAGGGAAACTTAGCTGATCGGTCTTTTCACTTCTATCCCATCCTATCAAGACTTAAACTGATAAGAGGAATTTGTTTGATGTTTGAACTTATTCACCCTGCTACTTCTAAGCAAACACTTTGAGGACAAGTAAAAACAATGAGGAGATTGAAATGTGTGACATTTTTAATAACAGCCAATCAAGGGTTTAGCAGGTCTGGAGTGCCAAATTTGCTGTCAAGTTGTCTGCCCAAGACAAGAGACTTCGCTCTATGAACTGATGTGATCACGAGCCCTGTATAATGCTTGAATTGTTTGTAATTACAGTTTGCCCTTTTGATTTTCTTTTGTTTAAGGCTTCAGCTTCCACCCAGAGGGTCAATGAGTTTGAAACAGAAACAGAAGTCAACCACATACCTCTTCAAGCACTTGATAATCTGGATATGTAAGTAAATGTAATAGAAATATATTTTCTGAAGTTTTTAAGCAAGAGATAATCTGACTCTTGCTTTTTTATGCTCTCCTCAATACACTGAAAATCTCCCCTGTATTAGAAGTTTTGTTTTTCAGACTTTCGAAAAGCACTTCAAAGAGCTAGCACATAGAAAAATTTATTGTTTAATGCATTTACAGCCAAATTTGTTGTATAATGCGCTGCGCATTTTGCTATTATTTGAGGTGGGCTAATGCAAATCACAATGCAATGTGTTCGCCCAGCTTTGTCTGCTAAAACAAAACTGCAAATTAAATGACTCTACACTGCTCAAGAATAGCGAAGGAAATTGCCACGGTGAGTGGAATTTTTGTCAAGGGAAAGAGCCAGAAATTGCATCAATCTTGCAAGTGGGGTAGACATTCATAAGAAAGATCAGAAAAAACTTTGAACCATTATTTTGAACTATTATTGTCTGAAAAAAGACAATCACAAGCAACAAACCTTGAAACACAGTTCAAACAAACAAAACGCATAAAAATCCACCTATCACAAATCACAAACCATGACCTTTTGAACTTGTTTAAGTAAACATCTGTTTCCTAAGAGGTCCACTAAATAATTGATGGAACAGAAAAACCCCAAATTCCTTCAATGTTTGTAAAACACACAGCAGGATACAATGAATTTGGCTGTAATGTATTTATAATAAACGAGTAGACTTACATGCAGTAAAGTAGATGCATGCAATAATTTGTTTCACATAACAATCAATTTTAGGAACAGGCACATTGCTGAAGGGGAGGAAGAAGAGTTTGAAGACGATGACGAAGATGACACAATTGATTACAGTAAGTCTTGACCCCTCAATTTCCAAGAGTTCAGAAGTCATGAGAAATTCAAAATTTCATGTAACCCAAAAACAAATGGAAGTCACGTGAAACGGCTCTTGCTCTGATAAAGCTAGTATAATAGGGTTTAGTTCATTGTTTGTCTCACAATAATATTTGTCACTTTGATATTGGTCACGACATTTCGACTCACACTGCAGGTCTTCATCAGTCTATAGTGTCGATTTATGGAGTCGGACTATTTGTACTAGCATGGTTGTTAGTGACTGGTGTATCACGAACCTTGCTCATGGTTGGTGGGTTTCAATCCAAAGTGTTGTTGGTAATATCAGAGGAGGGATTAGGAGGAAACTGATCCCTCAGATAATACTAACAATTCTTTGAGTTTGGTATGTCTTCAACTTAACCCATTCGTCAGATATTTTTCCAAAAAACGCTAAGCTACATATGTAGTTGAGCCTGATTTTCTGGTCACCATATGGCAAAGAAGTAAAATTATCCAAAAGGTTGACTGAGTCTTCCTTCTTTTGGTAAATTATGGTTTAAAAGACCTGTTTCCCTTGCTTTTCCATTCTTAACAAATTAGGCTCCATCTCGAGGTCCAGCCCCTTACCGTTTTATATACCATTTTTGACAGACAAGGTACCCCTTTCGTATACCTTCTATAGACAAATGAAACCCCTTTCACATATCAAGTATAAAAATTTGCATCCTTTACTGGGGTCAGGGTTTCAAACCCTCACCGGCTCACCCATACCCAAATATTGGTCGAGTACCCCCCCCCCTCCCCCCACCCCCACACTTGTAAGAGATACAAAGGACATGGTTGCATATGGGCAAAGTTCTCAGTGAGTAGTACAGTGAAAGCTCTCACATGTGGACACCCTCAGGACATGAAAAAGGTGCCCATTACTGGAGTTGGCCACTAGTCTTATTGTTCTCATACGTGGCCACGAGAGATGTAAGGGTTAAATGGCTGCTTACAGGCACTTGCCCAGCTACAAATAAACAACGGAATTGCAACAAAACTGATTTAAAGAGTAGCCGGGTGTGTATGTGAAAAAAAACACTGAAACTAACTTAAATTAATTTTGATGATAAACAGCCGTTTGAGGTTGATACAAACACCATGTATATTAAAATACAAGATTCAGAAGTGAATGAGATTTATGGGAGCTTAAAAACAAAGCTAAAATCTTTAGGGGAATGTATAAATACAGAGTTTGTATGGGAGTACTTGACACAGGGTTTTGTGAAGGTAGCCGTAAGAAGAGCTGTCTGCTTACTGTGCTGTTCAAAAATACGCGGACTCTGAAGTTCAAAAGGTGCCTTCACAATATTTTTTAATGCGGTTTTCTCTGCCATCAATCATAATAATTGCGATCACAAGCAACGAACCTTGAAAGACAAAAACACACAAAACAGATCAAAATCCACCAGTCACAAACCATGACAAAGTAAAGTTCTGGGCTCAATTGTTTGAAAGATGGAAAGCGATAACGTAATTGAATATTGAATACTTATCCGCTGGATAGTGATTTATCAAGTGGATAGTGCTATCCAACGTTTGAACAACCGGCACCTGTTTCCTAAGATGTCTGCTAAGATGATTGACGGCTCAAAAAGCGCAAACGTCAGTTAGCTTTTGAACTTAAGAACTTGCTTGTTTTTGAAAAGCACAGTAAACGAGTGTCCATTAAGAGAGCTTCCACTGTATAATATTTTTGTGCACAACACAGTTACTTGTATGAAGCCAAACATTTTTGACCTCAGCTACTAACTTGTGTGAAGTTTACATTGCATGAAAGATAACTATTTCTGACAGGGTGAAATTATAGTTTGTAAACTTTTCTACTTTTAGGTCAACAGCTATTGAATGCAATGTCACATCTTAACCAGCAAAACAGTAATATGGATCAAGACAACTCCAGGTAAGTACTATTTTTATTTTTCTTTTATCTAGGCCATGTTTGTTGAACTTTTAAAAGGACAATCTCACTCCAGAAAGGACACTATTTTGATAAAAATATTAAAATATGCATTTTCCCAAGTTAGCCTTAACATGCAGGTTCTTACATAAATGGTAATTAACACAACTTTTTGCTATTTACGTGTAGTTTTTTTTTCTGAAGAAAAAATACATCGTAGCTAAGAGTATTTAGTGGTATTCAGCTTATTCTGTATATAAAATTGTATATGGATCAATATCAATTTTGCTTATATATTGGCACATACATTGCAGTTGGAGTGATAAGGCACCTATGTCTCCAAAGAGGATTTTAAAAAATAAGAACCAGCTGTTTCAAATTTTAGGCTAAACAGGTTCTCGTATAGAGGGGACCTAACTGGCAAATTTTAACCTAACAGGTTCCTTATAGGCTGTTCACAATCCCCATTTTTCTGTGAGATCGTCGAGATATGGCGCGACTTACTATCAATGGCGGCCATCTTGGTATGGGACAGAATGATATCACACATTTTCCAATGTTTCTGAATTTTTACCATCTCATGAGGAGAATTTTGTCATAATGAGGTGGAAATCAGGGGCTCAGAAAACAACCAGCAACTAAGAGGAATGACTGTCAATTTTTTATCTGTAAAATTTAGAAATGTCTTCATGGATATAGTTTGACTTTTCATTTGATTTGAAACTTGTGAAATATCCTCTTTCTTCTTTATGCTTTCATCGGTAATTTTTTTTGACAGGTCTGTCTTCCATAGCATAATGCAGCAGGAGATTGACGATTTTAATGAAGAAGAGGATGAATATTTTAATTAACAGATCTATACCCATATATTTATTATATGTATAATATACTAGAATAAGAAATGACAAAGACCTTCCTTTACTACCTCAAAAGGTAGTGTCACTCTTTATGATATCTCTGCATTCTGCAAGGGAGACAACCCTTTGATGCCCTTTTCTTTTGCATCATTTTGGTAAGATTTCTAACAGTAGCTCACAAGTCCAGTTAACCAGGGAAGTTAAAGTAGCTTTTGAATTAATTTTCACCAATAGCATTTCAAAAAACAGTATGGACTTAAGTTCTCTTAACCTGTGCTAGGCTCTCGGTCAGTGCAGACAAACAAAAAAGCAGGCAAGCAGTGAAAAAGCGAGCAAGCGTAAAATGGCAGAAAGAGAGAAGAGGAGCTGAGAGCCTGTAAGCATCTTTACAAACACCTCAGTCTGCCCACTTCCAGAAAAACTGTTTCTTGTGTCAAAATGACATGTTAAAATGTCTAAATGTGCTGTAAAGGAGGGTGTCCACACCCTCACTACGTTTTTTCTTTGTCTATGCAAGCTGTTGATGTGATTGACATAAACTGTTAAAATTGACCAATCAAAGGGTATACCAGGAGCTGGTATATCAGAATGAGGTATTGAAAACATTGATGACAGGCTCCACTTTCCCATCTCTCCCCAGCTTCCACGTGGTTTTCGTGTATCTTTTTTCAGTGCACTTTTCTTACTATCTTGGAGCCTGGAACAGGCTTAAATTCTCTCAGGCCTAATTTTAAATTTTATAACATTACATGCCATGTGCTTCTGATAAACCTACAACCCACATTGTAGCATGTATTCTGCAACAATCATAAGTCGTTTGTAGGTTTGATTTATACAACTCGTGTCATAGCATTATTGTAAGTACACTGCATGCATCAAAGTTGTACTGTACCATCAGCCTTAATTCACTCAAAACACTGGGTAAGCTTAGCTGTAACAAGAGCCACAGGTTTTGGCTCTGACAGCCCCACTGTACTACATAACGTGTGGATCTAGTGGCAATGTACCCACAGGATGACAAGTTAGCAATTTTACTTGACCGGGAAATTAGAATTTTTCCAACAAACACAAATACTTGTCTTGCAATGAATTTTGCATTTAATTGAAAAATATTATTTAAATAGAACATTACAAGGTTTCTGCCTGGACAAGTTCCATGATACAAAGGTAGCAGTTATAACTAACATTACAAGTAAAGCAAACTGAAAAGCACAACATTACTTTGTTCTGGCACATACTTATACATGTAGCAGAATCTGTTTGTAATTAATTTAAAAAAATCCAAATTAGCTACTTAAGAAAGGGATCGCTCATGTGAACCAAAATACCCTACATTCACAAAGGTATGTCTCTTTCTGTGAATTCTCTTTGGATCAGAATTGAGTGAATGTAAGCATGGTTAAAATGCTCAGGATGTCTCAAACAGGTTGCTGAAACTGCTGTCTTTAAGTTAAAAAAATGAAATAAATTTCTTTAGCAACACTGCTGAGGATTGTTACATCTGGAAGGATTGTGAGTTGCTGAGCCTCCATTTATGAGCCTGTTGCATCTGCCGCTGAAGCTGAACATCACAAAAGAAAAAAACAAGAACTAATATTATTAAACAATATTATTGGATGAGGTTTTGTAATATCCAGAATGATGAAAGTCAAGGTAAGTGTTATCAGCCTAGCAGAAGGCCAAGGCTAATAACACTTGTACCAAGACCTTCATTATTCTGGATATCACAAAAACCAAATTTAATAATAATAATTGTATTATCATACATTGTTTTTAAGAAAATAAGGACAAACACAGCATCAAGGAACACAGTTTGACATTGCTCAAAGAAATCATGCATTGTGCATGCAACCTACAGATCTGTCACTAATCTGCTAGCAGATAACTAACTAATTTGTAGGTTGCTCTGATTTCCATTAACTGTAGGCTCTTAGCCAATGACAAGACAGGTAGTGAGTACGATGCATAATAAATGAACTTATCATTCCCCCCCTCCTTCCCCCATTCTGGGGGGTGAGGGTCACTCCAGGCTTGTGACCTTTCCTGTGGAAGTACATGCAAAGCTTGCATTTCTCATTGATCCCAAGAGCTATGCTACTGAAAGATTTTACTTCAGGTAGCTCCAACATGCTGGATTGGTCAAGGGTGAGAAGCCACTGAGCCTCCAGCCCTCTGTGTTGGAATTTGGTAGACAGCTTATCACTCCACACTATAAAGAGAGTTCCCAAAGGTTTTTTTTCGAACCAATATTTGTGTTATTTGAATGCCAGGATTTGAGATTTTAGAGCAAAATGGGGGCAAGATTTGGGATTGAAAGCATGCACTGAATGTGGGAAGGTAGTATGCCGAAAACAACCACTAGGGTTACTGGATTGAGGTAAAATTTGGGTTGGGATACATGCTTAAGGAACCCTATTTGGTACCCTCTATAAAAACTGGAATACAGAAACAGGAACCTGCCCTCTTCTCTACTTGTTAAGAAAGAGCCAATGATGATAATATGATAGTACCTATCTCTGGGTATTTGCACAAGCTCTATAACTATACTATTCCCCTGAACCTTCTGCAACAGTTTCCCAGAAAGCTACCAATGGCCCTTCCCTGGAGACATAGGCATGCTATTGTTCACAGCAATATTAAATCATTATTGTTTTCAGAAGGGTTCTTACACATTGTAAAAGCACAACGTAGGAGCATACTGTGCATTTTCCATTTTGCTGTGGCAACTGTACATGGTTTCTCATCTGAGGGTTTACTGTTATTGTCTTTGATTCACACCCTGTTCACAATTCCTTGAAAGGTTTGAACTATAATTTAACTACTTTTTTGCCCAGCAAAGGAGCAACGCCCATGACAATGCCCTTCAGGATTCAAAAAAGGTTCACGTGGTAAGTTTACCACTTCCTTTAAAAAATAATGACTTTTTTAATAATAATTCATTTCAATTATTACTTTCCAAAAAGTTTTAAATATAGCCACACAAACCTTTTCCATCACAAGCTACAACTTTCACTTTTTCCACCTTGACAACTTCTCCCATATCCCTGAATTCTACACCATTCAATACAAAGGTCCACACATTATCACAAAACCTGTATGTGTTCAAACTACCCTGAAATAAAACAGAGACATGGATTTATGCTTTAATTATTTCAACTTGCTACAGCCAACATATGCTGATGTGAATACAACATATTATTTTTTATTTTATTTTTTTATTGTTCTGTTAAGTGTGGGCTTGTATACAGTTTTTATTGCAGGGATAATAGCAAGTTTCCCTGACAACCTGGGCCCCCCAAATCCCCAGAGAATAAAAGATTTGTTGTGTAGTTAATGCTATGTCAGTAAGTAAGAAAAATTAATTAATTCTGAAGGAGAGATGCAAAGTATGACTCAGTTCCTAAAAAAGTCATTGCATGTCACTACAGCACTTAATATTTTCCAACTCCTGCTCTTTTTTCTGACTAAAACAATATGGTATTATTTATGTAATGGGTTAACTAACCTTGAAACTAATCTTGCTCTTGACTTTGTTAGAGAGGGCATGGTTGATAGCCTTATCAAACTGCAACAGGACTTGCAGGGCAAGTTGGGGACTAATCTGTTGTGACTAAAAGGTTACAAGATAACTTTAGAAGCAACATTGATAAGGTACCTGCAATAGTTCAGTCTCAAGTTAAATAAAAGCAAGGAAGACAAATTTTTACATGTAAGGTTAAGTCCATTAGCCTCACAGTGGCACTCTGAAGCCATTGTCGCTACCAATCCGCTGCGAAGGATCAGGTTTTTTTACACAGTGCACCGTCAGGTTTTTTTTATGAAGTGCAGTGTGGGATAGGATATACATGTAGAAATCAGAGAATTTTGGTCCAGAATAGGGTACAGACTGTATGTGAAACTGATTAGTGGCATGCAGAATTAGAGTTATGGTTTAACCTTAAATTGCGTAAGGTAGGGCTTCTTTGATGCTAAGTCTTACAGAGGATTGCTAATTACCGCTGAAAATGGTGTGGTATAGGCCATTATTGAAGGGTTTTAATGCCCTCAAAGGGGTTTAACCCAAGCCTTCTAAGCTCTTATGGTAACTGGTCAGAATCTAAATTTAACCGTGCACAAAACAACCTCTTGGCAATAGTAATGTATTTTGGCCTTAAGGTGATTTTGAAATGGCATGCGAATTTACCTACAACTGCATTCAATTTACGCGACGTATCTGAGAAAAAAGTTAGTTACACTAACTTCCTCCTCTTCTGGAGCTGGCTAGAGTCAAACCAAAGACAATGAATTGATATACGGTATTAAGCTTACGTGTTCCTTTGACTTGGTTTTGCAATCGTGGAAAAAGCTCAGATGATATCGATTCTTCCGTTAAATCTAACATGTTACCAAAACATTTAACACTACAGAAACACAACGGTGAATCCCGCCAGAGACTAAATCTAAGCTTTGTATTCCATGGAGTCAACACCTTGTTCACCTGATACGGACCGCCATTAAAACTACAAAACATTCATCGCTTACGACTATTCCATTCGAAACAGTCATTACAGCATGAAAAATCTGGCCTTTAACGATAGTGGACAATGAACATCTCGAATGATATTTTTGGACTAACAGTCCGTACAAACGGGATCGCAACGAACAGATAAATTCAACTAAACGTGGCTTTGAGACAACGACATCACGCGATTAGGTAGAAAGAATACATCTTCGTGGATTTCACCAAATCCCCTCTTTTCACAGACAGAAAGAAGAAATAACTGGTAATTTACCTGAATTAATTCATCTAAACTCTCCTGTAGGCTGTTCCCTAACGTTGTGTTGCGATACAATTGATAGCTCATCTTTCCAGAGCGGTTCGGAGTTTTTATACTGCTCTGCTCCCAGCCGCTTCCTTTTTTGGATGCCACGCTGAGCCGCCATCTTGTTTTTTACCAAATATGGCTATAGGCTTTAAGACAACAAATACCACAGGATACCCAAGCAGTTTCTGGGCAGTGTAGAAATTTTGCTTACGCTGCTCTAACTCTCCTGTAAACCAATTTTGCGAAAAAAACCGACCGTTTCGCAGTCTATTAGAGGTGCGAATTAACGACCTTTTTCACATGTGAGAGAAATATTTCGTTCAGTCAAAAGCCGCAGCGGTGCCTGAATCCCGCCTATAGGGAGTCTAGATGCTTGCAGCGACCTCAATCAGCCCCGCTAAGCGCTACACACGTCACATCATTCACATCACGGGTTGGGTTGGTGCAGTAAGCTCTTAAATGGACTGAGAGCGGCTGCCAGCGGCGCCTTTGTATGCTGACGTCCGAGCTTACTGTTCACATGTTAAAGTATTGTAAAGAGGGCACGTCTGTTATCCTCTCATCCACGACTCTTCTCTTCTCTTCTCTTTACAAATAAGATGCCATTTCTCCAAGAGAGAATAGGGCCTTTTCGAGATCCAAAATATCTCGAGGTTATTAAAAGTGTAAGACCTTTCTTGTGAAAATGGGTTTTGTTTACATGAGAATAACCAGACGCATATAAACTGCGTGAGCTCAGGCTTCGGTATAAAAAAGTTCAAATGAGAAAACTTCACCTAAGAAATCACAGCCTTCAACGTATATCGAGACAAGACCCCCATAGTGCGGGTTCATTGGGCTGCCAACTGCGCGATGCAGTAGTTTTAATATAATGTTTTGAGCCTGAGTATAGATTATAATTACACCTTTTTTTTTCCGGCTTGGGTGTAAAGCTACTTCTAACCGGCGTGTCTTTGAACAAATCGCAGAAGTGCTAAACATTGTTTAGTCTGTGTGAAGGACGTCGAAACATGGGAAAGGGGAAAGAGGGAAAAAGGGAGAGGAGATTGGGGAGAGAAGGAAAGGGACTCCTCTCCCTCCCTCCCTCCGTCTACCTTTTCCCTTTCGCGCTCTTCTTCCCTCTTCCCCTTTTTTGCGCCTGTCACGCAGGCTCACATTGTTTTACAACTCCACGTTCGACTCGTGCCACTTAAATACAGCTATTTCGGGAAAGGTTGTCGGAAAAAATGTGCACGCGACAAACCCGAAAGGTAATATGGGATATGATCAATACATTGTTCCTGACGACTGTAGCTGTCTAACCTACTTTTGTTGCTTTCCTTTAGCACTCGCAAACACATTTCCGTGGCCTTTGGTGCCAATTCTTTCAAATTTCTTTGGAAAAAAGAGAACTCAAAACCACCCACAATGCCGTTCAGGATTGTCGCGTGCACTTTTCCCGACAACTTTTCTCGAAATAGCTGTATCACTTTCACGACAAGACAAGACAAGACAAGAAGATTTATTTCACTCTGCTCGATTTTACATATGATCCAAAAGACAAATAAACACATTTATATAAGTAAAAAAATAAAGATTGTAGCATCTAGATAAGGAGCAATTTGAGATCATGGCCAAATGGCAAAAGCTAATCTAGTGGACAACCCCCAACATATAGTTAAACACAGAATTATGGAATACTGCTTTTTTTTAATAAAAAGTGTTTCTTCACGTTATGTTGATAGATGAATATTTATTTAGTATAAGGACGAAGCATAGAGTTCTCTAGAGCTTTACAAGATATATTTGTTGGCTGGGAATTCCAAAGGCGAGAGCCAGCGAATTTTAGGGGCCGTCAGCCATATTGGGTGGACATGGATTGATCAGGGGATGGTCCAGCTCTAGCTGCTGCTGCTGGGGTCATATCATCATTTTTCGTTTTGCCTTGGATTTTAGCAAGGCGTAGAAGTTTAGATGATGAATAATGAATTTCATTTATTTGAAAAGCGGAATGAAGAAACAAATGAAGAAAAGATCTTCGCACTTAAAGACGCAGCTTATGTTTCTTGGAATACTCGTTAAAACCAAGAAACCAGGTTCTTTGGAATGTCCAAAAGAGTGGTTCATCTCGGAGGACTTGGCTTCCCCGGCCTCCCCTGCCCGATATACGCTAAACACACCTTGTACGGCATCGCTCAAATCACACGTGCTGGGTAAAGAAATGCCGAAAAACTGGAGAAGAATTATAATGAATAGTTAAACAAAAGCTGCCTTCTAATCAGTCCTGCAAACCTGAAGTTTAGGCCCCGATCGCGAGTTCAAAGGGCTTTGAACTCGATTTTTTTTTTACCGCTAAAACGGTGAAACCAAATGGGGACCCTCCCATAATATTAGTCTGTTTTGAGGTGAAAAATTATGAAAAAATACGATATGAAAAAATATGAAAAGAAATTAATTAATTTTAATTAATTGTTAGGAGTTACTGTGGCATGGCGCTGAGGGCTCTACAAAGCCGGTAGACCTTTACAAACTTTTATCACCCTTGAATGTTACTAATGTGATAAAATCTTAACTCAAGTTACAGAAACATGCTCATGCTATTTTTTCTCCTTGTTGTTTATGTCGTCACAGTAAAGAAAAACTAAAATAAACATGGCCAAAGTGAAATCTGCGCACATCAGAAAAACAGACAAAATCAACTCTACTTTACCAGTTACAGCTAACAGGAAAACTAGTGGCATGTTAATAGCCACTCGATAGAAAACGCAGCTAGCATTGAACGACCTGCTTACAGCTTGACCGTTGAAGATATAAAGTACTGCGTGAGCTATACTTAAACTGAAGTGAAAACTCAGAAAGGTGTCTGAGTAGCCTGCTGAAGGATCCAAGTTTAACGCGCTTCGTAAGTGTTCGACGTTTTTTAAGTACACACCACCAGCAAACTGAACAATGCCTGTGACAAGGACCGCAAATGAGGACCAGGAGCCAGACGGAAATCTAAAGACCAGGCCAGCAATCTCTTTGAAAAACAAAACAAGGGTAGCGTCTTTCTCGGTGAAGATCCAGACCAGGAATGTACCCACCGCCAACGAATTGTCTAGCGCAACAAAAAAGAAAAGGTAGCGAACTGGAGCCGTACCTGCTTGGAACAACTTCCATGCAGCTAAGTTAATGAGGACTATTCTTGTAAACACTGTTATGTTGATATGGCCATGACCGGGAACTCTGTGGCGAGACCTGGATGCCACGATCAGCAAAAAACCCTCAATAGCGAGGGAAAGCCCACCAAGTTGTATGTAACCGGATGTTCGACCAACCAGCTCGGCTTGCCAAAAGTTTGCCCAAAAGGACGGAATCAGGAGCATGGATGTTCCAAAAAGAACGTAAACCAAGGATGACCATTGAGTAAAACGTTCGGTTGGGGTCAGCGATAAAGAACGATCGGCAGAAAACAATGCTTTGAGCGAGGGAGGCACCTGCATTGTGACCGGATATTCAGTTCCTGAAAAAGGAAAAGAATTTTGAGGTTAGAACGCGATTAAAATTAAAGTATACGTATACCTTCCAAGCCAATAGCTTTTAACACATCATGCATCTCTTGAAATGCTTTGTTTCAGTGACGTCCAGGTTTTTTTCGTCAGAATCAAATGTGTTTTGGACACTAATTTTCTAATAAAGCAAAATGGACTGTATCTGAGTCTAGAGAATAATATTGAATGACTAACAGGACAATTCTCAGCAGTTAGTGTAGAATAGCCCTGCCGTTAAATACCAGGAGTAGGAGAGGAGCCTGGGAAGGAGGTGAAGAAAAATTCTTTACCGTCTCTAAGCATTTGATGCGTGGAACTTCCTTACCTAATGAGGCGTTTTTGATAAATTAAGCGAATATGAATAATTGCGATGGAGTTTGAAAGAACGACGTTCAGTCGCTACCGTTGTCGTTGTAACTGATTTTTAACTCCGTAACTATCCCAGGCAAAAGCAATCAAACATACCCCATTTTCACAGAGACCACCGGGCCTTATTAAAGAAAGCTCCTGCATACATACACTCAACTTTATAAAACCAAGTCTAGAATGTTTTTCCGTGTGGCACAAATGATGGAACTGAGAAATAACTGGAGTGGAGCGAGGATTCAAGTGCTACAAACAACCCAGCATAAACATCACTAAGCGTTAATCCTTTTAGGTTATTAGGGCTTTTAGGTTATCTGTAACCGCTTAAACTTTTACTCCAGAGTGACTTCTTTGTTCCATCGTTTTACTACGCTTCGTTTTAGCTGTTTAGTATAGAGGTCGCCAGTTTCGGCGAGGTTTTTGAGCGATCACCTCAGCGATCGGCGATACGATGCAAGGCATAATGTAAAGCTCTACATAAACTGTTAGAAGGTGAGTTATAATAACAAGAACAGTTATCAAGTATTCGATGAGTTACCTTCGCCTTTCAGAGGTGCTCGGATTTAGAATGCCGTAGGGATTTACGCAACGGTAGCAGTGGAAACTGGCGATTGCATTTGTTGTCGTTAACAAACGTTTATTTGCGAATTGAACTTTGAATAAATTTACATACAATCATGCAATCCAATTGTTATTGAGGCCAATATATTTTTACAGCCTTTTGTAATAATTGCATTCCTTAAATTCTTTAAACGTATCTGGTCTGATGGGAACATTTAGGAGGTCTAGGTCCCCCGGTGCCCTTCCCTAATTCCCGCACTGATGGACAGTTTCCGTACAGACAAACGTAAGGCTAAAGACAGAGGGAAACGAACGCATGTACTCGTTATCGGACACCTGGGTGTGGGGAAGGGGGGGCCGGGGGAGGGAGTACTCGATCCTACAATGGCCGATACGGGGAGACTCCTCCCGAAAGGGGTACTTTTTCAGGCCTCAGGTACATCCAAAGGTAGGGTTATCACTAGCTGAAGTATATGAAAGCGTAGGAAAGTCTGTCATTTTGGCCCCGGGCATTTTGGTCTGCAAAAAAGCCCAAAAGGGCTAACAGAGGCACTCTATGGCTGTGAAAAATTCGACAAAACGTTCTGGTGTTGTGATTTATTCATATTTTTAAGACGGTGCATTTAGTGCAGTCAAAAGGGATGAAAAGGCTTACCTTTTCCGTCCAAAAAGGGTATACAGATATGTTTAGAGATAATAATCAAGTACCAAGGAAGTCAATCGTTAAATGATCCGTTACCTCAGTAACAACCCCATTGCCACGGCTCGCTCCGCACTTGTATCCGTATTTTCAACTATGCTTCAGTTAAATATCATTACTTAAATGACGATTGCACTTTCCCTCTTTAGGAGGCACTTGTTTTTACAGAGAAAATGGCATTATTCACTACCAATTCGATTTTGGGGGCATAGAAAGTTTCCATCTTTTTTGAATGTATCTAATGGGCAGCAGAAAGAGGAAACGTTTCTTAACTGGCCTACAAGTCGTCTTCATTCAGTTAACATGACAACACTTTCCCCCTTTTATGATACGTTTAAGTCCTCTCGCAGCTTCCTTATTGATTCCAGGGAAAGGAGGATTTAATCATTGTACTTTTTATAGACTGCAAAACAGTCCGTATTTTTGCGTAAAACAGTATGCAAAGTTGCGGTGCGAAAGGGACGTTCTTCGTTTTGCAATAGGACAATTGCACGATAACGTCATTTTACTACAACTCGCAGAAGCCTTTAGTGTGTTGTTTTCTTATGAAAATTAAGGCTATTGTTCTTTAATCCTCAGCGGGATTGACAAATTTAAATAAGAAAGCAAAAACGAAATGAATTCTGGTAGTTGTAGTCAAATGTCGTCATCGTGAAAATGGCCTATTGAGGACGCTTGAATTTCCACGCGTTTGCGTGACGCAGCTTTTAGATTGCGACTGGGAAAGCTCTTATGTGGGTTAAAAACGTTACCGATTTATCTGTCTAAAGATTTTTCGTCTCAGAATAATATTACTCCAATCGTTTACAAGCTCCTCAAAGACAGGTCTTTCTGTTGGTTTGCGGCCTCCATATTTGTGTGAAAACAGAGAAGGAAGCATTTGCGCTTGTGGCTTCTCGATCTTTTCGGGCGGAGGGAAGCGACTTCCGCAAATGCGTCTGCGTTAGCAGGTTAACGAACCGAACAAGTGGAGAATCCTTCTTAAACTCTAAAAGTTACTGAACAAATGATCTTTTATAGTTATTTTATTATTACTCATTTAAGATTTAATAACAACTATTTGTTATTATAACGATCAAGGGAAAGGAGACACCCATTCCTGTTAAGTCTTGTATAAGTGCTCAAGGTACTTCCAGAAAAAAAAAATCGGCGCAATAAGGTAGATCAACATTTTTTTCCGTTTAATTGTGCTTGCATTATCTCGGTTTATGCCAACGACGCAGCCAATGCATATAAGGTCAGCCTTAAGTTAAACTTCTGCACAGCTTGCGGCATCTATCTACAGATAAACAGCGACCTTCGGTAGCCCTACAAACCTACAATGTTAGGCAGGGTACTTCTTCATAACTTAACTCTTTTCAGTTGACACTGAAGCACACAGAGAATTAACAGGTAATAAATTAGCGTCAGAGAAAACAGCCGAAACTTCGCCACACCATCACTGGTTTCCCGGCGTCATGACGTGTGAGGAATGACAGCAGACTGATGAGGCATCAGTTAGATCTGGGTAGTGGTTCTTTTTGCTTCCTATTGGTCTTGCCGCAAGGGAAATTGCTTTAACCAATCAGAGGCCTCACCCAGACCAGGGTATTAGCACGTCATCAGTATGGAATTTCCGCGCTCGTTCCTCGTTCCCTTCCTTTCGCGCGGAAACCAGTGGTGGTGTCGCGAAGTCGGCTGTTTTTCCAGGTTCAAAATAAATAAACTGAAGTTACAATTTACAAACTCGGTGCTAATGCTCAGTGCTTCATTCTAGCGTCATAAGCGTAAACCTACTGTTATGTTAGGGCTACCTACGAACAACCACACAGGCGCTAGTTCTTTAATCTCAGACGGAATGGATTCCTTTTCCCTGGCAAGTTTCAAACGTAAAGTACAATTTTTTTGAAAATGCACAAAATAAATTTGTTCGTTATAAGCGTGAGGCAATACATTTACGAAAATAAGCGCCTTAAAGGGGCAGTGTCACGAGGATTTTTCTGTTGTTTGTGCTTTAATGATATACTTCTAAAACAGTATGCACTATACTAAGAGCAATGTTGAAGTTGTGCAATAATCATTACATTTCCGACGTCCAGCCATTTTTAAGGAGTCCGGTTTGCTCCCTCCACTCATGTAAGAGGTTACAATGAAAACGACTGTTAATCAAGTCTGGCTCAAACAAAGAAACATCTGGTTTAATAACCCAGTCCCCCTGACCTAGTACAGTCTCAGGAGACGAGTTTTGTAATTGTATTCTAAAATGTGAACGTTCAAAAGTAACCGCTTGATATGCAACACTTTTAGTGGCTATTACTATCATTGCATTTTCAGTACTTTAATACGGATAAAAATTGGAAAATTTCTTTGATCTAGCGTTTACAAGCTTCTGTGAGTGGAAATAACGTGACAATGCTCCTTTAAGCTGCTCCTAAACAAGTCACTAAGAATGTCATCTCTCATAAATAAAATCTGTAGATTCTATAATTTCGAAAAGACTAACAATTACTTTCTCTTGGGGATATGTTTTTTCCCAACAATAAAAATAACTAAAATGTTTCTTGAGGCCTTTTCAGACAACTAAATATAAATATCTCGAATAAGAAAAATTTACGGTAACTTATCAACCTCGTTCCCAGGGTCCCCTCCTACTCTCCCTTGCTCCGGGGGTCGATTAGGACAGGACCCTGGGAACAAGGTTATATTGACTTGTGCATTAATAATTTAAATTAATATTCTCTTACAAATCTTTGAACATCTCTTTTTTCCGCTTTTCTAAGCTATTACTTTAACTTTCCACTCCCACAGCTGTCAAAAATAGAGTTCGAACTTTTGAGTCTGTTGACAAAATAGAAGATAGGGGAACCTTTATCCTCTCTTATAAATTCATAGTAAAGAAGTGTTAACATTCAAAAGCCTCCCCAGCAGTCCTTTCCTGTGGTAGTCTTTAATCTGCTGTACAAGGAAGTTCTAACATTTGAGTATTTGGACAAGTATTTGGTTAAACAAATATTAAAGCTATGGAAGACTACGAACCTCACATTTGTGACATTGAAATACGACAGAAACGAAATTTCTTTTTCGAGGACAGTCACGCATTTAGTAGTGGAGTAACAGCATTTTTTATCCGTACTTTTTGAATTGAATGGTCTCAAAAATGTCGCTTACATTCAGAAGTGGTGTTTGTTTTTCAGTATTTTACAAAATAACATTTAGAAGTTTTGTCGAATTTGGCTTTGGCCCGCCAGCCACGCCTAGAAACAAAAGGGTTAAACAGGGTTTAACTCTGAAGCCCAGGCACTCTGTGCTCAGCTTTTCGGTTGATAAAAATTATCACAGTCTATGACTAGTCTCATAAAACACAAAAACAAACAAAAACAAGTGAACGCTGCGAAACACCGCTTGTTACGAAGTGACCGTTCGTTCTTTAGTGCAGTGATTAACACCGGCATAATACCAGTTTTAACTGCCTGCCAATACAGTTGTCTTCCATCACTCCCCGTCTTTCGTGCAGGCGTCCCCGCGACGGCCAGCGATGAAAGGCGGCAGAATTCGCGGGCTACACGATTTTAACCTATTTGAACTGAAGTTTTCAAAGCCTATCTTTTTCTATTAAAAGAACTTTTAGAAGGTATTGTTTGAGAAACAAAGAGAGATAAAGCTTCTAGTACTAGGGAAAAATAAATATAACATACCAAGAGATGTAAGACTGAGATAAACCTCTATAACTGTTACTTTGTCTTCCGATATCCAGCCAAAATTCATAAATAGCTACGCTAAATAGTTCTCCCCTTGTTCCTTGTCCAGTTCAAGGTGCTGATATATGTATGACAAAGAATCCGCAGAGGCGTCGACAAGAAATTGGCACTTCATGAACGCCTCCACGAAATCTACCTGGGTATAACTTTTCTGCATTTGGTTGCGGGCGATCATTGCAACCGTGTGCGCACGCTCGGTTTCTAGCCACTCGCTGACACCAATTTCAATGCTGTCTTCATCGAGTTCTTTTGGTCCCCATAGCAACACTTGAAACATTTGGAGGGCTTCCCCGGCAGACAACCGCTCTTGAGGATACCTCCGTAATAACTGACGCGCTATCCTGCCCACCCCCCTGGAAAATCTTGACCTTGAAGGAATTGGAGGAAGATCTGTTTGGTCGTAATCCTGCTGAATAAGGAGTGGATTAACACCAAACGGGTTTGGTCGGTGAAGCAGTTCATACATTAAGCACCCAGCCGCAAAATTATCGCAGTTTTCATAATTCAACAAATCCGTCTCTTCTGGTGCATTTAGTATTTCCGGTGGAAGGTGTTCCCAGTTCCCGCCGAGATCACTGGACGCGTTCTTTCGTAGAATGAAAGGACTGGGTCGAGAGTCTTTCGCCTGCTGCAGCGCATGCTGAAAATTGGCGACAAGCAAGAGCCCGCAATCCGTCAAAAACATATTTTCCATTTTCAGATCCCGATGAACGACGGTCTCTTTGTGTAAGTGATCTATTGCGCTTAAAAGCTGAAGCAAGAGGAGGCAAACCTTCTTCTCGTAAGCCTCTGGGTCATTTTCATGTTCCTCTTTGTTTCTTTTGACAAAATCCGCCACTGTTTCACAAGGGATTTGATCTGTGATGCTCACCGTTGTTTCATACGAATCACATTCAGCTTGTTTAATAACGTCACCTGATACGTTATCAGTAAAGTGCGTAAGAACACGTGATACGTTCACGTGATGCGGCAGAGACTCGCAGACGCACATGTCGTGTTTGAAAGGTGATCTTTGTGACGCGTAACTCGAAGATGGTATCGGGTACTCCACCTAAAAAAATAAAAAGATACATAACTATTTACACCTGACGTAACAAGATACAGAGAGTTGGCCGGGGGCAAAGAGTTGTGGCTCGAACCACTACATCACCATCAGTTAATCTCCCCCGAATCACAACGATCGTCCTATTACCTTAGTGCTAAGCTTTCTGTCTGATGAATAATGAAAAATGGGGGAGAGGGAGGCAGGGGTTTTTAAAATTTCCATTTTTACTGAATGGTTCTGGAACCCGGTATTTTCACAATTATGATTTCTTCTCGCCCTGCCTTTCCCGTAACAAAAACAACCTGAGAGTAGCTCACCAAAACAAAGCTAGCCCTTTGACCTGGATATTTTTGCATGCTTTGCAGTGCGGACACTCAAACCGGGACACTTGGAAGAGGATTTTCCAACCACAACGTTTCTCAAAACAAAAGATTCTGAATTTTTTTTGGAAACGGACCAATAAAATTGAAGTATTTCACTTTGCAACCGATAAAAACTTAAAACCGTTTGAACTTACCTGACCTCTCGGGAAACGGCACGTCCAATTTATGAATGTTATTGGTCGTTTGCAAAAAAAACTTGAGAATCTTTTGTTTTCAGAAAACGTTGAGATTGGACAATCTTCTTTCAAGTCTCCAGGTTTGAGTGTCCGCACTGTAAGCCGTTTCACTGTGCATGTTATTTTCTCTTCTGCGTAATTTAGGGAGCTTCGTTCGTTGTGCAATCCTCCAGTAAAAAATTTACTCATCCAAAGAGTTGAAAATGCTTTCAACTCTCACAAGACAAAACTAAAGTTACTGCGTGACGTTACAACTAGAGTAAAACCCGCATGGTCCATATTAACCGGCATGCCTTATTAAGCAGACAAGAGTCACTGAAAGTCCGAAACTATTTTTTGGCTCATATTCCCCTAAAAGCAAACCTGTATTTAGCGGACCGCGACTAACGAAGGTCCTACGAGAGCCCGCTTAATGCTCGCCTCCTGCTCGGACGTTAACAGGGTTTCGTCACGCGTTACTTCCAAAAGGAAAGTCGAAAAGTAACTCTCTAGCAAAGAAAATTCATATTATCTACTCAACGCAATTGAGGGTACTCACCTTCGCAAGCAATTTCCTGTTTCCCTCCCAAAACATGGCACATTTAACGGGCAGAAGAATTGCCCCAGGAGAGCGCACCTCCAACGTGTTCCCATGAGCCTCGTAGTCTGACCAGCGCGTGTCCCACAAATCTACACCAACATCAGGAAGGAGCTCGTCCCTCCAAGAATGAATCATGTCCTCCAGCGTCTGCAACTGCAGCTTTAAAATCTTGTTATAGCGTTTTTCCAGACCACTTCCGCTCGACAAGCTTCTACTGCGTGCCACCGCTGGTCTTTGCCGTTCCAGACTGCGGTTTTCAAAACTGTGGGAACGCTCCCTTATGGTATGCCCGGAAGGTTTTGTATTTGGAGGTCTAGATGGGAGTTTAGGCCTGGACTTGAAATCTCCTTTATCTCCGGATCCGTTAATGAGAGTCGGCGACACAGCTCGTACGGGGCGTCGAGGTTCTGCTTTGGCTCCTGGGGATGTGTTTGACGCATTTGAATCATCACATCGAAAGCGAACTTGCCGCGATCGTGGAATAGCTGGAAGAGGCCCCAACTTTTCTTGCTCAACTCTTGAGAGCGCCTCTGCGAGAATTTCAGCATCGTTCAAATTAGCTAAAGCTGTTTCAACTTTAAGAGTCAACTCGTCTTGATTAGGCTGTAGATACGTCTGTTCGTCATCATAATACTTCTTCTTTACAGCTTCTTCATCCGGACTCGGCTCACTGTGTTGCAATGGCTTTACAACTTTAGCTACGCGAGGGGGCTTTTTAGGCTTCTCTAAAGTATCCCCGCCTTTGGACAGCGGAAAGTTCTGGTAGCCAATTCCTGGCTCAGTCTGCATGATAGGGGATGACGCTCCACTGAATCTTCCATCCGACTGAAGTGTGTTCACTGGAGAAGAGGGATCAGCTGCAGATGAAGACATGATTGGCCTAACGGCAACTTTTGTCACAGGCGATTCAGATCTTTCTGTGTCTGACGTACTTGTATGGTCAGCGTCAGCGGGTCTCTCTTCTGGCGGAGCCTGTTGTGGCACCGCTTCTTTGTAAGTGAAAATCCCCGGCATTTCATCACCTGATATTATTGGACCGCTAATTTCGATGGTTTTGCTATGTCGGTTTTTCCTCTTACCCCCAAGTTTCTTCATACTTGCAAAAGCTCTCCTCAGGGTTGACTTGGGAGACGGCTGTACTTTTGGAGGCGGTGAACTCACGTTGGAGCCATGCGCATCAGAAAAGGACGAGGAACGAGTGGGCTTTGCTTTAGATGGACTGGGACTAACTGGCTTGACTGTTGCCTCGGTGACAGACCGAGAAACCGGCGACTTTGGTGGTGGAGGACTGGAAGCTAAACAAACAAGAATACATGAGAACTCGAAAAAAACCTGAGATACGTGTGGGAATCAACTCATAAATGAAAAAAAAAATATGTGTATGAAAGAAGGAGAAGAAGAAAACGAACTAAAGGAAAATAAACAGATAAAGTACTTAAGCAAACATTGTTTGTTTGGAGGGACAAAACATCTCAGCTTTTCAACCACTATATATATTATGCGGTCTATAAAACCACTACACAACCTTGTCAGTCTATAATGATATAATCTGATTAATTTTGTACAGGTGAGACTATAAAACCTTGTAGAACTAGGAGAGGATCACAAGAATGGGATTCTAAATGACGAGACACAAAATAAGGTCAACATGACAGTTTCCCATTTCCCAGCTGCAACTTGTCTCGTCACATATGCTTCTTGCCCAAAGAACGTTAACGGCTGTGCAAGAGGCCAGGCCCCTGCCCCTGACGGACAGCAGCCCGCATTTAATACTCTTGACACAAGCTAAAGATAAAGATCCCAATAAGGAAAGGTGCGGGGTTTTCAGTACAGACTGCCCCACTGGAACCAGGCGCCCCGAAGAAGCAATCTTTGATAACATAAAAGAGGTTTTTTGAAAATGCCTCCCAAACTCAGAGTTCTGGTATTTCTCTGTTTTGCCACAATTGAGTTGCTACCAACTCTGGATGCCCAAAGTACAGCTTAAGATGTCAGAGAATGATTTCCTACCACACGAAGGTGGGGGGTGGGGGATGGAGGGAGAAAGGAAAAAAACAAAGAGGAGAAAAATCAAAAACAGCAACTATAACTGAAAAATGAAAAGAGAGAAAGAAATCAAAGGAGAAGAAGGAAAGGGAACGGAACTTGTGTTGCTCTTTAATGACTGTGCAACGGGCTGGTCAGTTTATTGACGTGGGCAGTGAGGAAAGAGTCACCAGTCAGATGTGGAGTAAGAGGCTGGCAAAGAAGGCAAAGCTTATGAAACTTCCTCATCGCTGAAGGAAAAAAGTAAAGCCCTAAAGAATAAAAGTAATCCCTCTGTCTCCTTTTTTGCGAAAATATTTAAGGTCTTAGCACAGAACCCAGTTTGATAAATTACTTTTGTTGTTCAGTTGGTAGATAACGTCATTTTTAACATCTTTTGCTGTCCAATACACAGCTATGATGCGAACCGGCTGGCATAAACACATGACAGTGAATTACTCCTTTCCCTTTTAACCCTTAACTGTCCTTACGAATTGAACTATAGGAAAATAGACCTACAATTGAGAAAACTTCATGTGTGAGTTGAAATAATGGTAACTGAGACTGAAAGAACATGAACTCATTTAATCAGTGACATTTTCAATGCCAGTATCATCTTGACTGCTTAACCTCGTTACTGTGCAAACCACTTTGTAATTAGCACTAGGGGAATATCATTGTATTGTTACCCACCACGAATAGTTCTGATAAAGTATTTTCAAATTGAATGTTATTGTTGTTGTTACAACTAAGTGCAGGTCTAACTGTGCTAATGCTTCCTGTTACATGTGCAAGCTTACCAGACAGGGGAGGTGGTGGGGCACTTCTTTTGGGCTTGATGGGCCCTTCTTGAGTCTCCCCCGCTCCAATGCCTTCACTGTTCACTGGACTCAAAGGTACACTTTCAGATGGTTTATCTGAGCTCCCAGGATCCAATGTCCCTTTTTTGGGGACAGGGGGTGATGTTGGATTTGTTGCCTTTTTTGAGTTCTTTAATGAGGGTAGTCTTTCAAGGGAGGGTGGAGAGGGAGAAGGGGTACTGGGTAGGGGTGTAATTGGAACTATAAAACAAAGAAAATTAAATAGAAAAGTGTCAGTTGAAATGCATAGTAGCAAAGCCGCCTTTTACAATAAATAAACAAACACCAAGCAGCTGGAACAAATTAACAGAGGAGAAATTATAAATTGCAGTTTTAAATATTTTATAATATTATATTTTTTTACTAAAGTCGTTTGCCCTTTAATTCTTTATATTTAAGACCGATCAAACAAACAAGCTAGCATGCAAGCAAGCCCTCAGTCATAACCATTCCCTATGTTATTTTTTTATTATCCTTCTGTTAAGATTTAATGTAGAGATGTTAAAATCAATATGATCCAAGCTGGCAGCTCTCAGTTTATTTACATTTAGCAGAATTTAAAATGCTTACTTTTATTAGTTTACTCTTTGTTTAAAATTACACTCAGCTATTATGAATGTAATGAAACGAACATAGAGGGAAAGTAGAGTTGAGTTTAATTCAAGGTAGTTGTCACAGATTTATTAAAAGGCAACTCACACCATTCTGCTGAAATCATGTTTTTTTTTTTCATCAAACAGAAGAGCTTCAAAGGTTCAATTTTATGGCTGTTTGTTCTTAACTATTTCCTTTTAGCTGTAACCTATTCCATCCCTATACCTTCCAGTTGCTAACCTTATCAATCTGATATTTTAAAAACACACTAGGCTGAAATGTGGGACACAGCATTTGCAAACCTGCTAGACTTGCCATAAGTCGACTGTGTGAAGGCTAAAGTCACAAGACAAGTGACGTAACCAGCAGAAACTGCAAACAGGCTTTGAGAAAGTCTAGAAACCTGCCATCTACCTGCGGGTTGCTTAAGCTGATATTATGCAATGTACTCTGGTAGGAAATACCCATGGAAGTTACTCCCCCTTCCAATTAAGCTTTGCACACTGATTTCAGCTATAATAACAAGTCAGGCGCGGATCATCCACACCAGTTTCCAACATTTTTTGGAAATGCATCACATTTTTCATAATAAATATATTTTCATAAAAGACTTTCCAAGTTGAAATCTGGTCACCATCCTCTCTGAATGACTCAGAGAACCAGGAAAGGGGACTTAAAGCCCTCCTTTAAGGAGTAAAAATCCAAAAAATTCATGGAAGAGCCTGCTCCCAGACCCTGCTTGCGCCTTCTGCACTCTTTTAGGAATTCGGTCAGTCTTTATCCTGGATCTGTGCCTGCAAGTCATTTCATGAGTGTATCCTATTCTTCTTCTAGCTTAAAGCACCTAAGGGAAATGTTTTTGCCAGTAATGGCTATTTAATTTCCAAATGTAGCAAAATTCAGTCGAACTAGGTCTGGTTTAGGTTCTGGGGTACCAGTAGTGGCACATCTGCGGTACTCAGAAGCTTCTAAGGTACACCCCACCCTCAGGCGTGTTTGTTATACATAGTGCAGGGTTTTCAACAGTCTTTTTAAGTGGTAAACGTACATCTAAAGGCACCCCATGTGATCAAATTTTTTTGGTGCCGCAAAGCAGCTTATGAGCCCCAAAGGTGGAGCTACCTCAGGGGGTCTAGGGGCATGCCAATTTTTAAAATAGAACACTCAGAAATGCTGTGTCCAGCTTTTCTGAAACCGAAGAATCAGTTTCCCAGGCAATGCTGGAGTTCACTCAAATTCCCATTAAAATTAAAATTTTCAATGAAATTGGATAGTTGGTAGGGAAATGGGGAGGAGGGAATGGCAGTAAGTTCATGAGTTGCTTAAGTAAAAAATATATTGATAATAATGAAAAAAATTTAAAAAAACCCTCAAATATTGGCATCAAAGAACCTGCAGACATAGGATGGCAAACGACCGGAAAATAGTGAGTGAGAAAAAAATAGAAAAGGCAGAGGATTTTTAGTCATCTCTCTAAGTTTTTCACCACAGAGCATCCCCTAACTTTATGAATGACTGTCAAATGGCCCCTTTGAATCCAAAATGTTTAACTGAAAATGTTAATTCTCAATGCAAAATCATAACCATCAATAGTTAACCTCATAGAGAAAAAGCCTTCTTTAAAAACTAAGCTGGCCTTCTCCAACCTGACGATCAAAAGGAGAGTTCTTTATGCCGCCATTTATTACCACACTAACCACAAAATTGTCATCTTTTCATTTAGAAATTCTATAAAAAATAATGTTCAGTTGTGTAATTTATCAACAGAAACAGGTGCCAAGCTGGCAAAGACAAGGAACATGTGGAATACATAATTTATGAGGTAAAGGGAAATGAATATTCCATTCGTAAAACATTGCAACAAAACCAGCAAAAAAATACATCATAATATCTAACAAAGAACTATAGTGCTATTCACATAGTGCCATTAACAATATAATTTCTTTCCTTGTATTTGCATTCTGTTGTATGAATCACATGAATAAAAGGAAACACGGAAAAAAAAATGACCTTCGCTTGACATTGGATCTTCCACTATAAAACTCAAAAGGAATATTCAATAGCTTAAATCATGTTTTTTTCTATAATTTATTGTTAAGACTCACATCCCTCTGGTGTCAAAGTACATGTATACTGTAGCATGTACGGTGTATACTGAATAGCTACAACTCATGGCACAGGTTTCAAACCTCTCTTCTCACATGATTAGTTGATTCTCATTCAATAAAAAAGGTTGGGACCACTTAATATTAGATAATTTACAGGAATAAGGTACATGTATCATTGCAACACTCCAAAGCCCCATCAAAACAATAATAAATTGGAATCTGTTGCAATCTTTCTAATCTGTGTCATTCTTCTTGCAAAATATGGAAAATCAAACACAACTTTAGACAACACTACCAGTAAAGCTGTAAAGTCAGTGATGCCATTTTAACACTTTTCTCTGATCTAGCATTGCACTTGTTATTATTTTTGTTTAAATCTAAAGCAGTGATATGAATAGATTGACATTTGCCTATAAGTTTGAGTGATCATAGATAGCTGGTGTGAAATTACTAGAAGGATATGACTACAACTGCAATGTAAAACTATGTAACAAGGAGTTGAGGGATTCAATCGTTATTCCAGTATGTGATTAACATCATGATGCTTGTTCACAATATATCAAGAAGAGCAAATAATTTTTCACAGGACTGACCAAAATCAGCATGAAATACAAAAGTAAAAATGATATAAGGATTTGGTAAAAAAGCATTGGTTGGATATTATCTATTTGCATCCCAAGGCATACCTTTTGTTTATGTTGACAAAGATAATAAAATTCTTTTCAGTTTCATTGAAAGAAAGATAATCTGAATGACTACATGTAAATAGGGGTTAAATGACCCCATGTTAAAATGATAATAAAAGTCAAAAATGGCAAATAGGACAAGGTGATCAAGCTGATAACAAATTATAAGCAGACCATAAAAATTCATTTCACACATTTCATAGACAGAAAAACAAATGCTTGTTTCCAGGTGTAATTAGATTAAAGAAGTACTGTTATTGTGTATATTTATTTTTTTGGCAAAGGTGAATTGTATGATCAAGAGTTTTAAAGTCATTATGAATTGAAAACTTTTGTCATTTGGTTATCTGATATCATGATCAGCATCTTAATTTACCAGCTAATATCTTTAATGTCACATCATGTTTGAGGCAAATAAGATATATATTATATGGAAAAGACCCATTTATTTTAAGTGTTCCAGAAGTTACTTCATGGCTGCACCTCTATACATGATGTACATACAATGACCTTCTGTTTCTTTTATCAATTCACTATTCATTCCCTTAAGCTCTTTGATTAAAATGCTCTCCACATGGTCACCTCTTTACAGTATAGTGACCATGTTCCTGTATTCTAGCTTTTTATCCATTTACTTGCTACTTCTGAGTAAAAATAGGCATTTCTTGGTGATACAGGAACCTATTGTTTCATGGTGCGGGCACTCATGTTCAGTGTCTTTTCAATCTTTTGTATTACGTCATTTCAATTTGGTGACTGCACCCGTCTGCATCACCAAGAAACTACCACAAAGGTCCCCCCCTCAACCCATAACAACACCTTTTGAAAATGTCCCCAAACTACATGGGGGCTGTCAAGAAGAGATTCAGTACTACAGTTGGAATGGTAAAAAATACAAAAACAAAAGACAAATGCACAAAAAATGTGGTAATCACCGTGCTATAAAGAAAGACTTAGCTATATTAAATGAAACAATAATTTATTATACTAACCAACTGGCTGCGAGGTGCCCACTTTCAGCTCTTTAACTTCCTTGTTGTCCACTTTAGATGCATCACTTTGCGTTCTTGATGCACGGGGTGCAGGTTTGGGCAACGTACCAAACTGAGATGGAACTCTGGAGCGTGGCCTCGGAGCTGGAGCTCTGCGCACTACCCCATTCTTGTCTGTTGTAGCGTTAGGGGCTGGGTTAGGAGCAGGACTAGAACAAGTGCTTTCTCTGGCATTGTTGATAACATCTTTCCTTTCATCTGGTGGACCCTGTTCTGGAATGCCTTGTCTTTCCCCAGATGGTTCAAGATAAACATGACTTTTCAATTCACCTGTTCTTTCTTTTTTCAGGTCCTTTTCTTTTGGTGGTAGAGGTGGAACATCACTTTGTCCCTCTGCAGTAGGAACTGAAACACCTGAACTGATATCAACCACTTTGTATGGCTTTGTAAATGGCTTTAATGTGGTATTTACATAAGTGTGGCTAGCATTACCGCTACCTTTGTCTGCTTCAGTAATATGTTCACTCTTAGGTTGCGTTGTAACGACAACAGAGTCAGGTTTACTTACATCAAGTCTTCCAACTGCCTTTTCCACATGCACTGACTCACAGCTGTTTTCTTGAAAATCAGATGCACTACAGCTATCCCAAGTGCTACTCCCCCAAGAGCTACATGAGGCCCCACTGGATTCAATAACATTGTCACCTTTTGTTTGACTCATGCGAGCTAGGTCTGCTGAATTCTCATTTCCAGTGTTTACAACACCTGTAACGCCGGGTGCAATTACATCCAAGCAACTATTTGATGAGTTACTTCTAGTTGATTTGCGAGTGTTTTCATAGCCTGAATCATGACTGCTGGAAGCTGTATCAGTGCTGGTTGTACTGGCTGGCCTGTTTACATAGGATGGCTTAGTGCTGCTGGCTTTACCGGTAATCTTATTAGGAATCAATTTATCACACGTGCCTCCAGATTCTTCAGAACTGTTTGAATTGACGCTTTTCGATCTCGTCTTGCTTGAGATCAAGCACAAAGGATTTCGAAATTCTAAAACGCCTGAGGAATTTCTCCTTTCTTCGTGCGCCTCGGAATCGCTTCCGTTTGTCGCTTTAATTTTCTCTTCGTCACTGATCTCTTGTTCGTATGAATGGTGACCGGCTTCGTAGTTTGCTTCCATCTTGACATCTGCTTTGCGCATACTATTGAAGCGTATGGGTTCGGCAGTAAACAAAGCTACATTGCTTTTCATCGGTACATAACCATCCCCATCGCTGTCATCATTGTCTATAAACGTAAGCTCTGAAAGATCTTTCTCGCAATTACCACAATCCACAAGGGCTTCATTGTTGGACAAAATTTTTTCACAGCCCTCGTCGAGAGCTGTCGAATCTAAATCAGTCGAAACTTGTATGTCGGTGACCGCTTCCTCCTTTTCGATTGTCTCGCGGACAGTTTCGATATCCGTACTGTTTGTTGACTCCTCAAGCACCTGAATCACTTTAGTATCGTGATCTGGTTTTGAAAGAACACTCGTGTGCGGCTCAACGCTTTCTAAAGAGTTTGCGTTACTGTGGGATTTCCCAAGAGAGTCTTCGTGCATGGAATCGCTTTGCGCATCAGATGATTGCTGAGGGCTTATCAGCCCATTTCCTCCGTCTATAACTCGAGAGGGCGGTCTTGGTTTGGATCGAGGAACCGGCTTTGGTTTATTAACAACAAACAATTTGGGAGTTTCATCTGTTTTGCCGGTATGCCTTGTAATGCTATCGCTGCGACTTCTGTTGTTGTCCGTTTCGGTGGGAGCACAAGGTGCGATGGTTTTAATACCATTTGCACCTTCTTGGCGACTTCTTCCCTCTTTGACATCCTTTCTTTTCACTGAATTAACCACTTGTTCAATATTTGGCGCTATAGGACTATGACCTCCTTCTTGATCATGTATGTTCGCCGTGCTGTTGTCGCCTTGAATTTTGTCATCATTTTGATGTCTTTCGCGTGATTGAAAACAGTTGGCACATTTTCCCTTTCTCCACAGGTTTTCCACAAAATTATCACAGGCAGACATTATTCATTCGCTTCTTCATAGCGTTACCAACTCACCGGGTAAGTTTTCCCAATTTTTTTTTTTGGTGTGGGCACGATTTTAAATATCAGAGAAGACATAAATATATACCAAACACCCACTGCGGAATATGACAGCGGAGAAACACAAAGGACGTTTGCAGTCAAAGGGACAGAAGTCTGGGGTCAACAAGGAGGGTGGATACACTTCCGGTGAAAAAACCAACAACGAATTAAGAATTCAGGGACTGTATTTCCGTTCAACGCAACCAAAAATCTGAACACAGCGGCAAGCACTTCTATTCTTTTTTGTTCACACTTTTATGCCGGAATTGGTGTTCTGAAAACAAACTTAAAAGCAGAAATCAGGAGCAATCGGCTGGTGTTGAAATTCAAGAACAAGGCCCAGGAATAAGGAAACTCGAAAACCAAAGAATTTCCCGGATTTGTTACAATTATTAATAGTAGTCTTTACACTAGAGCCTACATAAGCTAAGAAATATTTCAAGACAAGTAAATATTAATTACTTCAAGTAAAATAAAGCTTCACACACAACCTATCTTTTTTACTTCCGGTTTACTTTTAATAGAATAAGTCTATTTTCCCACGCAATATAATTAAGATTGATTGACATGCTTCGCCTTTCTCAAAGCTTAGAAACCGCAAGTTTGCCAAGGATCGTGACTCAAACACCACACGAGTTCATACGAGTAACATACGACTACATGTACATACGAGTAACATACGAGTACATACGGGTAACATACGAGTACATACGTGCAACATACGAGTAACATACGAGTCCATACGGGTTAAAAGGGCGACTCGAAGCAGGGACACAAGGCATACAAGGAAAAGGAGCACTAAGGGCCTCTTCATATGAGCCCGGTTGACCGGGCTGGCTCGGTTACCGGGATAAATTTTGCCTTGGGTTCATATGAGAAATTTCAGCCCGGTTTCCGAGATGAGAAAAGGTCAAAGATCCTGGGTACGAGTTCTGGCGCCAAATTTGGGAAACAAAGCAAACATAGCGAAACACAAAAATTTTAACATTCGGGCCTATCTTAGCATCGGTAACTCTTAAAGCTGTATCACTGCAGTTAAATGGGATGCTTATGATGTGGAAAATACAGCAGGCAATGCAAGACGATGCCATCCGGACCGCCAGAATTCATCCCGCCGTTCATCCCGGTAACCGGGATGAGGTGTTCATATGGCAAAATTTCCAGCCCGCTTACCGAGATCTCGGGGACCAAGCCAGCCCGCCCTCTCATATGAACACATCGAAAATTTTACAAAGGATTTAGAGGTGAGGCGAGATCTCGGAAACCGGGCCAGCCCGGTCAACCGGGCTCATATGAAGAGGCCCTAACACAAGAAAAAAGAAAGAGAGAAAGTTGATAGTCTGCGCACCCTATCATCGGCGTTACGAAGCTGGGAATTATTCCATGAAGCGAATTTAACCGCCTTCAAACAAAGAATACCATTTCCGCAAACCGATTTCCAACCATTTTCGCGTAATGAAAAAATTGGAGAAAATTGAAGAAAAACACAATTCGACTACGTTAGAAAAATAGTTTGGATAGCCCTTCGTAGTACGAAAGCCGAGGAGGGTCTTCCGACTTCTGACTTCCGACTTCTGACTTCCGACTTCCGACTTCCAACTTCCGACTTCCGACTTCCGACTTCCGATTTCGACTTCCGACTTCCGACTTCCGGCTTAAGACTTCATACTTCAAACTTCAGACTTCAGACTTGACAAAGTTCGAACTCCGGATTTCTGATTTCTGACCGTTGAGACTCAATGCTGCATGGTTAGACTTCTGACCTCCCACTTCCCACTTCTTACTTCCCACTTCTGACTTCTGACTTCTGACTTCCGATTTCCGACTTCCGACTTTCGAAGTGGGAAGTTGGAAGTCGGAAGTCGGAATTGGGAAGTCGGAAGACCCTCCTCGGCTTTCGTACTTTTTAGATTTTACATTTTGTTTTCTTACTCAGGCCACGCGATGTTAATCCAGAGAGAGTTTTCTTTCACATTCCGCCTTGTTCTCGTGTATACAAAATATAACTGAAAGACAAAAGACAAATTCTTTGAAAACATCATGTAGTCTGAAATGGGAAAGCAATATGTACCAGCCGAGAAGGGCTATTAAAATGCAATTGTTTGATTTGAAAGCAACAATGATCTTTTATCAGCCGTCAAAAAGACAAACTACAACAAGTTGCTTATTCAACGGCATTTGTGGCTCTTCATGAGCTGCATGGGATCTATTTCTCTTCTTCTTCTTCTTCTTGAGCAAAAATTCGTGTGTGAAGCCCTAAGTAAAATCTCAAGTAACTTTACTTTGCATCTTATTCAAGTCGAAAAGTTGAAACGATTCAAGAAAATTTCAAAGACTTGCAAGGGCGGATTTGGGGATCGGCCCAGGGGGCCTCGGCCTCCCCTTTCGTTCGGGAATTTTTTTTCTTAAATATTTCAGCATTACATGTTAATTATGGCATCCAGGCATTTGCTAAATTTAGGCGTCCAAAATGGACTCTAGATTGCACCTCAGAGAACTTCAATCACAAAAATTTTCCCGGAGAGGCATGCGCCCGAAACTCAATTATCCTCATTTATTTTGCCATTAACCAGAAATACAACAACAGTATACAGAAATACACTAAAGATAATACAGAATATTCCAACTAAATTATTTACAAGATCAAATGTGATAAAGGCAAGGAAGCCTATATAAAAGCCGGGGGCTTATAAACTATAGGCTTCCTGGAACTATTGGGTAAACCATACAAGTTAACTCCCTAGAAAATTGCGCCGTTCGCAGTCCTGATTTGCACTATCGGGCCCATATTGCCACTGTATACTATATCTCTAGGCCCCCTTTATCACAAAATCGTTCGTCCGCCCCTGACTTGAAAACCATCCTTATGGCCAACTTAGCTGACTTGCGGTTACTTGCGGTTTCTTGAGCTTTGAGAAAGACAAAACATATCAATCAATCTTAATTATGTTGCGTGGGAAAATAACCTTAAGTTAACCTGAAGTAAAAAAGAATCAGTTGTGTGTGGAGCTTTATTTTACTTGAAGTAATTAAAATTTACTTGTCTTGAAATATTTCTTAGCTTATTTATGCGCATGCTCTACTGTAAAGACTACCATTGTTAAGTTATTTCCGAGGCGGGAAAATTTACTTCGACCAACTTCCGTTACAATTTTTAGAATTTGGATCTTTACGGATGGATTTTAGTTCAAATTTCCTTTCGAATAAAGAATAGCCTGTTCCCAGACGTTGTTTTTTTTTTACTTTTCGTTCTTTTTTTAAACATCGGCGAGCGCAAAGCGCGAGCCAGAACGAAAAATAAGGAACGTCTATTTTCTTCTTCCCCCACCCCTAGCCCCTTGCGCTGGTCAATAACTCCCCCTTGCTTTTTGTTTTTTATCACGTGCGCTCCACAGACTTTGAACAGGAAATAGAGAGTCTGTGAACAGGCTCAATAAAGAAAGAAATGGAAAAAAGCAATCGTGAAAATCTCAGTTTTCACCGCTTCGAACAGTGACAAATTCATTACCTCATACCGACCCCCTCGGTAACGTGACTGTAAATAACAATAGAATTTAAAAGTCATTCACGTTGGATCCAGATACCCTATAGGTCGCAATATCTTGAATGTGAGTGCATGGGAGTGCCTGCATTTGTTTAAAAATAACGTTTGTCATTTTGTTCTCCAGTGAGCTTATAAAGTGCAGTGCGTGCATGTCCAAATCCTACCCTAGAAAATGTAAATTACATACCACAGAATAATATAACAACAACAACAACAACAACACCTAATGCTTTATCACAGAATAATGCATTCAACCAAGTGTAGAAAACCTCACCACATGCAGAAGTGCTTGCGTCGTACAATACGGGCAGTGTTTTGTTCTCATTCAAGCGGCCATATTCGGTGGCGAGAAGATTCTCAATTTGCACAGCAAAGACAGCGGAATGACTGAAAGTAAGTTACTTAATTCTAGTTTAAAAGTCACTTGTTTCAAATTTCGTTTGCTAATCATACTAAGGACCGTGATTGTTGACGCCAATCTACAGCATTTCGGTCCTGTTTATTGAAGGCCTGCTACGGTGGCTAATTTGTTCAAAATGCACTCTTCTTTACGACGAAAAATTTATATTCCGAGTCACCAACTTGTCTACCGTAAAACTGTTTCACTGGTGCTAGTTCAGTGATGCAGTTTCCCACAATAGTATCGTTTTTTATTTCGAGTTGCATAACATAGAAAACAATACGCATTTATTTCTTTAACTTGCTTGAGCAGAGAAAACTCAGACCTACAATGGACGGAATAAAATGGAACAGCAAACCCCCATTCCCCCAAATCAAGAATGAACCTGCGCGAAGGGCAACAACACGCCATTTTTTATGTATACACGCTCGTATTTTGAACGAGTTTTTCAGCTCTTTGACGTAACGTGTTAAAATAAACGATTGATTGATTTTCCCATCTTTGATTTGGGGGATGGGGGGAGGGGGGAGGAGAAGAGAGTTACCAATTTCCCATCTATTTTGTCCAAAATTTTATTGTTTGTTGTTTTAAAAAGGCCAACAATCCTATGCTTTTTTAGTTTATTAGTTTGACTGACTAAATCTATACCCAATATCGTGAACCTTTTTATTTTAACTCGATTTAGTGAAGGTGGCTTCACAAATGTGCAGTAATTATTCTATTCACGTTCACTGCCTAAGCCACATATCTCATTTGAAACGCTTGCAAAGAACTTTTGTGTAAGACTGATCAAGCTGATCAAGAGCTATATTAAGTGGGCAGTTATTATTCTATTCACGTTCACTGCCTAAACCCCCGGGTTGGGTACTGCCATATATGGGCTATATAGCCTATTATTAGGTATGTGCCGCTGTGAAGGGTATGGTTTTCAAGCAGTTTACTCTAGAATGGGGTATCATTTTTCAGGAAACTGATCAGTTGGTTGAAGATTTCATATAGACTAGGGACTGTGGCGTAAGGTTTTGTTTTGGCTAGACTGTGCTAGTGACCTCAGTAGTTTCTAGAAAACAGCTTCTCTAGGATAGGGGGGATTTGGGGAGTTTACTCTAGTATAGGGTAGCAAAATTCAGCTGAACTAGCTCTGGTATAGGTTATGGGTTCTATGGTCCCAGCGGCACATCCACACCCAGAAATTCCCAAAGTACCCTCCCCCCCAGGCCTAAACCACATAATCCATTTGAAACCCTTGCAAAGAACTTTTGTGGAAGACTGATCAAGCTGATCAAGAGCTGTATTAAGTAAACCTGGGAATGTTAATTATTGAAAACGTTAGGGAGAGGGAGTATAAGAACTACAGTCGACTCCCGATAACTCGACCTTTTTAGGGAAATCGAAAAAAGTTCGAGTTGTCGGGAGTTTGAAGGAAATAACCTAAAAAAGGATGAGGAGGGAATGCAATTAAGCAACGAAGTATACAGAGATGGACATTGAATTTGAACTAGAGTGACAAAACAGTCAACACAAAGAATTGACACGGTTTTTTTTTTAACTAAATTCAATCAGTCTCGGACTACACAGTGATATTTTTATGACTTGTTACGCTTGTGAAAACGACTTGCATTTTTAACTAGCTAAAAACAAGACGAGGTGTTTTCACTTTATTTCTGGACTTTTCCTGCTCTATCTAGTTAAAATTGTCCTAGTGGTAACTCAACCATAGAAATGATCTGCAGGGAAACAAAAATTACTTCGAGTTAGTGAGAGGTTCGAGTTACCGAGGGTAAAATTACAGTCATTGTATAAAGGAAGTCCAGGGGAAATCGACTTTGGTTCGAGTTAGCGAGGGTTCGAGCGGGAGTCGACTGTACACAACGGAAAGTTAAATTACGTAACCACGACCGTGACGGCAAGGAAAAATGCCAACAAAGGGATACCGTAAAATTCCGACAATAAGCCCCAGGGCTTATATTTGTCAAAGACCCTTTTTGAGGAGCTTATATACGGAGGGAAATTTGCGTCTCAAAATCGATTGGGCTAGCTTATAGTAGGAGGGAAATTTGTGTCACTAACTTGTAGAAAGTTATTACTGAAACTCACCTTGCGGACTCATCCATGCAAGTACTTTGCATACATGCCAACCCTCCAGGATACGACACCAATCTCCCGGTCTCCCGTACGGTCGCTTTATCTCCCGGACAAAATCATCTTTTGAACTTTTCTGTGCCTTAGTTTGAAATTTAGCTCATTTTTAGCTCAAAACTTGAATTTTCTTATTCGTAACTGTACAGTACGGTTTCTGAGGCATTTTACACCTATTTAGTCACTGACAAAGATTATTTCTGGCATCAAAACGATGATCGCGAAGTTGGACAGTATCTACTTCATGTAAAACTTGATATAATGTCCTAAATTTCCGGGGTAGGGGGCTAGTGAAAAACAGAGAGTCTCCAGATTTTAAATCTCTAGAGGTTGGCATCTCTGACTTTGTCTATATGGACCGAGGAAATCCAAGCCAAGAGTAAAGAGTGAACTACGCAAACAGCAATTTACTGTAACACTTTTTGACTCCAATCCTTTAGTTTGGCCCAAGTAATAGTTCTTTGGCAGTTGCAAAAATTCATGTGTTACTGTACAGTTTTTGCTTTGTTTTGTTTTGAATTTGAGGGCAGTTTCCAAGTACAAGCCCCCGGGGGCTTATATTTGGGGGGGGGGGGCGATTTAAGGGGGGTTTCTTGCGTTACGAGTATTGGGGACTTTTATTTGGAGGGGCTTATACGTGGTGGGGCTTACTTTCGGAATTTTGCGGTATGCTTAATAAGCAACAACAATCCTCACGAACTCTGCACGTGCAACAAAATCTTTGGTTCACGCACGGCTACAACGTGAAATTTCTTAATTGGACGTTTTCTAAAGGACTTAAAACTTGAACATCACAAAAGACCATTTTCTGTTTCTTTTTCTCACTCTTATACAGCTACAGTGAAACCTCTATTAAGCGGACACCTTCGGAACCTTCCCAAGTGTCCGCTTAATAGAGGGTGTACGCTTTATAAGGGTTGTAAAAATTGCGCAATGTTTGTTAACGATCAACATTCAACTGTTAACTCTGTACTGTGATAAAGTTGCATGTTGTTAAAGAAGCTATCCAGAGTTCATGTTCATTACCTTTCATTACCAACTTTAATTTGTTTGTAAATGCAAAACCATTAAATAACTGACTTGAGTATGTATTTCAGGGACGTAATCCAATACAACCATTGTCGATTCAGTCCGGTGTCCGCTTAATAGAGGTTTTTAACAATAGAAATCACAGGTGGCCCAAGCTCGAAATATGAGCATCGGCGAGCATCGGCGTTGTTGCGTAACATTCAAAATATAAGGATTTGTATGGGAAAAAACCTATCGTTTCTGTAACCTACGAAAATGAAAGAATTTCAATAAAAAAAACAGCGTACCTTACTTAAAATGTGGTCCACGGGCCGATTTATGGCCCTTTTATTGGTTTTTATGTAAACGGTTTTGTCATATTTCGAGCTTGGGCTACCTGTGTAGAAATTAGCGAAATCCACTCATTTTATTGTCCGCGTCCTCTGAATAGGGTTCGTTATCAATAGGAATAGAAAATAGGAATTGAACTTGCATGCAGAAACCAATGTATACAGGCCATGACGAAAACAGAACGGCAAATCAAATCTATTTATTGGACAGTAACTGAAAATCAAAAACGAAATGTTCAGAAGGTCGAGTTATTTGTCTTACTCTCTTGGCTATTTTATAGAGTCTGTGTCTTTGTTGATAAACAGCCACCGCAGAGTGCCTACCGAGTAAAATATTTCCGCGTCTGAGGTGGTTGTTTCGATTTATCCAGATTTATAGAAACTAAATGAGTAAAAAAACTAAAGTTACAAAATATCTCTCGAAAGGGGATATCTAGAGGTGGTGACCCTGTATAAAAGATTCCCCAAAATAAAAGATGAAAAGGTAAAATCTAGAATCTAAAACATTATATACAGAGAGAAAAATCTAAAACCTAAAAACTAGAATAACAAACATAATTGAAACTATTTACAATCGTATTAATCAATATTCATATAAATCCTTAATCTGTTGCGAACTAAGTCAGCGATCCTGCGTGTATTAACGATCCGTTCAAAGAAAGAATATTTGTTGCAGTTTAGGATGGCAACTTTTACATAGAACTTATAATCGTGATTGGCTCTAGCTCGATTACACCATAGTTATTAGAGGAGACTGGTTATGAAAAGCGGCAAACATCAATGATAAAAACAACAGTGCTGCAGTTTATGTTAGAAGCACCCTGAAAGTGCACAATCCTTTGTTTTCTGTTGGCAAATTGTTACGGAATAAATTAATGCAACGTTTTTATTGGTAAATACAATCAAAATGATAGGAATTCTTTTGAACGTTGTGCACTTTCAGGTCCACAAAAACATATAACAAAGGAGTCTGACGGGTTTCATAACTATTCCACTCAATTAACTATGATTACACTTAGTAAGTTCAAAAAAGTGTGAAAACGGAAGGCTGATGACTGAAAATTTTGTGGCCTATCGATTATTCATCGATTGCTCATTGAATGTCGGATATTATTACATCCACCTTGAAATCACTGGCTATCCGTGGAATTTGATTGGCTCTCAGCAGTGTGATTTATTCCTAAATAGCACCATTTTTTGCTCTAAATCGCATCTGTTCCAAATCGCGTCAGTCATGTTCTAAATCGCATCATTTCTGTTTTAAATCGCACCATTTTTGTTCTATATTGCATCATTTCTGTTTCGAATACAAAATGAGATGTAAAAGCCTTTTTGTTTCGGCTTTTTAACAAACCAGCTACTCGATCAATAAAATGTTAGTACTGACTAAATTCTGCGATTTCAAAATGGATGTAATAAAGTGGTAATTGAACTTCATGTCGTGCAATTTTGGTCTGAAATCATGCTTGTGATTTCAAATCGAACTCGCGCTGCGCGCTCGTTCGATTTTGAAATCACGCGTATGATTTTAGACCAAATTGCACTCCACTCAGTTCAATTACCATTATTAATCAATGACTAATCAACTGATTACTCATCGATTACCAATTGATTACTCATTGATTTCATTGATGTCATTCATTAGATACGTCTGGTGAGTGCAATCACGCAGAGGAAAGTCATACTTCGCTCGCATGCTAGACCATCCTAACCTTGCTAAGAAATAAGAACAATCACTCTTTGCTTCCCTTGTCTGTCGTTAAATATTAACCCATTCTGTTCGTAGGTACCTGCAAATGTGGGCCAGGATATGCCACTCCTTTAGAGGCTATGAAAGGTCCAAGGGAAAAGTTGTTGTATTTACCCTGTATCCGCACTAATACGGGGATTGAAAAACCCGACTACCTTGTTACTGTTGATGCAGACCCCGATTCTCCGACTTATTCTCAGGTAAACAGGGAAACGTCTAAACATTTGCTATAGGGGCCTGGCTAATAAAAAGCCCTGCGAACCCATGAACAGTACTTGTTTGCACTGATGATGAGATTGAGAAAGTACTAAAAGCTAGGCTATTCAGTGACGGATCCGGACCTTCAGGTAAGGGGGGAGGGAAGCCCTGTCATCCAGACCCTGAGATAAAGGGCTGGGGAGGGCGGTCTTTTTTACGGCCCTTTGGGCCTTAGTTTGGTGTAAAAAAAAGGGGGCACGGGCTCCCCTGGCCCCTCCCCTTGATCCGCCACTGTAATACTTACATGGGAAAACCGGAAATTCTTGTTGGAAAATCAAATGGTTTACGCCATTCCGTTTGGAAAGCTTTGGCAGAAAACTTGGTCTTGTGATTTGAGGCGATGCACTTTTCCCACTTTTTTTAGTCTGTTCAGTTGATTTGGATATACTGTTTGAAGCGGGTCACTCTCCCACAACGTCAAATTTTAGAGTTTTATGTTTATGCACAAGATTTCCACCTCGTATAAATTATAAGCACCCCTAGTAAAACTCTGTAAAAAAGTAAAACTAAAATTCCGAGTATAGTTCTCAGTAACTAGCTGACGTATTGAAATGACAAAGCTATAAAACTGACTGAGTACAGAACATGGTAATAAGTTTGCATTCCTTGTCATATGAAATGCCGCGAACAGAGCATTTCATTACTGAGGGCGGATTGAGCAGTTCAAGCATCATTTTTACGGATACCTTCATTTAAAACCGAGGGAAAACTAGTTTTATTTTATTTTATTGCTGTTGGAAATATTAACATTAGTAATCGTGCGGTCAAATTAGCTCTTACCCTCCGGGGCATACTGAGACGTCCTTAGGGTTTTGTAACTTGTAGCAGGCGGCATTTTTGGTACGTGTTTCGTTTGGTTTTCTTGAAGTAAGGGAAAAAAGCCGCGCGAAAGCTGGACCGAGGTCAAACGAGAAAACAATGGGGGCGGAGGTAAGGGAAAGATGATATTTTCGACAAAGTTTGTGGGCATCAATAGAGGAGTTCTACAAAGCACTGTTTTAGGTTCTGTCTTGTTTTCTGTCATGGTAAATGACATCATGGCTGTACACCCAAACAAGAACCTTCCTTCTCGTGAACTGTGCTGACGACATCACGTTTCACGGTGTCCCTATAAGATCTAATTCCCTGGACTTATCTTTAGGCGAGGTGCAGAATATCCAAATCTGGTCTATTGAGAATCGAAAGACCTTGAACCTCAAAAAGACGTGGGAAATGGTGGTTAGAGGAACTACTAAGAAACCAATCCCGGAACCCATTTGTTGAGAGGAAGGGGGTCCTCAAGTTATCAGGAATGACATTTAACGAGTTACCATACAACCGGGACACCCATTTCGATCATATGATTTCTAAGGCTAGCTCTAGATTACGTATTTTAAGAGTTTGCAAACTTTATGGATATCCTTTACAGGAGCTAACACTGCTATTTGATAGCCTTATTATGTCCTTGTTCAGTTATCCTATTGAATTCTGGGCTTGTGCCTATGATAGTAAATACCTTTCTCAAAAAGATAGGTTTAGTAAGCGTGCAGTCAAATATGGCCATACTGCTAAGTTCTTCTCGATAACTGATTTAATATCACAAAGAGATTTGGAATTATGAAAGAAGGTGACCACTGACAATCACAGTTTAAATAATCTTCTCCCCCTGAAGCGAACGCGGAATCTACGAGACAGGAGTCAAGATTACGTTTTGCCGCTTGTTAGCATTTAAAGTTTCAAGCGATGTTTTATCAATAGATGTCTTTTTAATTTTCTTTAGATTTTCAATTTACATGTCATATTCTAGTACATGTTATTATGCGATTATTGTTAACTCACACGTATGCTTGTGGGGATTAGTTTCAATAAAGACTTCGTCATCATCATCATCATCATCATCATCATCATCATCATCATCATCATCATCATCATCATCATAGACAGGTTGTTCTCTCTGCCTTCTCTCTCCCTCCCCCTCCCCTGATCATTTTCTCGTTTCTCCTCGGTTCCTGTTTCTCACACCTTACGAAACACGCACGAAAACAAAGAAAACTGCCTGGTACGCAGGCTAACGGTTTCGTCACGTGTTGCTTCCCCACAAAAGATTGCGGAGGATTGCGTGATGAGCCAAAGAACGTCTTTTTCCCCAGACCTATTCTCTCTTTGGTCTATTTGATAGGTTATCCATCGCCTGTCTGTTCCTTTTTTGGGAGACGAGTTGCATCACAGTGGATGGAATGCTTGCAGCAGGTGAACATGTGACTCGTAATAAAGAAGAAGTAAAGAGGACAGAAAATGAGGAAACAGTGATTGATTGTGAAATTATGAAGAAAGGGATGAATTGAAACACGAATAATAAATGAGAACAACAGTGAAGGAAATGGAACGAAAGAATGAGCTTACGAATTTGTGGGTAGAAGAATCAATGAACGTGCAAGACTCATGAATAAAAAGAAGAACGATCGGATGATTGAATAGAAATGACTGGAATGAGGTTCTCCGGCCCAAACCATTTGAAGGAAATAATCTTTCAAAAAAATTATTTTACTGACAGACCCATTTTCTCGCCAAAAGAGGCTCGGTGTTCTGAGTCATTGACGACTCTGTTGGAGGTACAAAATACCCAATATCTTCGCTAAAACTGAAAAAACTTTCCTTGCATTTACACTTTTTCTTTCAGCTGTCACGGAGATCCAAGCAAGAAAAGAAATCGCCTCATCTTGCCTTCATTCAACTCGCACAGAATTTACATATTTGATGTGGAGACCGACCCCAGAGCGCCTCTTATTCACAAGGTAAACTAGCTGTGGACTCCAACGTAGATTATGAAATCAGTATATGTCCGTGTTGGTGCCCATAGAATTGCAACCATAAGGGAACAAACACCGATCTTAAGTACTAGATTACTTTCGAAGACGCGTTTTTTTGTCTGTTATTCACCTGCCAGCCTCAAGGCCTAACCGTTAACAGAACCAAGAAAAGTGCGGAAAACAGCACAAAGAACTCGAACGGCAGCATAACGAACATCTAGTCTCAGCTCATCTTCTGCCTCCACACATCGTGCAGAAATGCCTGCAAACTTTACTTTTTGCCTTATTTTACAGATTGTTTCACCAGATGAAGTGACTAAGACAGGACTTGCCTACCTTCACACCGCACACTGTTTGGGAAGTGGAGAGATCATGATCAGTGCTATGGGAACCCCTGATGGAAAAGAGCAAGGTATAGTTGTCCTTGATCTTTTCAATAACAAAGATGGCCAAAGTCATAACTCAAAAAAAATTATGAATGCTGAAAAACAAAAAATTCTACGTCGCGTGTCGCCTTTTCTCGCGTGGGGTGATTTTCACGCGCGCTCGCGTTTCGTTCGCTTTATTATCCCTGAGGAAAAATGGGGGACTACTCGTAGTCTAAGTACGTCCACACCATAGGATTTTTCCCAAAGGCTCAAAAGTTAAAACCAACTTTAGTTAGGAGACTGAATTGTAAATTGTAAGTATTTTATATTCCAC